TGGAGTTAAAAAATACTTAACTTATTAGAACTTGTTACTTACTTGACACTTATAATTATTCAGAAATTCCTAGAACATACAGAAAATTATTTTTGTGGGAAAAAATTTGTATATAAGAAGTTGCAGAAATATTTTCAAATTATGTTGACTTTGAAAAATTTTCAAAGTGTTTGTACTTGCAAGAAAAAAAATTCTGATGTTGTTGGTACTTAGAATATTTCTAAAAGCAAAAAGTTGGAAAGTGTTTCTAAGTCAAAACAACATCAGAATTTTTTAACTTAACTCTACAGTAAGCAATATCATTTTATGGGGGATGACTCTCGGATTATATATTAATGGGCAAACATTATCATTTTTTGCGCAACATATAAGTTAAAGTGTAACATGTAATATTAAAATTCAGTCTTATTTTAAATAAAAATATGATATTTTGATTGCCATGCGATATCATTTTACGGGATGACCCTTGTGGAAAATATTGATGTCCAAAAATTATAATTTTTGGGATGCACATGAGAGTAGTTATGGAATAAGCATCTAAAATGTGTGAGTAATACTAACATTCGATAATTAGTTAATAATTCGATAATAATTAACTGTTAAACTTGTTGAAAAATGTACCATATGGGTCGCTCCACAGGCAACAGGAATGCAACCATACAGAGTTAAAACTCGGCATGCTTTAAGGACCATATTTGTTTACGAATTTTACAGAGTTTTTTTTTTTTTTTTTTCGAAATTTTAAATTGTTCAAAAATTATTACAATTTTAAGTGCTTTTTCGTGAATTTTTTTTCTCAACTTTTTTTACCTTGTGTTACACTTTCCTTTGCTGTTCAAAATCTATGAGAGATAGAAACTTAAAACTACGTAGATGTGTAGTAAAATGTGCATTAATTTTTTAAATTGCTTATGAATTTCGCAGAGTTTTTTTTTTAGAAATTTAAAATTTTTGAGAAATTATTGCAATTTTAAGTGCTTTTTCGCGTTTTTTTTTCTCAACAATTTTTTTTTGTGTTACACTTTGCTCTGCTGCTCAAAATCTATGAGAGATAGATACTTGAAATTACGTAAACGTGTAAAAAAATGTACACGAAGTTCGATTAAATAATTTCAAAAAAATTGTGATTCGATTATTAGTTCGAGAATTATTAATTATTAAACTTGTAATAAAAAAAAGTCATGTTGATTGTTGGTCCTCTGAAATGCAACTACCGAGTTGAAATTTGACGCGCTGGTGGGACATTTAGATTTATATAAATCAGAGATTTTTTTCGAAATTCCTATTTGCTCAAAAATTATTGCAATTATAGTATTTCTTTTTTGCGTTTATATTTTCTTTAAATAATAATTATTTATCCATTGTTAGAGAAAAAAAATTTTATTTCGTACTTTTCATTTTATAAGCTCCCGTGTAACTTGATGTAAAAAATTACAAAAGAAATTTAAAAAAATAAGACAGAGGTTCGATATTGCTAGATATAAATTTCAACATTTATTTCGAAATTTAATAACACAGTATGCTAAAAGTAAATGGGGCTTCCAACACATGTCCTTATCTCCGATACCGCTATCAACAAATTAATGGAATAAGCTTAAATAAATAATAATAGTTAAATTGTTTCTTGTTTTAGCTTTCAAGCAATAATATGTTCCGTCCAGATTTCAACTTTGGAAACAACGAAATTATTGAGAAGGTTCCTTGAAGTAATATCATACTTATTCTCTTATGGCTAAATATAGAAAAAAAAATTATTCATAGTTTCCGTAAAAAGAATGTTAACCTTTCGTTGAGTATTTTTTTTTTTTTTTTTTTTTTTTTTTTTTTTTTTTTTTTTTTTTTTTTTTTTTTTTTTTTTNTTTTTGTAATTTTTTTTATCAAAATAGGTTTAAAAATTGCGTATTTTATATGCATATTTCAAATCAGAGGGTTTTAAAAATAGCAAGGCTTCGGAATCTTTTTATAAATTTCAATTTTTAGTATTAATTTTTTAACAAAATGAATCATTTTCCTGATAACAAATTCTACTACAATAATATCTCGTGAATTGTGCCTTAGTTTAAAAATAATTGTAAAAAAAGTTAATTTTTTTAGCATCTTTTTTTTCTTCCTTTTCTTAAAGTAGTAGTTTTCTTTAATTTAACGGTGTAATATATGTTAACGGTATGTTTGGTTTAAACTTCAAAATAAAATTGTAGTTTTATTAGTATAGTGTTAAAGTTCGATTAATACATTATCGGAAAAAAAATCTGCGTGATAGTATAAAGAAGGAGAATTTGAAAAATACAAAACTCTAACGAAATAATTGGTTGAATAATTCTGGGAATCACACGTGACCAGGTAATTAAAAATTTAATTTTAAAATTAGATGTTTGGACGATATATAAGATGCTGATTTGAGATATTTTAAGACGCTTAAAAATTTTGGCTTCGTATTCGACAGCTGTCTATGTTCGGCATCTTTATATTCTCTGTAGTGACTTTTACAACATTAGCAATATTTCAGATAATCTTTGTTGATGTTACATCAGTTTGGTTCAAGGCGATATAAAGATACCTTTTACATAACTAGTATCTTTGTTTATATTTTTATTGTTTAATTATTAAAATATGTTTCGAATAATTGATAAATATATTATTTCTAACAACTGCATTAAGCACATTACTGAAATTGAATGAATTGTGAAATGAAACATTTAAAAACTAAAATTTAAAAAAGCAGACGCGTAACCACATTCAATCAAAAACATGTTTTATAAAACTTGACATTCGTTTAATATAACATTTTATTTAAATCTCCTTACTGAATTAAGAATAAATTAGCAGACGACTTAGAAAGAAACATCGTATTGTATAATTAAAGAGAGAAACGATATCGAATAAAAACAACGAAAAATCATGAATGAAATATACCCTTGGCTTGCTCAAGTCAAGTTCCTTGAAAGTGTATCGAGCTTAGGCATTAATCGCTCCATTTAAATATTTTTTTCGTTGTCGCCAAATTATTATTTTTAAAAATAATTAATTTTAATTTCCTTTTAGCTTCTACTTAATAAAAACAATTGAAACTTTAGATTTCACTCTAGAAAAATACTTAGATTAATATGGTATAAAGAATTTATGGCTCATAATTAAAAAAAATTTTGACAAATATAAAATAAAATAGTAAAAAATAAATATTAAAAATTAGTATTGCATGAAATTATTTTTGGTAGAACCAATTTCATGAGTAGGTGTAATTTTCTTTCTTTTTTTCTTTTTTTTTAAATTGCGCCTTTAGTTTTAAAGATAGGACCAAAAACGCAAAAAGTGAAATTAACACTAAGGAGGCCAAACTTATAACCTCGCTCCTGACTATACATATACACATGTATGTTTAGTCAGGAGAGAGGTAGAATATATATATATANTAGCGACTTCAGGTCCGTCTATATATATATATATATATGTCAGGTATCTATGCCGAGTTACTTCAAACTACACCATAATGCGATGATGTTGGTTATCATCAACTAATTCAATCAACCATATGATCAATAACAATAACAATAATATTTATTCTTCAATAATAACATGAGTCACATAGACTCTTAAGCAATTAGGTTCGAAACCACACAGGTTCCAAGTTTTACCTAAAAGCAACTAGTTTCACTTAGAAACAAACATTAATTAACGAATAACAGATTCACTCAGAATCTTAACCACTAAGGTTACCAGTTTCCTTTAGAAACAATATCAACTGATTCTCTTCATTTACATCGAGAAAGTTCCAATTCATTCTTGTTCCTGAGAGCGACATCTGGCGGGATAACATAGAGGCTGTTGTCTCGCTTATTACATATATATATATATACAAATGTTTATTCAGAAAAAGTGCGTTTTTGTGTCTGAACTTGGTTGCTTAGCAATGTCTGCTCTCCTGAATTTGTCTATGGTTATTTTAAAGTACTCATTTGCTTGTTTTTTTTGGGACTATTGCTAAATATATTTCTTCCCCAATTTATAATCCTATCTTTTCGAAATTTTGTCAACCCCCCATTTTAAGGGTGAGGAATCCAAATATGTAAAAAAAATTTCTTTATTCAGAGAAAGTGTCTGAACTTGAAACTTAATAGTTAGCACAAATTAATTAGCAAACTTTAAGTAACCGCTAGGAATTATTAAGATCGTCACTTAGTTCGTGAAAATCCAATCATTAGTGCGAGAGTTATTTAAGGTGATATAATTTTTTTAATTTGAGCACTTTACAGATAGTCTTAGATTTAAATTTTTATTAAAGTTGTAATAATTTCGTTAAAAGACATAACAGGTAATAACTAAACTAACGTTACTTTTTTAAATTGCTCGTCACAAAAGCATTTTCCAATGACAGAGTCTACATTAAATTGATAAAGAACGGTCATTATAAAGTTATGATTAGAGAAAGGTACTCTACATTTTAGAGGCAAAAAATTATTCACTTCGAACTTCTAAGGTAGAACATAAAGCAATTTTTAACTAAATTATAAGAATTCACAAACTGTTGTTACATAATGAATAAAAAAGCATAAAGTTTCAAGTAAAAGATGAATGATTTGAATTTTTTAAGGAATAAAGAAAGAAAAAATTATTCATTTAGAACAATAAGCAAAGGATTGCTGTTTTCCTATAAAATTTGTTACGAATCTTTGACTCAATAACTCGCTACAATAATTACTTGATTAATAACAATGTGCTGACAAATTTTCTTTAAAAATTAAAACTTTGTAATTTAAAAGAGTACTCAATATTTATTAAAAATTACTTCGGTAATTTGTTGTTGATTCAAAAGAAATCGGGAAAAATTCATGAGAATCTGTCAAAAGAATCTGTGGGAACGGTAGTGCCTACTTTGATCCGCCATCTAGCGCCACGACTAGATGGCGCTTTTATGACTGAGTTAATAAACTTCCTAGATGGCGCTCGTAAGAGATTAGAGAAGGAGCATTATTAAGTTCTGTAAACTAAAGGTTACAAGCAAAACTACGAAGTTATTATTAGAATTTAATGTGTAATTTCTGTTGTCAAGGTGACGAGGATTTGTTTTGAACAATGGTGACAATGAAATTGGTTGTTTTTATATGACAAAGTCATGTATTCTGCCTTTTCTTAAATATTTAGAATGGAAACATTGAATCCCCCATCCTTTGAAGATGAGGATCTTTATTCTGGATACAATGAATATCACCCATCCCTGGACACTGCTGTCAGTATAAATAAAAATAATGTTAAGAGCAAAGCTTTGTGTTGTATAAATGCTCAATTTTTTAAAGATAAATGTATGCTTTTAACAATTAGTTAATCTTAACTTACAGATTTTTTTTTCTTATGGCATAAAATATGAAATAAGCACACCTAGTTCTTTCTAGGTGGAGATAATTTTCAAATGATTTCGTGTTCAATTTGTTACACTTTCTGTTTAACTGGTTTAATTCCTGTAATTTAAAATATTACATTCCTTTGTGTAACAAAAGTGGATCTAACAATTAAATTGTATTATAAGTCTCGTTTACTTTATGCATGCCTAAATTTTAAAACCCCTTAACTTGGCTATTAAATTAATTTGTTAATAGAAAGGAATAACATGATATGAGTAAAGCGAAGCATGTATCCTGCAAAATTTTTTTTTTAGAAAGCATTGTATTTTTTTTTTATTGTAACTATTCTTTGTATTTTGCAGAGCTGGACTTAGGACTACTTCTTTTAATTCTGCATACCGAAATTTGATTTGCTTAAATTTACTCTTACTATATTCTTTAAAGCAATGTAATATTCTTTACTGAATGTAATATTCTTTAAAGAATAAATAATATAATACTAAATAACTTAATATGAAATAATATTATAGGCAGGGTTGGTTTTTTGATGTCAAAAACTGGTTTTTGACATGACATGTTAAAAACTTGTTCGAAAGAGTCATAAACTGCCGAAATCTGACCAAAACTGTCAAAAATGTGGGGCAAAATTCTTTGTTGTGATTGGAGGCATTTTGTTAGTTACTAAATCATGCACAATACTTGCATTTTATACTACTATATTTATGATTTATATTATATGTCACATATAAGAAATATAGCCAAAATTATTGAAACTATTAATTGGTTTTTCTAAAAGCATTGTACTTTTGATACTTTAAGTTCCATATAATTTGCTATGTTATAATTATTCAGTTTATGTTACATGTAATAACTATGAGCTGTTGACTATCAGTCTAAATATTTATTTTAATTCTTTTATGTCAGAATTTAGACAGATTTTTTTTTAATTAAGTGAAATTACAGTGTTTGTCAATAGTTGTCTGATCTCAACTTATAATTTTTTTTTATTCCCAAAATTTTTTATTAATTATTATATTTAGGGGAGTAGAATATGTCTGATTGTGTGAATGAGGTTTGCGGGAAATTCTGGCAGCCATGAGGAAATATTTGATCTAAAAAAATTCCTACAAAATTTTTTGTTAAAATATGTCACTTTGAAAAATTTTCCCTTGTTATATGTTAATTATGTATTTATTAGTTTTAATTCCTTTAGTTTATAAGTGATGCCTGGTGGTTGAGTGGCAACGCTTCGTGCTCTCGTGCCACAGGTCCTGGGTTCGATCCTCGGGCCAGGCAAGGTTTACTCAGCCTTTCATCCCTTCAGTGGGTCAATAAGTGAGTACCAAGCATGCTTGGGAACTAAACACTGGGGGTTTCGCGTTCTGCTGATCACCTAACCAGAACATCTGCTCCTGCACCCCAGAGCCCAAGGTCAAGAAAACTGAGATGGGCACAGTAGGCCTTGGTCCTCTATGAGCTGTCGTGCTACTGAGCTTAGTTTAGTTTATAAGTGGGACCTTAAATTTAATTAAATAAATTATTACTATTTCAATATATTTTGATTTCTATTATTTTATAACACATTTGATGGTTTAATCAAGAATTTTTTCTTACATAAACTTAATTTTCCAAAAATATTTTGAAGAAATTATTGTAAAAAAAAAAAAAAAAAAAAAAAAAAAAAAAAAAAAAAAAAAAAANTTTTTTTTAATTAAGTGAAATTAGAGTGTTTGTCAATAGTTGTCTGATCTCAACTTATAATTTTTTTTTATTCCCCAAATTTTTTATTAATTATTATATTTAGGGGAGTAGAATATGTCTGATCGTGTGAATGAGGTTTGCGGGAAATTTTGGCAGCCATGAGGAAATATTTGATCTAAAAAAATTTCTACAAAATTTTTCGTTAAAATATGTCACTTTGAAAATTTTTTCCTTTTTTCCCTTGTTATATGTTAATTATGTATTTATTAGTTTTAATTCCTTTAGTTTATAAGTGATGCCTGGTGGTTGAGTGGTAACGCTTCGTGCTCTCGTGCCACAGGTCCTGGGTTCGATCCTCGGGCCGGGCAAGGTTTACTCAACCTTTCATCCCTTCAGTGGGTCAATGAATGAGTACCAAGCATACTTGGGAACTAAACACTGGGGGTTTCACGTTCTGCTGACCACCTAACCGGAACATCTGCTCCTGCACCCCAGAGCTCAAGGTCAAGAAAACTGAGATGGGCACAGTAGGCCTTGGTCCTCTATGAGCTGTCGTGCTACTGAGCTTAGTTTAGTTTATAAGTGGGACCTTAAATTTAATTAAATAAATTATTACTATATCAATATATTTTGATTTCTGTTATTTTATAACACATTTGATGGTTTAATCAAGAATTTTTTCTTACATAAACTTAATTTTCCAAAAATATTTTGAAGAAATTATTGTAAAAAAAAAAAAAAAAAAAATAAGGGAATTTTCAATGTATAACGAAAGTTTGTTCATAGGTAATATTAGGCTCTGCAAATTTTCGGTACTCTTGCTTATATGTGCAGTGCACTAAAAATAAACAGACCACACAAATAGCTTTTGAACTAATCATCGGATCTTCATGTTCTAGGACTCAGTCTCAATGGATCCAGGGGGTGACATCAAACATGCTGATTAATTAAATCAGACAATATTTTAAGTTACAAAATCAGACGCAAAAACTTACTTTTTCTGAATAAATATACTTTTTCTTGTTGTTGATAGATTCAGTTTTCTGACTCTTAAAAAATAGGGGTAAGGGATAGCCTCAATGGAGCTGGAGATATGGTTCCAATAGTTTTATCAGGAGAGCGCTCCAAAGTATAGACCCTTTAATTTGAGTATTTCACCATATCTTAAGAACTTTTTAAACAAATTAGAAAATTTTTATACACAACTATATAATTCGTATATCCAAAAATAATCCCATGCAAAATATAACTTTTAGTGAATATTTATTATTTTATTAAACAGAATTTGAAAAAAGTTAGGATGGATTATAGGGCATGCAATTTTTTACATCAGTTTGAAAAAAGCAATTTTAAATGGCAAAATATGAGTCAAATCTCTCAAATAGTTCTTGAGAAATCGAATTTTAAAATTATGACTTTTTAAAAATAATTTTCTTTGATAACGTTAGCAAACTCAATTTAAGTGTCTTTGTGATATTTAGCTTTTTAATTTTGAGGTTTTTTTCAATGTCAACAAATGCAGGAATTTCTTTTGAAGCCAATGAAAAACATTTATTGCTTGATACATTAAATTCCAAAAATATTTATTATACTTGTTTTAGAAGCTAACTGTACATTTAATAAATTAGCAATGCACGATTTTTTTTTATAATTTCAAATTACATTTTGTTTATGAAAAAAAAAACTCAATAGCATTTTGATTTCCATTATTATATTGTATCAATTATAGAATCATATCAATTAGGTTTACTCTTTGTTTGATTGATTTCAGGCAATTCAAGAAGATGAAGCTTTTCAGCAAGCTGTCCGCACCAGCTATGGACGACGACCAGTGGTAATTTTTTTTATTTGTTTTTTGTATTCAAGAATCTTAAATAGTGAGTGGTGTTGTCAGTATCAACTTTGAAAGAATGACAAACTGAATCAAATATCTACACAAATCTCAAATCTAAGGAGTTAATATGCATTAAGAATAAGTTAACCTTAAGCAAGCTTATTTGTTACATTGAGTAAAATATTGATTTTATATTCAATTTACCTATACAATATATTTCACAAAAATTTTTTTTTTTTGGTTTCATAATTTTTATTTTATGAAAAGAAAGCAAATCACTTATTTTGAAACTTTTTTCAAACTTTAAAATATTTATTGGTAGGGGTGTTGCAAATATGGTACAAGAAAAAATAGCATAATCACTAGTTTTTTCATAGATTCCTAATTTATTGCCAATTTTGAAATTTTTGATTAATACAGTAGGATGTATCCATTTATTATAATCCATATTTAATGAGATTTCAGGTTTGCCTAAGTATATGTAATGTTTTGCGTAGTATAATGTTATAAATATATTAATATATGCTCTTTTATCTTTTTTTTTGAAAGCATGGAATAGTATCAGAAATAATGAAAAACTATTTAAAAATGCACATTTCACTATTAGTTGTTTAGAGGTATTTTGGTATATAATTGTTGTAAAATATGTTTCAGTGTCATTTAGAAATACAGTACAGAACCTCTTATCCAGAAAACCGGAACGAAATTCGATAAATTTTCCCGACATTTTTAAAAAAGAATTTTTTTTCCTCATAAGATTTTAGGATTTTTCTTTCTTTTTTAAAAGATGTTTACCTTACCATCATTTTAGAAATAATCATTAGTGTATTACTTTACCGTTTTTTCTTCTTTTTAAGATTATTTCTAAAAAGTTTTTTTTTAGTTGGGTTTGACAATAAAATAACGGCTTTTTGTAGCGATTCAAAAAACCGAAAAATCAGTTATTTGGAATAGCGATGGTCCCAATCGTTCTGGATAATCGGTTCCCTACTGTAGTTGAATCATTTTTCAGAGATACTTATCAGCAATTATTTTATACTAATAGTAATTTTACACAGATATTTAATTTTCAGCCTACTGCTAAAATACCTGGAACTTCTCGTTTAAGTACTTCTCGAGGAGGAACTACAGGAGTAAGAAATTATTTTTACATATTTCAAGCACTTGATATAATAGATTTGTCTTATTTTTGTTTAAATGTAGTTTGCCAAGAGTCTATTAATTAAATTGTTTGAAAATATTTTTGGTGAAATAAAAAACATGTCTGTGAGCTTTTAAATCTGAACCCACATCTCAAAATGCGTGTTTAAGGAAATGGGCATAGCATTTGATTCTGTTTTCTGAACTTCTTTTTATTGTTCTTTTTTTAATGAATTGTTATGGGAGATTGTCCTTTGCAAAAATCATTGCTAAATTTTATTAAATTAGCCTGTATTTGAAAAGACTTTAAAGGTCAACAGTTGTTTTTACAAGATTGCTACAGTTGCTGTAAATTTATAATAGTGTAGATAAATTTACGTTGTAAGAATTTAGAGTTTAAAAACCTACTCTATCATTTAGAGTTCTGAATAAGTAAATATTGCCTGAAAAGCTACATCTGTAATATATACCTAGCCACCCGAAGTCTGAGACTTTGACCTGTTATTATAATGCTTAGTGATTAAATAAATAAGGAAAAGTAAGCGTCTAATCCTTCATTTAGTTGTTACATTTGGTTTGAAAACTAAAAAGGCACATTGCTTCGTCCATTTTTGTAAACACGTATTTTGAGTGGTGTCCATTTTCTTAAACAGGTATTTTCAGCTGTATCCATTATTGTAAATGTGCTATTTGAGCTGTATCTAGATTTAAAAATTCACTGCCTGTATATATTTTATTTGAGACTTGTTTTTACTATATTTTTATTCAGTATTTTGATTTTCTTAGTCAAACTAATTTTTTTTTTAAATATGAAAGGAATTTATGTAACATTGTTTATTTATAATGGTACTGGTTTAATCCCATCTGATTTCTGAGCATTGCAGATTTAAATTAAAAAATTTTGTTTTTTCTCGTTGGCCATTTCATTGACAAATTGAAACAGTTAGAAAGCTATGTCTAAAATATATTTCACACTAAACAGGAATTTAGCTTTATCTTAACAAAATTAATAAAATTCAATCAAAATTATTTATTTGCTTTAATATTTATAATTTTTGAAATATTTGCTTTTAATTACCGCATGAATATCTTAATGCAGCATATGTTTTTTGTCTAATAACAATTTTTAGTAAAATTTCTGGGTGAAATGAAATAGAAAAAAGTTTGACATCTCAGATTCACAAATATTCTATTATTTGATTCACAACTTTTAGACTTTAGATTTGTAGGAGACCTTCATGCCTTTCTCACGATAAATAAACATTAATTGCTTCATGAAAATACCCAGGGTTTGCAATAAGCATTCACCACCTTGCCAAATGCGATAAAATCATAAATTTGGTGAATAAAATTATGTTTTGGTGAATTATTTTTTCCACTGGAAAGATAAATATATATTTAACTAGATCCTCAATATTATGTCAAAATGAATTTTTCTAAACAGATCAGTATTTTTATTCAATTACAGTAATTTTTGGTAGTTGTGCCACATAACTAATTAGAATTGTGTCCAAATAATGTAAACCTGAAACAAACTACCGTAAAATAGATTTCTATGGGGGGGAAATTAATCTTAAAATTTTTTTAAGATTTACATTTGGTGAAGACTTTCAAAACTTGGTGAATACTTTTGATATTTTGCTAATTTACTGGCTAATAATTCGAAATCCTTAGTGCTGGCCCTGAATACCTATTATAAGCTGGTTTGTTTAAAAAGTTCACCCCTTTAGAAAGCAGCTGATATGACTAAATGTACTTTACTGTAAGTTCTCAGACACCCTCAAAGACATTCTAACTACAGATTGTTAATAGCAATGCATTAATACTTGGCATATTTAGCTTGTATTTAAAATATTTAACAACATTATGGAATATAGTATAATAGTTATATGCATAAAAATGGTATATTTTCTTAGGCTATTGATTTCATATAAAATTGCTAATTATTTGGAAATATAAAATTTAACTTATTCGAAGCTAATTTTTAAAGTGCTTTCTTTATTTTTTTATTCCCAAGTTTTTTGGTCAGATTGATAAAAAATGTGAAAGATTTACTACAAAGAGTAAATGTATGCATTTTGAATACATAAATTTTTGTAGTATTTAAACCTTTTTTTTATTTTTATTTTAGGATTTTTAAAAAATAAAGCACTCTGATGCTAGTTTTTGAAAAGAAAAAAAGTTTATTGGATCAGATCAAGACATTGTGTCCTTTTTTAGAAAAGCCATAATTAAAAACTCATTTTTTTTGCTAATTCTTGTGTTTGTTACTTTTATGCTGAATAGCATGATGAAAACTTCCATGTTATTGTCCATCATGTTTTCATCTAAATTTTGCAATGAATTGTTTCTCTGTTGCTCTATCACTTATTTTTGACTTTTAATTTTCACTTTGCCGGATGTATTACTAATTCAAATGAAATTTTTTTAAGAGTTTTATTTTTTCTTTAGTGGGGAAGAAATGTTCCATCCTCATCTGGGCTGTCCACAAACAGCTCTCAAGAAGGCCTTACTCGTCCAATGACTGCTGTAAGAGGTGCTGGATTTACATCTTCTGGAACCAGAGGTAATTGCTGCTAATTAAAATCTTAGCGTGACTATAAATACAATTTTATTACTCTGTGAACATAGTTTATTTTTATATTAAAAGAAAGAAGTAATATATGAAATAAAATTAATATTTGTTGGTTTGTTATTATTCAAAACATAAAAAACCTTCAATATTTCTATATTCATTATAATTGTTAATGGTTATGATATGTTGATCCTGGAGCAGGATTTTTTAAAGTTTTGTGCATTTCAAAACTCTGCTAATCCTTTTGAACAATAAAACTTTTTTATCGCATTGATAGTTAGATTCCTTCATTGTTAATTAGATTCATTTTTTTACAGTGATAGTTTGGTTTATTGCATTGATAGTTAGATTCATCATTTTATATTGATTTACATTGTCCCTATAGAAACCCCTGTACCGACCTGTAACACCATGGAAAAAATGCAAAATTTATCTGCTGAGTATACAATTAGGTATTTGTATTTACTAATTTATGTCTGCAAGTCAAAAATTAATATGCATCTCTCTTCTGTGCCCCACTAATTCTGCTACCAAGAACATAGGAATCTTGGATTTTAAAGTTGCATAAGTATTAATAAGATTTCACCTTCTAAAGTATTTATATATCAGCAAAAAGTTTTTAAACTTCCATGGCAATGTATGCCCATGGCTTTAAATACTCTGTTGAAAATAATGCATAGTTGAGAACTTAATGTATTCATGACTAGGCACTAAAAAGTTTGACTGACTGAAAAAAAATTCGCAAATTGCTATTTTAAGACTTCAATGTAATAAAAAAGTAAATATATCTTTTAACTTTATGGAAAAGTAACTCTTACTTTTTAGAAGCATCTTGTTGAGGGTTAATGTTACCTTAAATGAATGTGGTTTGGAATATTTTATAATATTATTGAAGATGCAAATATAAATACAGGAAATTTTGTCTTTTTTCATATAAAAAGATTATCTTTTTTTGAATTTAGCTGTTGAATATTTTTAATAAGCTGATTTAGTTTCTGTAATTTTATTAAAGCTATTAAAATTTTTAAGTATTTATGTTATGAATTAAATTATTGATAAAGTTACAATTATATTATTTCTATTACATGAATATATTTAAAAAAGTTTTAATTAAGTATCTTATTAAAAAAAATATATGTATTTATTATTTTATAGCTCCCTCTGGTATTTTTGATCCTTTAAATCAAGCAAAATCAACTGTTTCACCTTTACTCATTAAAGACGAGAACAGGTATACAAAATATTGCTAGAAATGTTCAAGTCTGTATTTTAATTGTATGAAGATATTTTAAACAAAAAAAAGAAGTCACCTACTTTTAAAAGACTTGCATTGCACTTAATTTATTATTTTGTGATTATTTGATTTTAAAAATAATAATTTTTTGTACCTTAACCTAATTGTAATTTCAGTTGTAGTTAAGGTATCTAATTCTTATTTAACTTAAATAATATTCATAATATACATATATATTTTTAAGATAAAATCTCGAGCAACTTTTAAGATCTTGATCCATCAGATATTCTTATACCTTCCCTTTCTTAACCAATCCATCTATATTGTTTCGATGACTCAACAACTTTTCCACACCATTTAACTTGTCATTTGTTTAAAATTTTGTGTTTATTAGTTAACCCTTTTCTGATGACACTTTGCATGGTTAAGTTTGTTAATATGGTCCACTTAATATACAAGCCATAAACAGCAGCAAGTTAATAGTTCCTATTTTTTTCACACCTATATAATATGTGTTTTGAACCCTATTCTGTATGCTCATTTAAAACCTAGTAGACTAAATGTGTATGTGGGCTTACATATATACACACACACGCACACACACACACACACACATATATATATATATATATACACTATCTAGCCATTAATGACCGGACACTGTGAAGTTCAGCGGTGGAGGAATTATGGTGAGGTCCTGTTACTCATGGTTTGGCCTTGGACCCTTGGTGTTAGTGCGTGGAACCCTGAACGCAGAAGGGTATAGAGACATCCTGGACAATTCGGCGCTTCCCACCCTGTGGCAACAGTTCGGTAATGGCCCGTTTGTGTTTCAACACGATAACGCTACCATTCATAAAGCTCATGCCATCACGGACTGGTTTGATGAAATGGGGGTGCAAGAGTTTGACAGGCCATCCCAAAGTCCCGACATCAATCCAATTGAGCATCTCTGGGATGAGTAGGAGCGCCAGGAGGGCCAGACCACAATGCCCCAAAGCCACCACTCAACTCTTCGCCATGTTACAGGAGGAATGGCGGGCAATACCTGCCTCCGTGTACCAACACCTAGTGGATAGCCTTCCTAAAAGGGTTAAAGCTGTGATTCGGGAGCGTGGCGGCCCTACTGACTTGATGCTAGCACCTCATGTATCCGAAATGAGGGGTGTCCGGTCATTAATGGCCAGATAGTGTATGTACAGGATGTCTCAGTTAAGCGTTNTCGCAAGGGATTTTAATTTTAGTCCGTGTAATTTTCATGGTGCAGAAATGCCACTTTTGTCGGTGTCATGAAACCCGGATCGATGAATAAACTTTAGAGTCAATAAAAAATTACCTTTACTTATATAATTATGTGTAAAAACAAATTTACCAATTATGATAGATAGAACTATTTTAAATAAATAAACAATTATGCATTTTAACTATAAGTTAGCATTTAATTTTGTATTATAAAAATTAGTTAGATTTAAAACTTATTTGTTTGAGATGCTTAGTTTTTTCTAAAATAACTTCTTTTTTCTTATTTAACTTTTATTTCTAAAAATAAATCATTGATGGCATCGTCTTTAGTGCCCTCTGACTGCAACATGAGGTTGTGAATCCCTTTGTTCATTAGTCTTTGGATCATTGGTTGTGGATTATCAAAAAGAGCTCTCTAAATGAGAGTCCTGCGCAGATATTTTGAATGCATTTTAATCTACTTAATTGTTTTGTTAGCGTTTTTCGTTTTGAAATTTTTTTGTGTTTCCTTAATTAACCTTTTCCGCATTTCATGCGAAAGATTACCTGGTCAATGGGAGCGGTTTTGATGGTTTTCCTTAAGATTTTCTTCAACACAAAGTCTATGGAAAAAGTTCCGGGCCTCCGAAAAGTGGTCGTAAATAGAAGAGGTTGTTACATAGAGGTGATCTTTCCTGGAGGTTTCACTGTATATAATATATATATATATGTGTGTAAAATGTAGCAGTCGGACCAAGCAGAGAAACAGACACAGGATTTTAATGAAAGCAAAATAATTTTATTTGATCATTTTCAAATGGATGATGAGCAAAAAGTGAAATTTACCCCATCGACGATTAGTCTTTCTGGTAGGGAAAATCTTGCAAAAAATCCAAAAATGTCTCTATTTAGGGAAAGAGGGAAATCTTAGAAATTAATATTGGTTTATGAAGTAGATCAAGCTATTCCCACAAAGAGAAAAGGAAAAAATGTCTTTACTTTTAATTATGCATACTTGAGCCAAAAATAGATTTAAGAACAGGATGTGGCTTTTTAAAAGTATGAGAAAGTGTTTCGATTGGAATAATTAATTAGGATTTGTTTTATGGAAAAGAAATAACATAAAAAGATTAATAGCAGCTTTTTATGTTACATTGTACCAAAGAATTATTTACGGTATTTAACTAAAAAAAAAATTTAAATAGTAAAAAATCATACTTTTCTTATATAGATGTGCAAAACAATATTATCTTTGTTTTCTTTGTAAATGACTGAACTGAAGTAAGATTAATTTGTTAATATTTGAGGTTTAACCTTTGAAATTAGTTTTCAAAGAAGTGAATGGGTCACATTTCTAATATTACCAGACACTTCAATCTTCTCTTACATCTGTCTTTAAGGAAAAATAATAATATCAGCCATTAAATTATTAGTATTAATCTAGAAAACTGCATCTTGAATTCTTAAGCTATGTTGCATTTGTAAATAAAAGGTCTTTGCTTTTTTTTTCTATTGTAAAAACAAAACAAAAAACTTACATATATTTTCTCTACAATTTTATTGTTTTAAAATTTTAGCATTATCTTTTTTAAATTGCTATACTTCTGTATTTGATACCATTTTGAATCTTTGTAAATATGATTTGGTTATGGTTTTAGCCCTGAAGAAAGATTAAAGCAACTTGAAAAGAAGGTTTTGGAGCTCCTCGAAGAAAGCTGTATATCAGCTGATTCTGGAGAATTGAAATTGGTACTTGTTTTTTTTTTTTTAATTTGAAACCATGATTTTTAATGTTTATTTTTATTGAGTTCACTGAAAAAATATTTGCAAAAACATAGTAATGTAAAATTAGATGTGTCATTTTATTTTTAATAATATTTGAAATATATAATTGAAAATATACTGGAATTACAATAGATCCACTATAATTTGAGGTGGATGGGCCAAGCCTATCTCAAACTTTCGAAAGTCATAGTCATAGTAATTGTTGTAAAACCAGTCGTAGTAATCGTTACACATGTTGTATCTGGTTGTATTGTGAGTTGGTCATTATTTGAGAGCATGACTGATTTTTTTTCACTATCTCAGATTTTTGGGAATTCTAACTATTCAGACTCTGCTGTGTTAGGAAATTTGATATTAACTATAGAAATCAAGGAATGTTTTACTTAAATTTTGCTTTTTTGTTATAATTTTTGAGAAAACCTGAAAAAAACATCCATCAGCAAACCTAAAAAAAGTCTCTTATAATTGATGATAACAATAAATAGCCTATGAAAAAAATCGTAAAACCAGTCGTAGTAATTGTTACATGTGTTCTGTCTGCATGGTCATTATTTGGGAGCATGACTGATTTTTTTTCACTTGCTTGGAATTTAGGAAGTTAGACATTAAAACTATTCAGACTCTGCTGTGTTTGGAAATTTGATACTGACAGTTGAAATCGAGGAATGTATATCAGGAATATTTTACGTAATTTATGCTTTTTTTGTTATAATTTTTGAGAAAACCTGAAAAAAAAACATCCATCAGCAAATCTGAAGAAAGTCTCTCCTTATAATTGATGATAACAATAAATAGCCAATGAAGTTTTAAGTAAATAATAATTATATTTTAGTATTTTTTTTGCAAATATTTTGCTCTAGTGTGTTAAAAATAGTTTTATTTTAAGTCGAACCACACTGAATTAGAGCTGAAATTTTTTTTTAGCAATTTATTGTTTTAAACTGTTTCCTAAATTTGCATTTTAACTCTCAACAGAACCAATGCCGCCATATAAACGGCATGGCACTTTTACTTATTCTGTTAAAATGCGAGTAATATGGCAACAGATCATTTTATAATTGTCATAGTTACAAATAATTTTATGATAAATTTATAATCAAAATTATCATTAATTTAATAAAATTATTTCTGATAGAATGTAAACTTGAAATACTTTTGGATTATTGATGGTCTGGAACTATTCAATTTAAAAGAAGAAGAAAATTCTGTTGAAAAATTATTAAATTACGAAAGAATATAATCTAGAATTTTGTAGAAATTATTGTGTTATACCTAAACTAAACTAAACTCAGTGACTCAGCATCCCATAGAACCCATTATATATTGAAAATTATAATTATTTTAAGCAAGGTGAATATTGTTAAGTGCAGGTGTATGCTTTAATGTAAACTTTTTTTGTTATTAAATAAATTGTCACACCATATATGATGTTAATGTAGATGAGGTTGAGCACAGATTTTACTAACCCATTTTTCTCTAAGCACAAAAAGTCTGTAGTTTTTGAAGAACCTCATTTCAAAATTATATTTTTTATATAGGTATGAAAGAATTCTAAGAATTTTTCTTTTAAAAAATTAATTTTGAAACACTACAATTTTTGTAAGAAGTTTTCACTGGGGAAAAATATCCCTGTCTTTGCTCTCTTTACTGCAACTTTGACTACACATATTCATTTAATTTGAAATGCATATGTGTAGTCGAAGATTGTAATGGTGTATCAGAGGTATACTGATTGTAAGGTTTGCCACCACTAGATGGCGCTGCGAGATATGAACAAAACTTAAGAATTAATTAAAAAAGAAGCTCTCTTCTATTAGTGTGGTGTAAAAAGGATTAGTATGTGGGAGGAAGGAGCGAAGCGCTTTTTGATTATGTGATTCGTAATAATTTTTTATATACTTAATTTTATGTTTGTGATGTGGCATAGTATGTGTTTAAATAAATTTGTTTTATGCCAAGAAAGGTTTAGTGTGAAAATCATTTCACATTATGAAAATTTGAAAAAGAACCTGCAAGTTTTAGTCTGATGTATCTGAGATATTATTATTTGTGTCCAAGTTTTAATAATCTATTTAAAGTATGGAACTTTTTTTACATTTTATATCTCTTGATAATTTTTTTTTAATTATAAATATGATTAAAATTATTTTCTGTTAGTTATTTATAAAACTATCACTCTACTAGGCCTTGGATAAAGCTAAGGAGGCTGCAAGCAAAGAAAGAGCTTTGACTAGGCAGCGAGATCAACTTGCTTTAGAAATCACACCTAATATGGATCTAACATTTTCAGTAAGATATGTTTATATAACAGTTTGATTCAAGTAGATATTCTCTTGTATAAAATATTGGGTTTATCATCCCCTTTTTTGGGAAAAAAAACTTAATGTTTGAAATTCAGATGTACCATGTCAAATTAAATACATTATAAAGTGTTTGTTTTCATTACAGCAATGATTCTATTTAATCTTAAAATAATACTATTCCAGGTTCTACTAAACTTAGCAACTCAATATGGAAATAATGAAATGTATAGTGAAGCGATGAACACCTATCAAATTATTATTAAAAATAGATCCTTCAGCAATGCAGGTAATATTTTAAATTAGATAAGAAGTTTTAATATTCATGTAGTGTTGATATATTTTCATGCTTTGATAGCTATATTTTACCATAAACCTTACAAAGTTATTTGTTATCTATATATTTTTTAATACTACAATGGTTTTTGGATGGAGATTTGACAAAGTTATTAGATATTGATTTGATATTACAAGAGTTGAATGGTAACAACTGATGTATTTACTCAAAAGATTATTTATGTAGAAATTTTATGAAATCTTTATAAATTTATGGAAAAGCTAATAGCATAAAAAATTTTTTTAAGGAGAGGTGGAAAAGATAGCTCTTAAAATAAATTTTCAATCAAATCCGGAATATTCATAAATGACATAAGCGATCACTATCCAACCTTTTGCAGTGTTCATTACGATGAGGTAAATAAAATTAAGGAAGCTGAAAATAAATTTTCAATCAACTATAATAAGCTCAATAATTATCTGTCAAATTACAAATTTAATTACAATCCTCAAGATTCTCTTGATCAACAATATCGAAGTTTTGTTTTCAAACTCAATNAATTTATGTTGCATAGCATAAAGAGTATTTTGCTTTCTGAATGTTAACACCCAGTGATGTAATGACACCCGATGGCGGAGCGGTAGCGCTTCGCACTCTCGTGCCACAAGTCCTGGGTTCATCCTCGAGCCGGGCAAGGTTGACTCAGGCTTTCATCCCTTCAATGAGTCGATAAATGAGTACCAAGCATGCTTGGGAACTAAACACTGGGGGTTCCGCGTTTGGTTGATCACCTAACCGGAACATCAGTTCCTGCACCCCAAAGCCCAAGGTCAAGAAAACTGAGAGGGCACAGTAGGCCTTAGCCCTCTTTGGGCTGTCACGCCACTGAGTTTAGTTTTTTAGAATGTTAATATTAGAATATTTTAAACTTGAAACTTTCCTCTAATAAAAATGTTTTTCGCCTTGCTATTTAATGGGAAAATATAGTACAGAAAATTTAAACAGAAAATTTAACAAACAGCTAACAGAAAATTTAGGGAAATTATCTCGTGCAATATTGTGTTGGACCATTAAAATAGGAGGGAAGAAATTATTTCTATCTAATTGAAACCCCTAATTATTATATGTTTTTATGGCTTTGTTGTATTCTCATCAGCATTTTACATTTTTAGTTGTTGTTTCAACAATTGAAAACAATTAATACTTCATAAGAATATTAAGTCTCTTAAACAATTGGTTAACGCCTTATTATATTACATTACCGCTATTGATGGTTCTGTTTATACAGTTTAATCTTTACAAATGTAGGCCTTAAACCTTTTACTCTATACATCAAACTCTGCTTGGGTTATCACACATTCTTTTCAAAAATATGCACCCTCTCCCTCCAAAAAAGTGATACCACCTCTAATTCGAATTCATAAGACAAATAGTTCATTCCTCCTCCATGACTACTATCAAGGAATATTTCCAGGAAGGACATAAGAGCGTTTGGGGAAGGAAACCACCAAAACTCACAAACACACACAAATAATTCATAGAGAACAGAATGTCAAAGTAGTAACAATTTATTTCAACATTTTCATTACAAATACTTGTACTTTTTTCCCCAAAAAGTGTAACAAAAAAACAAGTAAAAGTATTGAATTTGAAATGTAATGAAGCACAAGTAAAAGTATGAACTTTTACTTTCGTTGCAAGTAAAGGTATTGACATGTATGGTATTTGAAGGGATTTATTTATAGACTATGTTAACCTTCATCTATCAAAATTGGCAAGTTCTTATCACATCCGGAGGTTAACAATGAGGGGATTTTATTTATTGTCCGCAGGTCACCATTGAAGGGATTTATTTATAGACTATGTTAACCTTCATCTATCAAAATTGGCAAGTTCTTATCACATCCGGAGGTTAACAATGAGGGGATTTTATTTATTGTCCGCAGGTCACCATTGAAGGGATTTATTTATAGACTATGTTAACCTTCATCTATCAAAATTGGCAAGTTCTTATCACATCCGGAGGTTAACAATGAGGGGATTTTATTTATCGTCCGCAGGTCACCATTGAAGGGATTTATTTATAGACTATGTTAACCTTCATCTATCAAAATTGGCAAGTTCTTATCACTTTCGGGTCACCATTGAAAAGTTATAATTATCGACTGTGTCAACCTTCTACTATCAAAATATCAATTCACCATTGAAGGTATTTATTTATAGACTATGTCAACCTTCATCTATCAAAATTGGCAAATTCTTATCACGTCCGGAGGTCACCATTGAGGAATTATAATTATCAACTATGTCAACCTTCTACTATCAAAAGGTACCTCCAGATAGACTGGAGTTAACATGTCTTATATACTAGTGATTTGGTATTTAATATTTGTAGTGGTAGTTATGCCAAATTTTTTATTGCCAGATTTTTACCTTAAGTGTAACAAAGAATGACCTCTTTATTGTTACTAAACTCTACATCGATCAATCAAAAATATGATTATTTGTGTTGCCCTAAAACTTTTAGAAAATTAAGAATATTGCTAAATAAAGTTAGTTACATTACTGTAATTTGACTGTTTCTAATCAAATTTCAAATCTTTCAGGGAGACTTAAGACTAATATGGGAAATCTTTATTTCAATCAAGGAAATTATCCTAAAGCAATAAAATTTTACAGAATGGCTTTAGATCAAGTCCCTAACACCCATAGAGATATGAGGTATTTAGTTATTTTTCATTGCGTTATAAAATTTATTTTGTATATTTTATCCTTAGTATTTTATTAAGTTCACCCTAAAATCCTATTTTATCCTTTTATTAAGTTCACCCTAAAAGTTGTACACAATGGACAATTACTTCGTTTATAATAGTTTTTACCTCATCATATTTATTAAAATAATTGTTGCTGTTGTTACATATGGCTTTATTGGAAATATTAATCCATATACAATGTTCAACTTTAAGTGGACTTAAACAAGGAGTAAAAAGGAACAAAATTACAATAACAAGCACAGAAAACACATGACAAACTCATATTAATACAAAAAGAACACATAGAAAAAAATTAAAGTAAGAAAAAAATATATAAATATAAACAGTGAAGAATGAAGAGTAGTCTTTACAGAGAGTTCATGTGATCTCTGGCATCCCAGTAAAGTTTACACAGATCACCCCGCTCTTGGGATTGTTTGTCCAGTAAAGGGCATACAAGCAAGTGGTCTGAGTTCATGGTTCCCGAATTGCAGATTTGGCACTCGCTAGATGGAAGGATACCTATTCTGTTGAGGTGCTCTGCCAAGCAGTCATGGCCTGTTGAGAGTCTGAAGTTTGCCACAGCCTTCTTACGAGGACTGTGACAAAATTTCTTCCAACTGTTTTGGATGTTAGCCCAGGGTTTTCCAGTGGATTTTACTGCTTGGTTGAGCTTTAGGTTGGTCTTAAGTTTCTCGGAAAATTGTTTTTTGAGGGAGTCTGGTGGAATCGGTTTATTACATTGTGGTTCGAGTGTCCCTTTCTTGGCTAGTTGGTCTGCCTTTTCATTGCCATTGATTCCTACATGCGAAGGGATCCACTGGAACATAATAATTTTGTTGGCATTCTCGAGAAAAATCAAATTATCTCTAATATCTGAAATAGTCTGAGTATCTGAATCATGGTTTATGGCAACTGCCTGGATAGCTGCCTTAGAGTCGACAAGGATTACTGCTTTAGTGAAGTAATTGATCTTATTCTTAAGGTTTTCCAGGGCTATCGATATAGCGAAGATCTCTGCATCAAAATTTGACATATAGTATCCCACAGGGGCGCTGTGAGAAAAGAGCTTACTGTGTACTCCTGCTCCGGTGCTGTCTTGTATTTTTGAGCCGTCAGTGTACACTCTCGTCCATTCTGGTTCAGGGTATTGCTCTTGTAGCATGCATAATGCATTTGTTTTTAGTACTGTGTCAGATATGTTTTTCTTACCCAAATCATTGATATCTAGTTGGTGCCTGACATCTATAAATTTGAGAGGGTTTGTGATGTTCTTGTTACAGATAATTGGCTCATCTTCTTGGAAATCATGCAGTAATTTTTCACATACCTCTAGAGGAGAGATTTGGGTCTTCATGGAACTTGGTTTTGATTCATTCATCCATTGCGCTCTATGGGAGGCTTTCATTTTAACATAAGTGCCAACTGCTTGTATTTTAATTTCAGTGGTAATTGGTGGATTAGAAGTATAGTATTGTAGGGCTATAATTGGGGTTGTCTTCACTGCTCCCGTAATGATTCGGAGAGCATTGTTTTGGGCTCTTTCCAAAGAGTCGAGCTTACCTTGTGCGCTAGAAATTAACACCTCACTTCCGTATTTGATAATTGGTTTGATATAGGTGTTATAGGTTTTATTTAGAGTGTGTTGTGAGCTTCCCCATTTGGCACCGGCTAGTCTTTTCAGAATTGAGGTTCTCTTTTCTACTTTGTCTATAACAGTATTGATATGATTGGTAAAACTTAACTTGTTATCCAGTACCACATCGTTATTGAAGTGCCATCGTCTTCGTCAATGGGAAGCTAATGGCCTTCTTGGGCTAATATAATCGAGAAAAGAGTTCTTTGTCAGAAACTAGTTATTTTCTCATGATCATATAAAGTCTTTAAAAATTATTTTGCATTTTGTTAATGTACATAGTGCTTAAAAATATTTTTTGAGTGCTTAAGAAGTACTTAAAAGGTGCATATTTTTTGTTGAAAGATTTGACTACACACCCTGTTTTACAATTTTAATCTTTTAATTTAAACTGTGATTGTTGCTTTAGATTGATAATGTTTATTCGTTTTCATAATTTTTTATTTATTTCTACATCTTATAATTACAGTGTTTTCTTTTAAAGGATCAAAATTATGAAGAATATTGGCCTAGCTTTCGTAAAATTAGGACAATATACTGATGCTATAACATCGTATGAATATATAATGGCCGAAAAAGCTGATTTTAGAACTGCATTACATTTACTTTTATGCCACCATGCTCTTGGGGACAAAGAGAAGATGAAAAAAAGCTTTTTAAAATTGTTAGATATAGTTCTGGATCATGTTGAAGATGAAGACAAATATGCTGTGACTACGGTATATCTATTAATGTGCTTAGCTTTAATGGATAAATAATGGAAAATTTACTTTGAAGAAATTTTTATATTTTCTTGTTTATTTTCATAAATGTTTAATCATTTACATTTAAAATATAAATATGATTTGGCACTTAAAATTTATAAACTGCAGTAAACTTCTAGGCATTTACTTCTAGGCATTTCTTTTCTCATGCATAAAATGGTTACCTAAATTGTTGTGCAATTTAATTTCATGCTATTTAAGAAGCAGTACTAGGTATATAAGTTAATTTCTAAATTGCTATTTCTTGCTTGGTATTTTTTATTCCAGTTTATTATTGTTAAAGTATTTTAGAAAGCTTATGCTACGTATATTTTGTTTCTGAAGTGTAAGTTTGTAGTTTTAGTTATTTTTTTACTATTAAGAATTTCATTTGCTTAATTTATTTCAGGATGATCCTCAAACTAATTTGATTGTTGAAGCAATCAAAAATGATTCTCTTCGTAAAATAGAGAGACAAAGGTATAATTTTTATTTTAAAATTATGCAATAATCAAATTTTTAGCTTTTTAAAATTCTGAAGATAACTAATTTTTATAAATTTTTCTTATTTATTTAAGCAAAAGTCTATTTAATGTACTTATAAAAAGGAATTTCAAAATATATAAAATCATATTAAAATTGTTGTAGGAAGTTCTAAATGTTTAACATCAAAAACATTACCTTATATTTATTTAAATGTTTTAATGTTGTGGTCTATAAATATACTTGCAATTCCTTAATACAGTGAAACCTCCTGTTATGGACACTCCTGCAAAACGGATGCCTCTCAATACGGACATATTTTTTATTCCCCTTGAATCTTCTATGAATAAACCATTATGTACATTCTCTGCTAAGTGGACAGTCATTTTTCCCCTGAAACATTATTTTCTATCTCACAAACCTATACTACTCAAATTTGAAAGGAAAGAAAATTCTGTTTCAAGTTACAAAAAAAAAAAAAAAANAAAAAAAAAAAAAAAAAAAAAAAAAAAAAAAATCCAACTGTTCACCATTTTTAAAGTATGTAAATTTTTTGCATTATCCATAACTAAAAATATTGTTAAGCTATTTCACTACTAAAGAATCGATCTTTTTCCTGTCACCTTGCTGTATCTTTGCAAAGAAAGGAGAGAAAATGATACTGCTCTTGAGAAATAATTCGGACAGCGGCATCTTTTCATCTGGATGACGCAGGTTATGAGACCCCTCACTTTGAAACGTCGTCTTAAATGCTCTAAATGCTTCTTCACCAATGAAAATTCCTTTAATTTTCTTTCAATTTGAAGACCAAATTTAACTTAACTAGGGTAAAAAAAAAGAGAACAGAAATATAATCTTTGAGTTGTTCATATAAATGAAACATTTATTCAGACACTTGATAGATGATCAATTGTGAATAATCAATTCCATAGATCCTCATGACTTACTGGCATGCATTGCTTTTTTTATGTACATCATGGGAGGTTTACTTTCAAGGAGGTATTAACCAGGTTTCCTATCAAGTAATAGGTAGGTGTTAGGGGGTGTAAATCTGATAATTGAAACCGACTGAGGACAAAAAGCTTCTATTCGGTATCATATGACTAACTTGAATATCTGTGTTTTATTAATTATATTCATTTATCTGTAACTACATCCAGAATTATGTATTTATATCAAACTTTTTCATGTATTCTTTTTTGTACAGAAAAATAATTTTTAAAGTTTAAATAAATATCCTTGTAGATAGTTATTGTAGGTTATTTAAATATTTCTACACCATTGAAAATATTCTAAAAAAATTTACGGTGTTAAACTTCATAATTATAGTATTAACACCTTCCCATAAACGGACAACTCTCATAAACGGACAATTTTTTCGATCCCAAGAATGTCCACTTAACCGAGACTTAATAACACTTGTACTAAAATTCAAAAATTTTAAATTAGGATCTTTGATAAATCGTTTGTCTCCCTTCGATTCTTAGTTTAAAATTTTATTTTATTTAGCAAACAAGGCATGCAATATTCACTAAAAAGAGTATTACAATAATAAATGAATGAGTATTTCAATATTAAGAAATTTTTTATATCCTTGATAATAAAATTTAAAATTGCTATTTATTTGTTATATTTTTACATTATTATTAACATTTACTGACTGTTAAATAGTCTTAACTAAATAGTCTTAACTTTCCATGCAGGAAGCAAGAAGCTGAATGGACAATACTCACAGCTGCTAAATTAATAGCTCCTGTTATTGCAGATTCTTTTGCTGCTGGATATGAGTGGTCAGTTTTATTACCTACTTATGATTTACATTTTTATTACTATCAAAGTCATCAATCTGAACATGCTAAATCAATCAATATCCTGTTTTTCAACCATTTTTTTTTTTTAAATTTTGTTTCTGCATATTATATTCTTTTGTTATATTATATTCTGATTGAAAATATTAAATTTTAAAAAATATAATTTTATTACATGCATGTAAATGTTAGATAAAAATGTTAATTTAAGGTAATTACTTAAATGCATTAATTTGTGAGAAATATATATTTAATCTTTGTTTTAACTATTTAGGAAGTTTACATGTAGTTAGGTATCAATATATTTTTTTAACCATTTTTTTGTTATATTTTATTTTTGCATATTATATTCTTTTGTTATATTATATTCTGATTAAAAATATTAAATTTTAAAAAATATAATTTTATTACATGCACGTAAATGTTAGATAAAAATGTTAATTTAAGGTAATTACTGAAATGCATTAATTTGAATTGTTGTTCATTTACGTTGCACTAGAGCCACACAATGGGCTGTTGGCGACAGTCTGGGAAACATCCCTGAGGATAATCCAAAGATATGCCATCCCAATTTTGATCCTTTGCTGAGGGGATGGCACCCCCGCTTCGGTAGCCCGATGACTTAAACACGAAGTCGAGTGCTTTACGGTAGAACAGTTTAACGAGGACCAATGCCGCAACACCCTCGGTCCCTACGCAGACTGATCCAAGTGGTCACTCACCCGCACACTGACCACAGCCAGTGATGCTTGACTTCGGTGATCTGCTGGGAACCGTGCCTTAACAATCAGTCCGCTGCGGGACGCATTAATTTGTTAGAAATATATATTTAATCTTTGTTTTAACTATTTAGGAAGTTTACATGTAGTTAGGTATTAGTTAAATAATGTAATATGTATATAGATAATATGAAATAAAATTTAATGGGGTTTGCAGCAACTATGTATTAGCTCAATTTTAATTACAATTTTAACTACATACTTAATGAAGTAGCTCAGGACAGTAACAAAATTATTCTTTTTACTGCAAACTCTTGAATTAGATCATATGTTCAGTTTATTTATAAATATATTTCTACTTTTATTACATCAGATGCTCTATATAATAAGATTAATTTATCATGCAATGGCACTTTTTTTCTAGGTGTGTTGATCAAATAAAATTGTCTCCTTATGCAGACCTAGCAAACGACTTGGAAATCAATAAAGCTGTCACATACTTACGAAAAAGAGAATTTTCCCAGGTACATTAAGTATCAAGTTCATTCCAATGTGGTGATTATAAATTATTTTTTTTACATATTTATTAAATTGGTTGCTGTTGGGTACATTAAAGTTATTCATATTTTAAGGACACAAAAATATAAAAAATAACAGGAATGTTATTCATCTGGGTAAATTAATAGCCCATAAAAAATCTTTTAAATATTTTCTTGTTTGTTTCTAAAAATTTAGCAAAAGTAGTATTATAGCTATGAAAATCAAATTCAAATTTATGAAAATTAAATCCAAATTTCAAAAGAGAACAGGATAAAACAAAATTAAACAAAAACATACTCTTGTTTTAAAAAATTTTTTCCCCAAATAGGTCATATTGAATAATATTAAATAGATATTTTTCTTTTATATTTTCATTTTCAAAGTGTATGACTTTTGATTTGAGTCAATCTAAAATAAAAAAGCACTATGTTAAACATTTTCTAAGGTAGAAAATTTATATTTTGTGATTTCATAATCGATTAAAAAAGGATAAATCTGATTACTGAATACAAAATGTATATATTGACAAATAATATATAATCTGAGTATTTGATTATTCAAAGTAAGTTTAGCCACAACTACTTCAGATAATCGATATCTTACTATATTAATAAGAAATTTTTTTAAAAAAATCTATGCGTTCATTAAACAAAATTATTTATTACGTGGCTATATCTTGGATTTTATTTTATTTTATAACCAGAGTTGAACAGCTGACCCATATCTAAGTTTACAACTATCAATCTTCAAGTCCATAGCTTTATAATTTTGAATATAACCCTGAAAACAAGGGAACTCTTGGATCAAACATTAGGATTAACTATCCTTCATGGAGGACTTTTTGAGGGAACTAAAACGCAGTGTTACACTGAAAAGAAAACCTCCCCTCAGTTAGCACGACGACAAGGGGATTCTAGCCCATGATTCATCTACCACTGAGGATATTTTACATCAGCACTGTGGTCAGTGCGGGAACAGAATTCGTATCAACTAGCCGCTGCTGGGATTTCAACCGGAATTTCACCTCATCGAGAGGCAAATACTCTATCCAAGCCACCACTGCTCCTATATTTGGGGAAATCAAGCGAGACTTCATTTCTAAAATTTCAAATATGGGTTTCCTAAAGTCAATGCATGTGGTAGCCCAAGATGCAGTGATAAGATATTAAAGGTGGTGTTGAAAGTTAAATTTATGCATAATGATCTTAATAAAGTTTTTGATATTTTTTTTTAAAAAAATGAATATCTTATTTTAAGTGCTAAGGTAACAAGTACATTCTTTTATTAACTTCTTATCTGTAACATTTGCTGTTACAAACAAAAAATAATGCTCACAAAATAATTATGAAGGTGAAATATGAGTGCCTGTATTAAGTTTTATTATTCATTTTGAATTAATTTCACATGAGAAAGTAGAATTTATTTGCAGAGTACATCAAAATGAATATCCCAATTTCATAGGTTTACTACACAACATGTAATAAATGTACTCGTTGAAAGTATGCATGCATGCAAGCAAAGGTGATATAAGTAAGTTTTGAATAGATGCCAAGAGATGACTCTGGAAGATCAATCATCATTGTTTCTGCGAAAATGAAGCAACTGAAGTGCAGACTCTCCAGAATAACATGTTATCTCAATGGTGGATTGGTCGCATATCAGCTACAAAAAATGCACTCTTGCCTTGGCCACCAAGATTCCCAGATACAGAACCTCGCAATTTTTTCCTGTTGGGGTTCGTAAAAGATAGTGTGTATATGCCTCTAGGTCCAACAAACATGACTGATTCGAAAGCCACTATCACAGCTGCTATTGCCAACATCTATATAGACATGCCAAACAAAGTTTAGCAAGAATAACATTTCAGACTTGATGTATGCCATATAACAAAAAGAGTACATATTGAACATTTGTAAGGAGTCCATTCAAAACTAGTTTATGTATAAATATGCTTCTGTGTGCATATATTTTTAATGAATATATTTATTAAATTTTATAGTGCATTGATTAAATAGGGACATTCATTTCTATTTACCTTGTGATAGCAAAAAGCTGCTGCCTTGTGATTTGATTAATCATTTCATTTTTAGAAAAAAAATTTCCACTTACGTATCTTTTACGTTGTGTATATCTATAGATATCTATCAATCAGTTATATTGTCTTATTAAGTGTGTTTAATGTATACTTTCTGGATACATTTTAGTTTAATAATTTATTTTTTGGTTTTAAAACATTTTTCCTCTTATAATTCAGGCAATTGAAACTTTAAAAGGTTTTGAAAGAAAAGAAACAAAGGTTGCTAGCACTGCCGCTACCAATTTGGCTTTCTTATATTATTTGGTGAGTTAATTTTTTTTTTCTTTTAGTAAAATTATTTTTCATATTAGTATAATGTTTTTTTCAAAGCTACATCATGACATGAATCATGTATTTTGATTAATAATTTTTCCAAATTTTTTATATCTTAAAAAAAATATTTCTCACAGAATTACTATAGGTAGCTTCCATACTCTGATTCCATTTTAAAAATTTTGTTTTCCTTTTTATGTGAAACTATATTTTAAATTTTTGACTAAAACAATATTATAAACTTGATATTTTCAATGTTAAAAAGTAAATTTGATTTTTATAATATTATATAAATTACATTATAAAATTAAAAGGCTGGTTTTATCAACATTGTTATCAAAAATGGCCAATTTCATTATAAACCACTGATAGAAAATATTAATATGTTTATAATTATTTGTGTCTCAATTAAAAAGTCATATATTTATTTCAATTTTGTTTAAATATTTAAAACCAAATTATAAAAGTATTTAAGTAGAAATGGTAATTGCTTGCAGCATATATTATAAAAATTATTGCATTAAAATGTACGGAAAATGTTAATTGTTTTGACCAGAAATATGAAACTTTTATTTTGCAAATATATTTAAGCAAAACATATTAACATTTTTTATTCAATATTTTTAAAATAATAAAATTATTGTATACATATTCATTTCTGATTTTTGTATTCCAGCAAGGAGATATCTCACAAGCTGAAAAATGTGCAGATCAAGCTGTAATAGCTGACAGATATAATGCTGGAGGTGAGTGTTATTCATTTTGATTTTATTTTTCATGTTATAATACATTTAAATGTTTAGAGTATTTTCAATATCTTTTTTATATTCGTTCTAATATCTTTTTTATATTATTATATTTATTATTTTCAATATTCTTTATAGATATAAAAATGTTTTTCTTTTTGTGAAATTTAAGAATTTTTTTTTAAAATACATATATAGCCTGAAGTAAAAGGAAAAAAATAACAGATTTGTTTTAAAAAAATTATAACTTAGTTATTTTTTGAAAAAGTTATATTGTTTTTTTTTTTTCATTAAAGTAATAACATAACTTTGTAAAACTTGTTAAAACCAGTATAACTTTATTCAAAACTNTATATATATATATATATATATATATGTTTAACATCAATTCTATAGCAATGATACTTTTTAAAGAAACAGAAAATAATTTTTAATTTTTTAAAAAAGTAACTTTTTATTTTTATGAAAATTCATATTGTTTCTTTTATTTATAATTTGATACGTCACTTGTATATAAATACTATATTTATTATCCGCACCCAAAACAATTTAAATGATAATAACCTTTATTTAATAGACCATAAAAAACTGTGATTTAAGAACTATTTATAACAATTATCTATATCACAAACTATTAAGACATATAAGGGTTCATTTAAATAGCTATATACAATTTTAAATGTAATATTTATTCAACAAAATTTTAATTATTTTGTTTTCAATGCTTAGCAATATCTTGCAAACCTTTGTACTTTTTTATTTATTTATCTAAGCTTTGGTGAATAAAGGCAATTGCTGCATGGATAAAAAGGAATATGATAAAGCCATAGAATTTTATAAAGAAGCTCTTTCCAATGAAGCAAGTTGTGTTGAAGCTCTGTATAATTTAGGTATGCTCACATTTTAAGCTTGAATGTTCAATATTTATATACATTATTTTATTGTAACTTATTTATCATGAGCTTAGTATGAACTTTACAAAGGCATATTTAAATGCATTATTTTAACTGATTTGTTAGCCTATAACATAGGTTAACATAGGAACTTACTGTCTCTTGAACATGTTAATTTTATTTTAGCAATTTATTGATGATAATCAGATCGGATTTCACAAGACAATATCCTTTGAAACAAAGGCAACAATTATTGCTATGTTTGTAATTGTAATATGTGTTTACGTTTACAATACATATTAGTTCAAATTATGTTTTAAGTTTCACAGTGTTTTGTAAATTGATTTATGTGATCTTGATTTATTTATATAATTTTAAATAGAAATTAATTTTTAAGGTTTATGTTATAAGCAAGTCAGCAATGCTGAGGATTCTTTGGAATCTTTCTACAAGCTTCATGGCATTGTGCGAAATCATCCATTGGTGATATATCAAATAGCAAGCTTGTATCCTTTTTTTTATATACAAACATAGAGAGGAACTTTAAAATTAGAAGGCAATGACCTGATAGTTATTTTGTAATGCAGTAACTAATATTAATTCCCTGCAATTAAATAGAATTATTTTTCATTATTATCCATTGTATTAGTTCTTGTTAAATTAAGAATAAATTAGCAGTTTCAAAAAAGAAGTGCAAATTTCTATTTAAGTCAAAAGTACCAAATCAAACTAAAAAGATAAATAAATAAACTATAACTATATAAAGATATATAACAGGGGTTTCCAACTTACATGAGGCCAGGGCCGCAATTAAAAACACCTGTCAAATGGCGGGCCGTAACTTTATCAAAATTTTATCTATGACTCTTTTATGTTTGAAGGAACATTGAATATTATTATAAGATTTTTATCAAGTTGTACAAAACAAATGTATTGAATTAAAAATTAAAATTAGAAGTAGATTTAAGTAAAATACAAGATTTTTGTGTTTGAATAAATATTTTCTTGGATGCAAAACCTGAGAAAAAAATTTTTTTTGCACCGTTGGTATGTTAAATTTCACAGAAACGTAGAAATTAGGGGTTTTTTTAACGAAAGAAAAGTATTTAAGCCGCTATAGATTTTTTGCGAAAATTGTCCGCAAAAAATGACAACTAATATATTTTAGTTTGCGGGCCGCCAGTTGGTAACCACTAATATATAACATAATAAACACATAATATGAAGAAATAACTATATTTAAGCACTATTTTTATCACAGTCGATGGTGTTTTATAGTATTATTAGTATTGGACAGTTTAAAATCATGTGGTTCATAATTAATGCGTAAAAGGCAGAATGATGTAAGAGTTGTACTCCGTGAAATGATGACCAATCTACACTGACTTTCTTTTAAGTTTATTATAGTCGTCATTTAAACAAATTAACAAACATCACTGTTTATAAGAAGATATCTGATTTTTTTCAATCAAAGGAAATAGATTAAATCTTTTAAAAAGAAATTTATTGTATTGAATAAATGAAATTTGCCAAACAATAAAGTAACATTTACATGAAGTTAAAAAAATAATTTTAAATTCAATTTTATAAGTACCAAAACTAATTTGGAAGCAAATTGTTTAAATTTAAATTGTAATTTGAACTACTGTATGTGGCATTCATGACAATAAAAATTTATAAAATGAAATTCAATTACTTAATAACAAATTGTTTTAATGCTTGTAATTGTATCATTGCATTATTCATTTTTTTAAATGAAGTGTAATAAGTGTTATGAGCTTTTATAGGCTATTTACTTAATTATACAAGTTAATTTAAAATGTGGAAAAAAGAAAATATATTTGGGATTGCTGTAATTCCATTATTTTGATAAATCAAATCTACAGTTAAACATTAGTTATTCAAGTTACTATAGATGTTCTATGAATTCCCTTCCTGTGATATTGCAAATATCTGTGCAGTATTTGTATTGCAGTAACTGCCAGTATTCATTGTTTTTGATTCCAGCACTTGAGTTATCCTCTACTTCATTTCCTATAAACCCTGAACTAATTGTTTTTATGCATGCAACTTGTTTCTTGAAACAGTTTCTCCCACTGTTTGATGTAGCGATGGAAGTTCCTTACCAAGTTTAGTACAGAAATATCTTTGAACTGTGAAAAGCTTCAATGTTTTGGCATATTCCGAAACATTGTACTCATAGTACATATCCCAAATTTATGAAAGGGAGACAGAAAATTCATTAATTATGAGTTTTCATGTAAAATATTATGTTTAAAAGTACAGGTAATAAAAATCAAAAGTTGTTAAAATTTCAAGGTTCGATTTCCCAAGTTAAAAAAAAGATAAGCAACACACTTAAAATCGTCTCTTATACTTCTTTAATATGGAATAAATGGTCAATTAAAATGTCCTTTTCTAAAGTTTTTAGAAATTGTTTTGTAGGAAATATGGAAACGGTAACACAACATGGCAGATAGAAATATAAAAACATTGTGACCAACTAAAGTCAAAAAATGAGAGAAAAATTTAATATTTCTAAAAACTATTCCAATTGAAATATTTTGCTGCACCAAGTTTTTCAATATATTTTAAGAAAAAGTTACGAGTTCAAAAATTTTTTTCGTAATAGATTACTGTAAATGTATTAAATTAAGAGTCATAAATGATTAGTATCCCCATTGTTTAAAGACTTTTATGAGAAATCTGAAGTTCTTAACTTAAATTTAGATATGAACAATTAGAAGATATTGATCAAGCGCTGGAATGGTAATATGGAAGACTGATTGTTTATGTATTTTAAAGCATTTCACATTGAAAATAAAATGCTTATTATTTATTTATCAATGATATATCTTCCAATTTTTTATTTTTTTTTTAATAACCAGGTATCAACAAGTCATTACATTAGTGCCTACAGATCCATATCTTTTAGGGAAAATTGGTGACATGTTTGAATCTGAAGGTGACAAACAGCAGGCTTTCCAGTATCATTCTGATGTAAGTGTTAAATAAAACACAAGTAAAGGATATTTTCTCTCATAATTTAGAAAGTAAATTAAAAACAGATTGGTCTCTTTCTCTACCATGGCGTGTCTGATCGGTCTGTTTTCTCCGAGTCTATCTCAGTGATTCGGAATCCACTATAATGTAATGTTCCTGACCGTTTCAGAGCAGGTGAATACGGTGTCTTATAGGTCTCTCCAAAAAGTTTCTCTCCTACCTGAATGATTGATGGAGTAGGTGGAGAATCTCAATTGAAAAAGGACACCTGTTTACGGAGGTCATTACTCGCCAAATCTTTATAACGCCTAAGACGATAAAGGGTCTCATATGGAAAACCGATTTACCTCGATTTTGAGCGACATAGTTTATTAATTCTTCGTTTAGTGAGAGATGAAATTTTTCGGAGTCGCAAGGGATTTTTAGCGAGAAAAGCTTTCTTATTTTCTTATGAAAAGGGATAAATCAGTAAATAAAGAAATTTAAATCCACAAAAATTATTCAAAGATTTTAAAAATAATTTTATAAAAAATTTGTATCATCTGCAATTTAAGATGCAAGCTTTAAAATACTTTGTTCGTTCAGTTCTTGTAAAATTATTTTCTCGACAACTCTATCTCTTTTACAAAATAATAATCTTATCTTCACTCTATAAAATTGAGTTAAAACGACGTTTCTGAGTATTTTTCTCGTGGGTACCGTTCGAATGAGGAGGGGGGGGGGACTCCAATGCTAACTTTTTTAAGATTATATATACATATTGTGTGTTTTCGTGCTTTTTTTATACTTAAATTTAAGAGCATATAGCATTGCATTATCCGATTGAAAATGCTAATCAAACTATTGCATTTGCTTTTTTCTTCTTTTTTTTTGAAACCTTAAAATTATAGAAAAAAAATCCATATTTCAATGTTTCACAGTGATAGCTATGTATGGAATTCAAGTGAAGACGCTACCGTTCTTAAAGGTGCTTTATGAATGGTAGCATGGTATTACCATAAAGATGCTTTATGATTCTTACTATGTAAAAATTTAAAAAACTCATAAACATTAAAGGACTTGATGAAAAAAATTTTTTTACAAAATAATAATAAAAAAAAGATTAAAAAAATTAAATATTTTTCTAAAAAGATATTCGTGGCACTTAAGTTTTATAAAAAAGATGCTTTCGTTGCTGTTGGTTCATTTCTCGTCGTCGTAAAGTGTAGGCGAAAAATTACAAAGGTAGCATATTAATAATCTTTTGACGCAGATTGGAGACTGGTGTTATTTTTTCTGATTTCTCAGTTCTGACATATGAACATGACATATGAATTTAATTTAGTTCTTTATTTCACAAGTCTGTATCACGGCTTAGATATCAATACATAGAAATAGTTTCAATCATAATCACATAAAATTCTGAAATTTTTTTTTAAAATTTCTAATTATGTTTTTAGCGTGCAATTTCCATATTATGTTAAATTCTTATATGTGTTGCATTTTCAAACCTCATTGATGCAGATGATAAATTACATAGTTTAAAATTATTAATCATAATAATAATAGCATGATGATCGATTTCGTTAAATTTAATTGACGTAATAATTATACTCAATGAAAAAATTAGATTTGAGCTACAATTTAAAAAAATCTTAAAGATTATAAATATTTCTTTAATGTGATTGTTAATAACGGCTTCCAATGTTAAGAAAAAAATTTCTGATAATTGGAATTTTATTTAATTCTGTAGTTTATTTAAAATTGCAGAAACACTACATAAATCCATTTCAATTCGCTAGACAAGATAAGCTATTCATGAAATGGTGGTTAGTCAAAGTAAATATCTTTCGCTTCTTTCATTTTTAGAAAATTTTCCCTCTGATGGCTAAAACTTCAATCTCACCCTTGCTGAGAGGAAAAATCCTTCTTCATNCTCACTCTTACGAAGAGGAAAAATCCTTCTTCATACCTGACAAAATAGTGACCTTTTTATAAGAAAAGCGCCAAGAGAAAATAGCTACATCATGCCAGGAGAATATTAAGCCAAGCTGATTCTAGGGGGGACAATGAGACACACCTGAAAGCAATTACCCTTATCTTGACAGCTGAAGTTTTGGCGAGATCTACAATGAACCAATGAAGGTTAGGTTAATGAACCCATGGTGAATACTGCCACCATATGCTTTCCAATTCAAGCTTGTGGTAGTTTAGTTTTTGCATGGGCTAGTATTGTATTAACAACTTTATGGAGGATAAGTTCTGGGCTGTCCCTAATTGCTAACTTGCATTATAGTAGAAAAGAAAAATATAATGGTGAGGTAGTTTTTAATTTTTTTAGTGATCTTATAATGGTTTAAAGCTTTGTGACTCTTAACTTCCATACATAATATATATAGTCCACACTTAACAGTGATGGACTTCGTCATGTAAATTTGTTTTCTCAACACTCAGAAATGAACTTTTATGTCAGAAGTTTTAATGAGATATAACACATTTTTAAGCATAAAAAGATTTGAAAGAAATAATATATTAATTGTGTGTCCAAAACTGCAAACACATAAGATTATTTATCAATATAAAGTACACTTTGGCTTAGTCTTAAATTGAATTCTATACCCCATATATAAAGGCAATTTTTTTTTATTTAGTTTTTAATTCTTTCCATTGTTTCTGTAGTATATTTTTATGACTTCAATCAAGATTTGCTATTTAAATGTAAGTCATTTATAATCATGCATTTTTAAAAGCATATGTTAAGTTTATTTTTCGTTTAGTCTTATAGGTATTTCCCTTCAAATATGGAAATAATTCAAAAGCTTGGATCCTATTATATAGAGTCACAGATGTTTGAGGAAGCAATAAAATTTTTTGAAAGAGCAGCTATTATTCAGTATGTTATTTTTGCATTTAAATCTGTTAACAATTTCATCTTTTATAAAGAATTTATTCCAACCTGCATATCAAAATCTAATGTATCCCTGTAAAAATTCATGTTTTTTTAAAACTTTTATCTGTTGTGAAAATTAGGACTTAATAATGTTGTTACCATGATTTTATTAATCATGAGCATCATGTCAAAAACATGATTAGAAAAAAGTTTTTTTTTCATACTGATACTTGCATAATGTGTTTAAAAACCTTGAGGTTTTGTTAATAGTAAATGGTGAACCAGATAAGTACTTTTTACAATAAAATTTTACATTTGAAGCTTAATATTCTTGATTTAAAAAATATAAAAACTATGTTTTTTTTTACATTATTATTTTTTTAAGATTTTCAATTAAATTATTATTAATTATAGTTCTATATACGTAATAATTTAATTAAATATTTTTTTATAATTTAATTACTATTAAATATTATTTAAACTTTATTCAGTTATTATTCCTTATGACTATTTAAGTAAATGTGTTGTGCATCTACTTGGATAAGTACAATGTGCACATATGCCTGTCGTTTAGTGGTTGAATATTAATACAGACTTGTGAACTTTTAATCGTTCCAAAATGAATACTCCAAGTGGTAGTGAAAAGATAATTGAAAATAAAATTGCAGATAAAAATAATAATATTAATTTGCGAGGACCTAAATGTACTATCGTTAAGATAATTTGATTTTATATATATGACTTATTGATTTATGTCTAGTGGCACTTAAAATGATTTTAAGTTAATTTAAAAATTCAATAATTAAAAAGAAATTTATAAATTGTATTACCACTTTAAATATAAAAATGAAATCTTAAATATTTTGTGATGGTTGACACATCTGTGAAAAATATATATAATTACTCAAGTACAGTCCGCAAAAAAAAAACGAATCACCCTGAATAACATTCGTTCTAATGATCGGATTTTCACGAACTAAGTGTCAATCTTAATAGTTCCTGGGGGTGACCTCANTATATAATTACTCAAGTACATGTGTACAAATATTACTTGATGAGCCATATCTTTTTATTGAATAATTCAAACTAAAACTGATTACATAACCAAGAAAGCAACCTGTTCTCAATACAAATACAGATTTGACATTTAAAGAGTTAACAATTTTTTTACATATTTATTCAAAAATAAAATAATTTACAGAAGTATTTACCTTACAATTATTTCATTGACGATTGATATTCTTTTTTGGTATTTATTTAAGGCATTTAAAGAACATATGCTTTCATGCAATAAGAAATAAGTAACAAAAAATTTTGAATAAGAAATATAATGAATCAATTTAAAAATCACCGGAGATAAAATTCAATCAATATACAAAGATACCCACTTATTGATTCTTTGAAAGAAAATAGTTCAAAAATAATTTATTTAATACTGATATGAATACTCTTTTTTGTTCTTTAACGCACCAAGAGTCGATCTGTAGAGCAAAATTGTACTGAATTTCCCTGAAAAGCACTACTTTTCTATTAAATAACATGGGGAATTTGTTATTCTTTTTTTTTAATTAGGAAAAACTGTAGCTAAAAGTTTAAAAAACACTGAGGCTTACTACTTTCTAAAAACTCTTAAAAATGTTTTTTACTCTGGTTCTTTAATTTGTATGCCACCACTGAATATATCATTCCTTGACGTTTTATTTCATTTAATGATGTGTTACGTTATCTCCAACAGACCTAATCAGGTTAAGTGGAAGTTGATGGTTGCAGCTTGCCAGAGAAGAAGTGGGAATTATCAGCAGGCTTTTGAAGAATATAAATCTATCCATCGCAAATTTCCAGATGATGTTGAGTGTAAGTTAGTCTGAAATATTATCTTTATGAAATTTGACTTTGCTCTCTGATTTTAACAAGAAAATTTGCTATCTAAAACATTTTCTCTATTAAGTAACATGGGGAAAAACTGGTTAAAAAAAACATAGAATAGGAACATGATTGTAAATAAAATTTGAGGTTTGTATGGATGGTGTTTTCCACATTAGGGTGCATTTCAAATTCCTTACCACCTATACTGTCGGGTATAGTATATTTGTTACCTGATGTATTATATGTGCTTAAAAAAATAATTGTTATGAGAATTGTCAGTTGAAGATCTGTCACTTTAAGACATACAAATCGTCATTTGAAAAAAAGAATCGTTATAAAACACTTCTTACCTCAGCAACAATTTACTAAATTCGAAATTTAAACCTAAATTATAATTTATATAATGAACCTAATCTCCTTGCTCGAACAATATTCTAACGTTTGATGGTACACTGCTTATTACATGAACGAACAGTAATAAACATTTAAAAATAGGCCAAATCAGAACTGCCAAAAAAGCGAATTATTTCTAAATCTAGCAACTATGTCACCATTTTTAACAATGCATCTATAACAGTGGCTACCAACTGGCAGCCCGCGAAGACTTTTTTTGTGGCCCGTGAACTAAAATATATTAGTTGTGGTTTTTTAGTGAACAATTTTCTTTAAAAAAAATCTATATGAGTTTAAAATACCTTTCTTTCGTTTCTGTGAAATTTAACATACCAACAGTACAAAAAAAATTTATATCTCACGTTTTTCACCCAAGAAAATATTTATTCAAGTACAAAAATAATCATGTATTTTGGTCTTTTTTATTTTGTTTCTTTGTATTTTGTGAATATAGTTTTGCATGTGCTTATCAGAAATTTTCTCAAAGAAATTCTCCCATTTAACTTTTTGAAACCACTCATTTTGGACGAAATTATTTACATTTGTAAATTTTAAAACGCATATAAGAGGGAATGAATATCATTTTTTATTTAAATTCCTTGAATTCAATATAGCATGAGCGGAAAGGGGAAAAAAATTAATTTGCGATGCTCGAGAATTTTTTTTGTTGCTATAATTCCTAATAAGTCGGAAAAAATTTTAATTTATCACAGAATTAAATTTAAAAGAAAAAAAATCTTGCCACTAAGTTTCTGATTAAGAGAAGATTCAAAATGATATGTAACAAGCATTAATTGTAATGCTTGTTATTTTTCTTTTTAATTAAAAAAAATTTTGATAAAGTTGTGACCCGCCATTTGACTACTGTGATTAATTGCGGCACCTGGCCACATGTAAGTTGGAAACCCATGATCTACAAATAACTAATACAAATTTTCATTTCAAACTCACCAGAATTACTTAATATCATTAATATCTTATGAAATACAGCAAATTTGAGCACAGAAATGATATAAACTTTTTTTAATTAAAAACAAAATTATCTGTTTGATAATATCGCCTCATAGAATAAGCTGTATACTTTTTAATGGGAAACAGAACAGGTCAAGAGCTCAAGTTTGTTGTTGTTTACTTTTATATTGAAAACACCATCCATTTAAACTGTTAAAATTTAGTTAATCTATGTTAGTTCATATCTATATTTCTAGCTCTATGTTTATAAGTTTCCATATTGCAAAGAAAAAAATTGTTTCTTTGCAAAAAAAATTTTTGTAATCAATATTATACAAATTTTCGATTTTTTTTTAAAGCTGTAAGAACACATTTAAATTCTATAATGTTGTGAGATCTTTAGAAAATGATTTTAACTATTTCTAAATTTAAATTGCAGTTTAAAAGTATTATACTTTTAGCATTGATTTAAATTACTTTAGTGTTTTGAATTTTTTATTGCTAAAATCCAGGCATCTCATTATATTGTGTATCTAACATGGTATTTTTCTGATATATACATTCGTTTGCATTTAAATTTGTTAATGAGATTTACTGTTGAAACTTCCTATAATGTTCAATATATAAAAGCATAAAACAATAATTATTAAGTAAACATGTATTGTTTAAAATTTTATATTAATTTTTGATTTTACTTTTAGGTTTACAATATTTAGTTCGCTTAAGTACTGATTTAGGATTGAAAGAAGCAGCTGAATATGCCGCAAAATTGAAAAAAGCAGAGAAAGCTAAAGAAGTAAAAACTCAGGTAAAAAAATATGTCTCTGCCAGGCAAAATAATTTAACCTTTCTTAAATCATCTTTGATTTTTGTTAAATATGTTTTATTTCAGAGATCTGCCAGTAGTGGGAGTCGCCCGGGTAGTCGCAGAAGCAGCAGTCGCACATCTCGCGATGGGTCTGCTAGCAGCAGTAAGTTGTTCTTTGTTTTTGATAATAGAAAAGTTATTTATTGCAGTTATTCATTATTGCTTTTTATTTATTAAATATTTTTTAGTTCAAAGTAAGTGAAGGCATTTAATAGCTTCTAAAAACTATAGAAAATAGTTGGTATGCAAACAATGAAAAAACTTCCAAAAATAAAGATGTTAGATGCTATCAGAATTACTGTTTTGCCTGGAGAAATGTGTCTAAAAACTATCCAAAATGGTTTTAAGACTAGCTTTGAAGATGATGAACGAAAGGGTGAAGGCATCAGTAAAGAAGAAGAAACTGTTGACGCTGAAAATGCAGTGTCAGATTTGCCAGAATGGAATGCAATGAAATCTGGATTTAATGTTAACATTGATTTTGAAGATTTTCACAAGTGGATAACTGCCTGGTAACATGTGGAATATTGACAGATGTGGAAATCATAGAAAATGTCAAAGGAATATCTGATGAAGAGGAAGAAGCTGAAGATCATATTGATGAACCAAAAGTGAATGCAAAAGAGGTAGAAAAGCTGTAGAATTCTAATTAACTTTTCTTGAATCCCAGGAAAATGTTGGCTATGAGAAATTTGCGCTCTTTCTAAGCTTAAAAGAATAATCAAAACAAATAAGGTTATACATCAAAAATCTTTGAGAAAATATTTTCAGTGTTAAATGTATGTTAAAAAAATTTGTATGTATGTGATATAATTAATTTAAAGAAATGCCTACTTTTTTCTACTAAAAACAATTAAAGCACGTTTAATAGAATTTCTTAATTTAATTTAATATTTTAATGTACTTGCATAACTCGAAACCTCTTTATCTCAAATTTTTCGCCTTTCCCATGAGATTCGAGATAAACAGGTTCGACTGTATGTTGTTTTTTTTGCATGAAATTGTTTTATTTTTTTTTTGATAAATAGTTTTCTTATTTACTTTCTTTGCTTGTAGATACAAGCATACCTCTTGGTAGCCCTAGGCAATCTCATTCTGGTCATTCTTTAACCGCATCTGCTAAATCTTTGAGCAATGCACAGAAAATATTGGAAGCTGATGAATTAACTCTACCTGAAGATAATCAAAGTGAGCTTTTATTTTTAAGTTATTTCTATAGAATCTAGCTATTAATAGATTACTTCAAAATTAAATGTTTGTAACATTTAAAAATAAGGCAATTTTACGCTATGTACAGTGTGCCAAAGAAAAAAAAAACATGTTACCCTAAATAACTTTTGATCTAATGATTGGATCTTCACACTCTAGGGGGTGACTTTAAATATACCAATTAAGTAGGGCATGCAATAATTTAAGTTACGAAATCAACAGGACACAAAAACGGACTTTCTCTGAATAAACATACCTTTTTATCAAAGGATTCAGATTTCTGACCTCTGAAATATAGGGGGTAGCTGCAATTTGTAAAATGTGGGCGCCATAGTTTGGGCCCCTTAATGTTAATTTTACGTATTTCACCTTATCTCAAGAACTTTTTTTAAGCAAATTGAAAAATATTTTTTTGAAGTCAGAAATCTGAATCCGTTGAGTATGTTTATTTGGAGAAAGGATTTGGAGATTATTCTGATTTCATAACTTAAAATGTCGTCTGCACTAATTAATTAGCATATTTGATGTCCCCTCTCAAATCTTTAAGACAGAGTACTAAAACAGGAAGATCTGATCATTAGATCAAGTTATTCAGGGTGGTCTGTTTTTTTTTTTTTTTTTTTTTTTTTTTTTTTTTTTTTTTNTAAATTGAATTGTTAGCAATTTAAGATTCAGCTAAAATTATCAGATTCAGCTACCTTAGCTGATAGGTAGCTCAGCTACCTATCAGATTCAGTCTTAAATTCCTACACCTTAATTTTTATGTAGAAAAGTAAATAAAAAATATTTTATTTCTATTTGAAAAGAAAACCACTGTATATATATTTTTTCTTTTTATAAAAGAATTCCAATAATAATTTAGATGAAAGACAAAAACTATTTGAAAACTTTGCATATTTTTAAAACAAAGGATCTATCAATAGAGAGATAATATAGAGAATTTTGTTTCAATTATCTGTTTAAAAAAAAATTTTTTTTACAGTGTTGATGTTTTTCTACTTTTCTAAAATTAACTTTCCAAAAAAAAATTAAGCTGAAGTTATGAAAGTTCATAATAGGATACGATTTCCCGATTTATGTCTTAAATTAAAAAAAATCTTTTTCTTTTCCCTTAAGTTTGAATTAAGAGGAATTTTGAAAATTTTATATCTTAAAAAATCATGTCAATTTTGATAGCTTTATTTAAGGATTTTTGGACGAGAAAATGCAAATCAAAATTCATTTTTCATAGTACTGAAACTTGAAATTTTACTTGTGTAGAAAATTTTAACTAACAAGGAGAGTACACAATTTAGGAAATGAACTTTGAAACTTGGTATGCTAATACTGAACCTAAAAGATGTTCACCTCTTAAAATAAAAAAAAGCACATTATGTAGCCAATTCTGAGAAAAAGTATTTGAAAATGTAAGCATAATTTATATGCCAGATAAAATTTACTTCTTTATCGGTGTAATATCCTAGCAGGGGTAATAGTGACAAACTGAAAAATCCTGAAAATTTTGAGCTAAAACTCGATTTTTTATCATATCAATGTATATACTTGATCAATTTATATACTATACATGTTTAATATAACTTTTTGAACCGATTTATAATTAAATTATCTACTAATGAAGAATATCACACATTTATAGTAACAAATTTAAGAAAAAGCTTAATTTTTACAAGAATCGCGATATTGGATATTAAAATCGCGTGAATATGAATCGTGATATTAGATCTTAAGAACGTGATAAGACAAATTTAATCACGATATTAGTTTTAAATTGAGTAAATACGAAAATCAATGTTTAATATTACAAAAGCGTGAATATGAATAGAGACATTCGATTTTATACTCGCATGTATACGAATCGCGATATTAGATTTTATAAACACGTGAATACGAATCGCGGTATTGATTTTAAAAACGCACTTTTTAAATCAGCTGAATATGAAAATCGATGTTTGATATTAAAATCAAGCGAATATTAATCGCGATATTAACGTATAGTTTCAAATATTAAAAAAAAAGGCAAAAATTCGACAAACTAAAAAAAAAAAAGAAAAAAAATGGAGGGAGAATTACATGCATATAAACGTCTTGTTAACGCGATTAAGCATAAGTTTAAAATTTTAAATCACAGTGAAAATTTGGTTAGATTAATAGTTTTGATTCACGTAAGTACGCAAATCAATGGTTTTGAGAAACGTGAAAAATCACAAGACCTGCTCCTAGTTTTTAGACATGGAAGGATAATATGAGAAACCTATAATTCCGGGGCACACCCAGAATACAATTACCTCTGCTCTAGTGGCAGTTTGACTGACTACAATGTGCTTGAGGTACAATGTACGTGATCAATTACTTTTTCCTTTTTTTTTTCTTTAATATTTTTTTGTGTTTACAAATAGCATTAGTTTAACTATAATTATAGTTTATTTTTAGTTATTAGATATTTTCTACATTAATAATCTTTATAAAAAATTCTTATAAAATTAAAGAAAGTTTGATTTTTTATTACTAAATTATTTTTGTTTAGTTTTATGAACAATACTCTGAATGATAACTATAATGAAAATTTGAAAACATAAATTATTTTGCATCTTGCACAATTAATAAAAGATTATTGTGAAGTTGATCTGCCGTGAAATATACTTCATTAATATTCAAAAAGATATTTCACTCTTCTGAAAATTTAGAATCATACTAATCACATCTTAACATTTTATTTTTTTTTAAATTGGCAAGGAAAATTGACAGTAAACTTTGGTATTTTAATGTATAGTCTTTATAAGAATTAATTTTTTATTTTATTCGATTAATTGTGCAGAATTCTGTAAAGGCTTCTTTTTTTTAGCTGTCTATAAAATAAAATAAAAAATGTTTCAAGGTTGTAACACACAACATTAGAGAAGGAATCACTTTCACATTTAACTTTTCAATATTGTAATCACTGTTTATTAATATTATTATTTAATTGAAAGATTGAATTATTACTGTAATTTAAGTATCATGTAATATGTAATGACTAAAGAAATACAAAAAATTAATTTTTATTTAAATTAATGCTATTTGTAAATAAAGAAATCTGTCTTCAAAAAAGGAAAAATACTGTAGTTTAAATGTTAAATAATATTTATAATTAAATAAAGCTATATTTAAGTTAATACTTTGCAAACAGAATAAATCTTTATCAAAAACAGAAAAAGAAATTAAGTGACCCACAGCACGAATCAAATCCTACATGTCTGCGATAGGCCCTGCCGCTAAACCACTGCTCCAATTACATCATAAGATTTTATTAGTATATAAAGTGTACTTAAATTTTCAAATGTTTTTTTCGCGGCTCCCTGGTGTGTTTTATTACTTTAAGAGGTGAACACCCTTAAGATATACTACTAATATACCATCCCAATGTGAATTTCCCCAGACGTATTTATAAATCTGATTATTAGATCATTTTGTCCAAACTTTAAAAAAAATTTATTAATTTAAATTGTCCAAACAATGTATTATGTATTTAAATTTTTTAAATCTTATGTGCTTTAAAAAAATTTTACTCTTATAAAATCTTTTGCTTCCTATGTTATAACTATAAATATTTTACCTGATTAATAGCAGGGTGCTTAGCCAAATCTTTCAACAAAAAATAAGCACTTTATAAGTACTTTTTAAGCACTATATACATAATGTATATTAAGAAAATGCAAAATAATTTTCAAAAACTTTACATAATCACGATAAAATAACTAGTTTCTGACTAAGAACTCTTTTCTTGATTATATTAGCCACCATCAAAAGATAAAGAGAATTTTCGGTTCATAAAATGAGGGTGGAAATTAAGTAGTTGAATATATCTAGCAAAATGCAGCAGAGTTACGCATGAGAGTGCTAGAATCTTACCGAACTCAGCTCAGTAGACGCACATATGGACGCGCAAGTATTTCATCAAGCCTGTAAAATTATTGCCGCTTTCATACGCTATGGACCGACGATACGCAGAAATGGATTGTGGTTGAATGAATCGTGAAAACGTTGAACAGAACAATGTGAAAAGCATGCTTTTGCATATTACGTGCTTAAAATCCACATGGTAAAGAAGAAGAAAAATCTCATCTTCGAAAAGGGAAAATTAAGCACTTCTAAAAACACTTCATGAAAAAAGCACATTTANCGAAGACATGCCCTCACAATTTTGATCCTCTGCAGAGGGGATGGCACCCCGCTTCGGTAGCCTGACGACCTGCACGCTCATCTTCGAAAAGGGAAAATTAAGCACTTCTAAAAACACTTCATGAAAAAAGCACATTTAAGGGCTTTTAAAAAACGAATATCAAAAATAAGCACTTTTTAAAATCGCTAGGCACCATGTAATAGTCATCTTCTTAGAATATTTAAATGATCCATAACTCAACAAATAAGACAAAAATTTTAACAAGTAAGCAATGAGTTTCGGATGTTAGGGTTTAACGAAAACTAACTAAGGATGTTGTTTAATAACCTTATTTTATAGTCTATCATTAAGATTAAGAATTGCATAGGAATCCATGCCCAGAAACGTTGCTAAAGGAGCTTTCCTTTTTATGAACTATTTCTTCATTGTTTTTAAATTGGTACTTTTATTTACTTAAAATATCTTAATTTCAAGTAAGTTTTTTGTTTTCTCATAATTGTTAAAAATTTCATTCAAATAAGCTGCAAAATGGCTATTTAATGATTTATTGAGTTAGTTGCCTAATCATCAAATTTCGACTAACTCAACAATCTTGCCACATTATTAAATTACAATAAAACAGTTAATACATGCTGAATAACAGTAAAACAGTTAATACATGCATTTTGACAATAATAATAAGAAAACATAAAATTAAGATAATTCAGATAAATGAAAGTATCTACTCAAAAACACACAAAGAAACATGTCAGAATAGGGTAGCAGTCCTAATGGAGTATGACATTTCTGGCAATGGGTTTCCATGCAATTCTCATGATGTGCCCTAGCAATCCATGGTTAAAAGTTTGTCACAACATTTATGAAACACCCTGCATAAATTAATTTAAGTTATAAATTATATTACGTTAACATATAAAATAAATGTTTAATATTTTTTGCAGATATGTCATATAGAGAAACCTCAGCTTCTCGTCAAAGCCGTCCAAAAACTGCCAACATCATTAAAGATGAGTTTGAAGATGATGACATCGGTGCAGACCTTTTACCTGATTGAAGCACAACCTTCTACAAGTTAACAGCACCACGCACATCTAGTCACTGTCATTTTACAATATGTGCAATTTTTTTTTTATTTTATTCATATAGATTTTCTATGCTTAAAATAAAGTGAAAATTTTAAAATTATGCTTGATATTTTCGATAAAAATATTCTAACACTTTTTAATGAGTTGTGGAATGGATATTAAAGGCAACATATCAATTTTAACATTTAAAACTGTCATGTATTTGATAAAAAGAAAGGTTAGTGTTTGCTTAAATTAATATATTAATATTATATTATTAATATTAATATATTAATTTAATCTTGTAGCTTTCAAAACAATTGAAAAAGAAAAAATTCCAAACTTCATTAAATTTCAAGCTCATCTTTCTTGATCCAAACTTTATTAAATTTCAACAGTTTGACCTAAAATTGATGTTTTCACTAATATTGGAAAGAAGGGAACAATGATATAAATACTGTAAACTATTTTATATTAAAGATATTGACTAAATTTCAAGATGAAATTCTTATGGTATTGAAGAATTTAATTTATGTTTTGTTTCATTCTATCCTAATATAAAAAGCACACCAATGAATTCATCTTATGTATTGTCATTTCTTTTCATCAACTGTTTCTTTAGTGTTGTTTATTTTCTCATCAGAGCCATCAGCTATCTCTTCATTCATGTTTTTAAATTTAGATCGAAACAGTGGTTTGACCACATTCCCCACTCCCAAAGTGTCCAATACATCTTGTCCTACATTTTTCTTGTTCTCTCTCGGAACGAAGAGCTCAAAAGCTCGGAAATATGTGACTATGTTTTGTACATCTTCTGATTTCATGGAATAAGTTTTTGCTATAGCTTCTACTGTATGCTCTTCTGGGTCATTTTGATGCTTAGCTAAAAATTCCAAGACTTGCCTAAGTGTGCAGCGTCCTCCTGGTATAATACTGGGTTCTTGATAGCCAAATGATGGCAAACCAAGCTGGTGCCTTTCTTGTGGTAAAGGGCGACTTCTTGTTTTAGTATCCTGAAGAAAAAAAAGTAATTTTCAATAGGTCTTATAAATTCTAAAATACATCACTTTTTATTAAACAATTTTCAAATATCTTTATTATGTAGCTAGAATATGAGCTTTTCAATCTTATGTTGCTTTTCTTGCGTTAATCTTTTGAATATGGTGTTTACCATGCTTTATTTTGGTTGAGTTGCAAGCAAAAGGTAAACAAGATTCGTTTATCTTGAAATCAACCTTGTAACTTAAATGCTTAGAAGAACAAAAAATAGTCTAAAGCAGTGATTCTCAACCACTGTGCCGCGGCACTTTTGTGTGCCGCCAAATTCTTAAACTGTGCCGCCAAGCATTAGAAATGATACAATGAAAATTATAATGCTTTTTTTTAATTATGAGTAAAGTTTAAATTAAATAAAAGTGTATATATATATATACTATTTATAATTTTTCACGCTTTAACCGAGTAAACATCTTAGTCAGCGATTGTATTGTCTCTGACAATCTTAAGATAAGATGGAAGTGTTTAAATTGTATATGACACAGAATTTTAAAAAATGTTGTAGGAGCTAATCATTAAAGTAAGCTATACAATTAATAACAAATTAACAAAGGATAACTAACAAAAATTAAGCTAACAATTAATAATTAGCAAAAAAACTAGTTAACAAGAAATCACAAAAAAATAACAGTTAATAACTATAGAAAACAAGCTGACAATTAGTAACTAGCAGAAAAATAAATAACTGTTACTAACTTATAAAAAAATGGGTCCAACGAAATAATGAATACCTTAATAAATGTGCTTTTGAAGTACATATTATTTAATTTCACATTCAAAATTATGATCACAAACTATTTAACACAGTGTAAAATAGGTAATTAACCAACTTTTAATCTAATTTTTTTCATTGTGTGCCGTCAAATTTCGAAATCGTTAAAAGTGTGCCGCAACAAAAAAAAGGTTGAGAATCACTGGTCTAAAGCATAGATTTCTAACTAAAGGATATTGCCAAAAAAATGGTACTTCACATAATAAATATAAAACATTTACGAGTGCACTTCTAAAGCCTTGTAATTTTAAGCTTAACTTAAAAGACAATGAGTTTGGGGCTTCTATAACTAAGATTCTTGAGGTGAATTCTTAAATTAAATGAATTAATTATAACAAAATTTCCACGGCAATTTCAATTATTAGAATTATGTTCGTTTAATGGGTCTAAAAATATTTCTGGTAAAAAAATTTAAAAATTTTAACAGAATGAAACCATTTACCAACCCTCAATAAATGAAAGAACACTAATTATGACGAAGTTACACCATTTTAAAATTAAGCTAAACTTCATTTGGAATGGATGAGTAGAAAAACATGATAAATGCTCTCAATATAATAAAAATATTTCTTCACATTTTTTGACAAAGAAATCTGCAAATTATTTAAATTTCAAATAATAAATAATTTGAAATTTAAATGTAAACTTCAAAATAACTAGATATGAGTATAAAACTAGGATTGTAACGAATATTTGGCCACTATTCAGTATTCCGCTCCTTTACCGAATATTAGGCTAAGTATTTTTTTAGGAGGAATTTGAACAGATTTAAAAAAGAATAATCTAAAATCGTATTTTTTACTATACATTCATTGAAATAGTTGTAACACATATTTGATAATCCGTAAAACTTGTTCATTTATGTTCTGAAAGACAAATGGAAAAGCGAAACTTGAAGAATTGAAACTAGATTACTTTATACCGAACCATAAGTTTTGTAATGCTGATTTTTTTTTTTATTCAAGAGAGTCTATTTTGTCATTTTTTCAAACCTTTTTTTTTTTTAAGAATTGAGAACTTTTTTTGTTTATTTCGGATTTGCTTTTTTAATTATAGTGCAGCATTTTAATGAGCGTTTCTTATAATTATAGTGCAGCATTTTAATGAGCGTTTCTTATAGACTTAATTCTTTTATTGTCACTTCTTTCCTGTACAGTAATACAGATAACAGGTAAAAGTGTGATTCTCAATGTTAAAATTACATGTCAGAACTAAGAACAATTTTTTGTTTTTTTTTGTTTCACGTTTTCTCTTTATCCACATTTTAAAAGAGGGTTTTTAATAAACATTATTCTTTTATGGTCTTTTTTTCTTCTTCTAAAAATACAGCAATGTGAAACAGTTAAATTGAAAGCTTTAACAAATAAATTTTTTGTTTGAACACTTTAAACAATTTTAAGTTTGGTTTCTATCTAACTTTTTCTTTTTTAAAAACATTTGTTTTTTAAACATTTTTATTGTGATGCAGCAATAAAGAGGGTTTCTATTAGACTTAATTCTTCACTTTTTTTTTATTTATTTGTTTTTGAAATTACAGTTATTTTAAGCAGATGTTTAGCTCTAAAATTTTCTTTCAAAAACTAAGATCAATTTATATTTTTTCTGTTTTGCTTTTGTATATAATCTTTTTTATGGGCGTTTTTATGATAGCACTGCATTTTAAAAAGCCTTTCTGATTGACTATCTCTTTTAACATTTTATGAATAATTTTTTTCGAAAAATATTTTTATCGTTAAAGTTTTGTTTTAAGAATTAAGAGGATGTTTTTTTTTTTTATTCCCTTTTTCTTCTTTTCAACTTTACCAATTTTATATATATATATATAGCAGTTACTCAGTTTATTTATTTTAATATCTAATAATCTGTTATCTTAAATATTTCTATTATAGTTTTTTTTTCCTTTACTTCATACCGATAACATAGCTAAGTTTTGATTATTTTCCAATAATGACTAAACTTATTTACGAATAAAACTATGTATATTTATTTATAAATGATTTTATATATAAATATAAAATCATTAATAATCTTTATTAGTAATTTTTTAAAAAAAAATGTAAAAATTCGGCCAAATTACTATTTATTACAGCCTTATATACAACGCTAATGATATTTGCCAAATTGTCTTACCTCTTCAACTACTTCTGAGTTCACTTTGACTATTTTCAATCGATTCAACAATTCAAGATCTTTCTTCTCCAGTTTTTCCCTTGCATTAACATTTCCTTAAACAAGCAAAATAAAATAATATCTATATAAAAAACATAACTTAATTTTTGGTAAGAATTGAAGATTTTAGCATAAAAACATCTAACATGACATTTTGAAAAACACTCAAATTTTAGGTAATAAGAACACAATTGCAGTCTTATAAACCCTCAATGGATTTACAAAAAGAGTTTCCCCTGAATCTGGGATTTTTTTCGTATTGACCACTAGTCAGATTCAGATTTACACTGTTGTTATAACCATGGTCCCAATCAGCATTCTGTTCATATTGCTGATAGTTCTTAAAATTCAATTTAATGTACTATTAAACACTGAAAAACTACAATATTATATTCAGAAAAATATTTTTGTCTAGTTTATATATTATAAACTTGACGAGTATTTTCATGAAAATCCATATTCGAATAAGAAACAATATTAATTGCCACCTAATTTTTAACAAATTGTTTTTCAGCTCCGTAAATAAAAAAATTAGAATTTTTTTTTTTCAAATTTCTAAATTGTGTAATTGAAGGACTTTTCAAATAGGGAAAAATAAAATAGCATTGCTCATTGTAAAAGTACATTTTGAAATAATTAGCCCCCTTTCCCCCAAAATGCCAGGAATCAAATTCTCAAAATACATTTTCACACAGTAATTTATAACTATAATATATTAGTCACATACTAAGCAAAAAAGGAAGAAAGTAATTTGATTTGTAAAAAGTAGGTTTGCCCCTCCGCCCTCCATTAAATATTTTACACAATTATATAAAGTAATTATCCAATTAGAAAATTAAGCAAAATGATTCTTACCTTATAACAGATACAGGATGCTTTTACCTCATCTTCATTTAATTTTCCAAAAATTAGTAAGAAATAGTCTACAATATTTTGAAGTTTAACACTAGACTGTTATGTACAATTACATTTTAAAGGTTTCTTAATACAATTGAATGTGAATTTATTCAGACTTAATAGCAAAAAATTCAAGCAGAGTGTATCTATTTGAACAGAATAAATTCCCATTCTTAAAAAAATCAATCAAATGCAACTATTTTGTGCTAATTAAATGTAGAATTTTATTCTGGATGTGCCAAAACAGGCCGACGATTTTGAAAATCGAAGGAAAACTAAATTTATTCTTACTAGCTTTCAAAATTAGTTACTAAGTTTGTCAATAAACAGACCTGGTGAGTAAAAAAAGCTATAAAACAATGATTTCAAAAAACCAAAATTTTCAGCAACCGTGTGATAATTTAAGATTAAAACTAACATATAATTAAATATATTAACATATGATATGCCTGTTCAAACATTTTCTGTTGGAATGATCAAAGTAAAAAAACATTGTTTATTGCTTTTCCAATCTGCAGTGCCATCTGTCCACAAACCCAACCTAACAACCCAAAAAATTCTATTTCATTCAGTTTTTGCTTTTTCAAACAGTCTAACTTTTGCAGGGCTGATTGTGCTCCGGAAAAAATCCGGATTTTTCGCTAACAGTGATCCGGAAGTTTCCGGAGATCCAAGATCCAGACATTTAAAAAAATCATTGATCACAGAAGTTTCGGAAATCAAATTTTCAAAGGTGGAACTTAAAAACACAGTTTATTTTATTTGTTGGTAAGGGAGAGCCAGAGAGATACTTTATAAGCTTATATTCATGATTAATATTAATTTTTTATCAGTAAATAATTGTTATAATCATAAACTCAAGAAAGAAAGACATATTTTTAAATTTTAAGTACTTCTCCAGGTCATCATAGGTATGTGTAAATGGTATAGGTATGTGTAAAATCTTAAATATATTTTAAGTAAACTAAGAAATATTGAGAAAAAACCTTGTTTAAATTTTTTAAAATTTATTTTTTTTAACTCAAGAAATTTTGACTTGGGCGCACAATTACGCTTTTGGAACATCTGATAGAACAAGACATAGATGTGAATTTATGGCTCCACACAAAGGTTAATGCGTAAAAATAAAAGGAAAATAAAATTTCACTGGTGGGGCCTAAGTTTGCAAGACCAGCATTTAAATAATTTTTTGCATATATATATCTGCATTAAACAATTGTAAGATTTTAACGTATTAGTGTTTTCCTAACAATAAGGTGGTAACTTATGTGCAAATGCTTATTAATATAATAATGATAGGTGTTTATATATCTTAAAATATGTATCACTCTACTGCTAATAAGGTCATATGTATTAAGGTAAATCTCCTAAAGAAAAAAATTATTTTCAAAATGTTTTTAAATATTAAAGCAGCAGCTTAACACAATATATATATATATGTGGCGTAACTACCACTACAAAAGTTTAACATCATTCACTAGTATATAAAGCATGCTAACTTGATTCTAACATGAGGTACCTTTTGATAGATGACGGTTGGCATGGTCGATAACCCCGCCCCCCACATATATATACACAGACACATGCAACCACTTTTGAATACAAAAAAGATGTTCCAGCACTGCAACATACATGTTTCATAATCATTCTTAATATTTTTTTAGAATTATAGTTTAATAAAAGTAGAAAAATATACACCTCAAGGGTTACATTAATAATCCCAAAACTGCCTCGTTTTATAAATTTTTAATAAATTTTATTTCATATTAAATCTTGAATTTATAAATTTATTTTAAAATAGTTTTGGACCACTAATTTCAAACAAATTAATCATATAAATCAAACCTCCATAATGTCAACTCAAAGGAGGAGAGAAACTTGGTTCATGTTATCAGCTCAGAAATGTTTTGATGAAACAGACATTTTTTATTATCTATATATATGTAAATTAATATATACTTCATTTCAATAAATGTTTTATTTTGCACTTTATAGTAAATTAATAACTTCTATAAATACAATTAATTTAAAAATAAAGTAATAAAGGGGAAAATGGCGTAAGGTTCGCTTTTGTTTAAGTACACTTCTTGATATCAGACAAAATTCAAAAAGTGTACTTACTTTTGGCTCTCTTTTTTTTTCTTCAAATTCTGTAAAAGCAAATAAAAAAAAATATTGAAAAGTAACTAACCAATAAGAATAAACTGATTTATTAAACAAATTACAAAGGATTACTGACAAAATCTATAATAGCTCGTAGTTTTGACTTTTATTCGCACATGCTTTCCAAGTCTTCTAACTTATCATCTGTATCCAAAAAATTATTTGAATTTTGCACTGCAAAAGAATGAACAGTTGTAATTGCTTTGTAAGCATTTATCGGAGGAAAGTAAAGCAAAATATTCGCCAATGAAACTTAAGAAAAAGAAAAAGTTTAGCTTCGCACCTTCTCACTTGCAGAAATGCAACTCAGCAATATAAATTCCTTAGATCAAATTACGAAAGTATGGGAGAAATGAATGTCTTATGTTGAACAAAGGATAAATATGAGTGCCCATTTCTCAAGAATTTCTTTACATTCACATCAATAAAATGAAGAAAAAAACTATTCATATTAGAGTAAAATAGTAGTTCTGTTGTTTCCTGTAATGCCCTTTCCCCCTTATTGGTTTCAATTTATACAACGCTTTCATTGACTTCGGTATCATATTAGAGTAAAAAAGGGGCTTAAGTTGTTTCTGTAAGATAAAAGAAATTCATGTCAAGGGTGTTCATGTTAATGAAGTTCGACTGTATATAAGTGCATGATAATCATATTAACGTTTGTGTAGTTCTTGGTAAAATAAATAAAAAGGTTTTCTACCAATATTTTTTATTTAATTTTCTTAACTTTACCACTTGGAAAAATCACCCCTGGAAATAGTAAAAGTTGGCAGGTATAAGTGCTGTAAACTATATTTAGAGAAACATTGTCAAGATTTAAAAACATTAAAACCTAACAAGTAAACAACAAAACTTGCTGCCATGATTAAATTAAAAAGAAAAAACACTTTAATTTATGTCAAAAATATTTGCTAAAAGCTTGAATTTCCATAAAGAGGGTCACTGAACACTAATGGATTAATCATTTAACTTGAATAATTCAAATCATTTTTTAAATATCAAAGTTACTTAAATTGCTGGATTATCTACTATAAACTTCTGACACCATAACAACATTAAGTATATAAGCCAGATACTTTAAAATAAAAAGTACACACAGAAAGACAGACTAATATTTTATGTTGTACTTTTATTGGCAACAAAAACTTAACTCTATAAACAAATCTACAAGTACACAAATTTACATTCAATGAACAAGTATTCTAACTGCACAACAAATAAAAATGAATCTGTTTTCAAACATATTTGATGAGAAAAATAAATATTGAAATAGTTGTAACACCATTTTGCTATGAAAGTTAAAATGTGATGAAAAATAATATAAATTGAAAGAAATATCAATCAACAAATTGTGCGTGTATTTATTAATTTTGTTTTTACTTTTCTTACGAAATAAAAAAAAATTTTTGCATGAAAAATAGAGATCAGTTAACTGATATATTAAAAAGAAGTAAATAACAATATGAATTAATTTTATTCTTCAACAAAAGTATTTAAAATAATTCAAAACACCGTCAAAAGTATAAAATTCATAAACTTTACTTTCATAGATTTTGCTTAACAAAATTAAATACCTAATTTCATGGAGAATTTAGACCTGTTGATTAAAGCATTATAAATAAAAATTGCTTAATCTTCATTTAAATGCTATAAATATAAATTTTTACAGCATTAATATACCTGCTTACTTGCCTGGTTAATTAAGACCAATCAATGAATACATTGAAATTTATTTTAAAAAAATTGCCATGCAAAGCATTGTTTAAGTATTAAGCTATTTCTCTTATCCAATTAAAATGCCTTTGCACGGGAAACTGAAATTGGTTAAATAACAATATTAAAAGACACAAAATGATTTAATTTCAATGTCGGAAAGTCTTGTCTCCAAGAAAAAAAAGTTATAAACATTGTAAAGGAAAATCAATATTAATGGGAAGAAAATAAATTGACAACATAGAAAAATTACTATTTAAATTAATTCTATTTTAATACTTGTTGGTCTTACAAGTTATCAAACATGAACTGGCACAAAAAACACTGTTGAACATCAATGTGAAATTCATAACACCTAATTTTCTTTTAAGTCAATTAACACACAGAAAAAAGTTTTTCACCAAAAACTGACCATCACATTTATTTTGAAATACATCATAATTTATGATACTTAGGTTTTTAATAATAAATTTTAACAATAAATCAGTCTCAAATAATAAAAAAATTGACCTAATACAATATTATACAGAAAAGAACTTTTAAAAGAACAAATACCGTTTTTTAATAAAATAGGGATGTGATCAGTAAACATTATAGAAATGCCTTAAGTTCATAAAGAGGTGATTTTTATTTATTTATAACAAAAACATATTTTGAACTTTAATTATAATGAGCCGTTTTAATTTCCTCAACGGAAAATAAAGTCCTTATTACATTAATACATCTCAAAAACACACCAAAAAATAAGTGGCGGCATAACCAAATCATTTTTAAGACAAAATTTTGACTTAATTTAGTAGAAAAATACAAAAAGAAAAATAGAGCACTGTCTGATAACAAAAACTATTTAAAAGTTATGTCGACAAAATCATGACCACAAGAGAATTTTTATTTATGAATATGAATGCATACAGATATGAGTTTGACACATTAATAATAAGGACTTTAGCACCAATGTCATTTAGGAACACTCGTATACATCTATGATATTTACATGGGGTATGAAAATAGAACTATAGATAGAGGCACTCTTTTAAAAGCTTGGAATATGAGACACGTCGTAGCTAATTTGTACAATTTTAGACAAATTATTTGAGCAAATTGTCACACATCTTTTTAAATTTCAAATAAAATCTTTTTATTTAAAAAATAATAATTATGGCAAAAAATCTATCAAAATATTCAAATACCTACATAAGAACCTTCGATGTTTTAATGCATGTAGTAAAAAAGACTACCCAACACTGAAATACATATTTCAAAACCTTTACTGCTTAGTTTTTAGTTGTGAACTATTTAAAAATAAAATAAAGGGTCTTTAAAATAAAGGAACTTCCCCTAAAAATAGCTTCAAGCACTATTTTCAAACTATTTTATTAGTAAATTCTAATATTTTCTACAGAAAACTGACTTAAAATCAGTAAAAAAAAATTTTTTTAGGTCCAATTTTAGGTTAATTTAATATAAAAAGTATATACACTATACTACAATAATAAATGGATGAGACACTTTCAATAATTGACATTTTTTTTAAATTTTTCAATAAAATACTTAAAAAGACTATTTTGTTACTTTAGAGGTATTTAGTCCATGCGATTTTTTATTCTTAGCAATATGATTTAGCACTTTCAAAGGTTTGAGGGACTGACTATAAATTAAGAAAGAAAACAAGTATTATTGTATATCCTATATTAGCAAATCAAGCAATAAACTTGTCACTTGTATCTATAACTTTGATCGTTACTTGCAGTAACTGCATAAAATTTTGTAAACCTAGCTTACATAGTTACGGAAATATAAACATTTTTATAAATATTTTTATTTCGTTTTATGATTTTTTTTAAATATTTCATGTTTAAATAAAATTTAATAAATATTTCAGGAGGAATTTAAAATTTACAAAATTATTCTTTTAAAACCTGGAAAAAAATCATTAAAAACTGCATAAGATATTTAAAGTAGGTCTTTTATATAGCGCATGAGTGAAAAAATTTAGATTTGTTTTTTCATAATTTTGTAGCGAATTGTACTTGACAACTAATGAAAAAAAAAAAATGAAAAAATTCCTGATTCGAATATCTTACAAATTTAACAAGTTTCAAGCAACTAAGCAGTTTTTGTACTTTTTAAAAGAAAGCTAAAAACGATAAGGGTTTTTGTTGAAGTTATATTTTGTTCTATTAAACAAGAGTGATTCAAAATAACACTGACAATGTAAGGGGATCTTCCACCGTGAAAGTATATTTAAGGTATTATGTTTTGAAATTTTGTTCTATGAAACAAAAAAAAATTTGAGGGAAACCCCTTATCAATTAGAACCTTTTTTTTTAAGTACAAAGGTTTCTTAGAAAACTACTTAAAACTTTTCAAATTATTAAGATATTTAAATCAGACTTTTTCATAAGTCGCCAAATACGATTCACTTCACAATTGATGGTCCCTCAAACCTCTGAAATCTTTTCTTTAATAATATTGCTAAGTATGAAAAATCGCATGAACTAAACACCCCTAAAAACACAAATTAATCATATAAGTATATCTTGAGAGATTTTAGAAAATGTCAAAAAGTGTCTCTTCCATTATTGTAGGGTAGCTAGAAGTTACTTTAAAATATATGCTTCAAATTTAAAATTTTTTGTTTGATGTTCATAAAATTTAACAGGCTTAGGATGGAAATTGTAGGACCAAACATGAAATTCACAAGACTAAAATAAAATACTATGAGATATAAGATGTTGAAAGAAGGTTAAACTGGAAGGTAAAAAAATAGTTTTTAGCTTGTCTTTTTTTTTTTTTTTTTTAAATCACAGTAGGAAACACCTTTTAACTTTACCATGATTGTAATGGGTTCAACAGAATGGCAATATTTATTATTCCCAGACTTTTTTATTAATTATTTAACCTAACAATAAAATATTTCATCAAAATTATTTTTTAAACATAAACAGAGAAGAATATAGGATGGTTCAATGCAGACTGGAATGTTTACATACAAGTCTTTTAAACTACATGCATTTTACAGATAATTTTAAATAAAATTGGCAAAAATTTGAGAAAACAAACATATGTATCTGACCATTAAATGTATCTGAATAAAAGTTCAATAGTTAAGACTGATAATGGAAAACTAAATTTAACAGGAAATTTTGAACTTTAAAGAAAAACAAATTAGAACTGCAAAACATGCTCCATGGGCATGTCCTCAGACTCACTATCACTTACAATTAAATCATCACAAATATTATCACAGGTAATTTGAGAGTCTGGTAACTGAAAGTTCATATTGGAATCATCACCATAACTCTCCACTTCCATAAAGCCATTAATATGCTGTAAGCTCTGAGTTTTAGATGACACTGTCGGACTAGTAAAATCACTATTTGAATTAGGATTATAAGTCTCAGGCAAAGACGCTGAAGGCAAGTGTACTTCTTGAAACCTGTCAGCATCATTTTGACTCTCAGGATCACTTTCTGACAAGTCCAAATCTTCCAGAAAAGAATTAGATGCAATATGATTGTTATTATCACCACAATCTTTATTATCAACTTGATCATCATCACTATTTTCTGAAAGATCTAAATCATTAGCATTTGAATGTTGCGAGTCACATTGAATACTTTCACTTTTATCTGAATTGTTCGATTCTTTTTCGTAGACAGCATCTGGGATAGTATCCAATGATTCAACATCTATAAATGAATCGGTGTCAACAGAGCCATTGTACTTTGATGGAGGTGCCCCATAATCAGCATTAAGTTTGGGTCTACCAACTTTTCTAGTTCTCTTTGGTACTAAAATATTGTTCACAACAGGATTGACTCCATTAGAGTTTTTCAACCCAGCCTCTAGTTTTTCTAGCTGTTCACTGTACAATGATAATGATTCATGGCATCTTTCTACAATTTCACGTGCTTTTTTTGTATAAGAATGATCAACCCCATTAAAACGCTCGCTATTTGAATACATTAGTTCAACATCATCTATAAATGCTTGTCTCGTACTATACTTATGAGCTTTACAGTAATTTATAATTGCACTCAAATCTATAGGTTGTTCTATTAGATCATAATAACCTTTAGCCACTCGTTTTTCAACAGGTTTATGAAAAGGCCATGACTCGGGGACAGTTTTTAAGTAATCAGTAACTATAGATTCTAACATAAAAGAGAAAGCTACTTGATCATTATCTAAAAGAGGATTAATAGCTTTTTCTAGTTCCATCAGCCTCTCTTCTTTTTCGGAGAATATTTTAAAACAATGCTCTAGCAAAGTGTGGGCAGTTATAGTCAGAAAGCTATGGGGTCCATTGTATTTTGAACTGTTATCTATGATCTGCTGTAAATCTTTAATGAAATCTTCTCTACTTTTGTACTTGTGTTGACGTATCTGCTCTTTCATAGAGTGCAAATCCATTGGTCTTTCAATTAGCGTAAAATAGTCAGGAGCAAGTTTAATGCTAACAGGTATCCAAAATGGTTGAGTATGGGGTAATGCTTTAAGCTCATTGATGAGATTCTCAAATATGACACTAATGGACACCAAGGGATCTGTTCTTTTACGATTAATCATCTTAGGTGTACTTAGATAGTCAGAATTTGTTAATTCGCTAGTTCTTTTCTTTTTAGCAGCCGCTAATGTATCTTTAGGAATTTTAATAACCAATGATTTTTTTCGAACTTCATCAGCATGTTGAACAAGTTGCTTGGACAAAATTATTTTTGTTTCATCACATTGAATGAGATTTTGATCATTTAAAGCATTTTTTTCAGCAGCTTCCTCTTGTTCCTCTGTCATGGCAACTTGTACAGGTGGAAGTGATGGAGTATTTTGATACATTTTGCAAGCTCTATTAGTTCGCATATGACCACTTAGTCCACAAGCTCCACATGTCACTTTTGAAGAAGGAGTTTCAACCTTTGCTCTCTTTCTAACAGGCTCAAACGTACGCTCTTTTAATTCATTCCGTTTAATTCTTCTCAACTGATCTTGTATTCGCCTCTTTTCTTTCCTTATTGCCTCTTTTTGTTCTTCGTCCATCGAATAACTTTTTACAAACTCTGCATTTTTAGTTTCTCTAATTTTTGTATACAGTTCCACAACAGCAGGTCTCCTTACAATCTCAATGCGTTCATAATCTGTTCCATCACTGTTTTTATATGTTCTGTAGATCTTCAAAATTTTTCCTTCAATACTTGGTGGTTTATCTTCTTTTGCTTTGAGGCTATCTTTAATTGGCAGCTCTGATGCAAGCATCTTTTGCAAATCTTTCCTTTGTGCTTCTTCACTTTCATGTGAAAGTTCATCAGCTGTTTTCTTATCTGAAAGAATACTTTCAATATGCTTTCCCATCTCTTCAATATCTGAGTCTTCTTCTGAACTAGTATCCTCATCAGTAGACAAAACTTCATTTGAAGACAGAACACTATTTTGCAAATCAAATAAACGTTGGCACTCTTCTTTATACCTCTTGGCATGTTCTGCTTGACTATGGAAATTACCTCGAGCAAATTTAGGTACAGCTCCTCCCTCTGCTAATTTAGCCTGTTCTGTAGATAAAGTACGGACAACATGTACTATCTCCCATCGGGTCATATTTTTAATCTCCTTATCAGGGACATTGAAACTTTTTAAGAGTTTCTTAGCAGCACTAAGTGAAAGTCTCCTCAAATCAGCATCTGTTCCTCTAACAAGACGCTTAGCTGGATTTTGGTTATCGTCCTTTGGAACTTGAGGTTTATTTGGAATCCTCACATAAGAAAAGCCCAAACCAATGCCCGTAGGATCAGTAGGACCATTTAACTCCAACATACATTTGCCTTCAGCAGCAGCTATGAAAGCTTGCGTAGTGTTCCAAGGAGCTGCCTTGACTTCATCCTCGAGCTTTGTTTGAAAAAACTCATTATCTTCCTCTGCAGCCACTAATTTGTCACCATAACCAGCATCTTTTAGTCTTTGTTCTGCAGAAAGCATGCTATAGTATGCACAGCACTGCTCAGGTGATATTGTTTGTCGGATTTCCTCCTCAGAGGGTAGTCTGAACTGTTCATTGAGAATCCAAAATTTAGTACCCCCACCAGTTCTTTGGAATGTTGCACACTGATTTAGACGTTTTCTAATACTGAATTCTCTTATTGAAGGAAAAGCCTTTTTTACAGCTTCAATTCTAATTTTTCGAGGAGCTTCCGGACTTTGCCAAAACAAACGATAGATAAAAACATTTAAAAAGTCTTTAAGAAAACTTTTAGTTTTTTCAGATTTTGGAGCAGGTACCTCTACAAGAGGGAGTTGCTGACCAACAGTATATAGAGTCTTTACTTCACGAATAAAATATTGATATCTAGTTCGTATGATTAAAAAATCTGTGCTTTGCATACTGTGTTCATAAATTGGAGCTCGGTATAAATGATTTTCATAAGCTTGAAGACTCTCACCAGGTTGAAGGGTGCCTAGAAAAGGAGAATTGTGATAGGCTGTTTCCCCATACTCATACTGTTTTAAAGGCGTCTCTTTTCCAGGTCTTCTACGATAATGGTTTCTAATCTTAGAAGCCATTCCAACTTGATTCATTAAAGGTGGAAATTCTTCACAAAATTCAAACAGAACTAAATCTCCATCTTGGGCACTTAGATCTGCTGGAGTACGCATAAAGAACATTTCCCCACCACCAGATTCTTCAAGTTCCTTTTCTCTTTCACGTCTTTTTCGCTGAATATGTTTTTGAAGAGAATGAACTCCATGAAAATCACCAAAATATGCAAATGGCCCATGAGAATAAATTTTAAGAGTAGGTCTGTGAAAACGTTGCAATGCAGTAAGTCCTAAATGAGTTGGGAAATATGGAGGCCTCAATTCAACAGCAGGAATGGAATGCTGTAAAAAGCTACCACTATAGCTAAGTTTCAAAGCAGTCTCTTGAGTCATCTTTGGGTTGTAATACTCATCATTAGAAATGTTAAAGAAATCTGGTTTGTTCATAGCTGAACTTTCCTCTTCTTCTTCCTCAATCTTTTTAGGCTGAGGACGTGGTTTTTTATTTTTACAATCTTTAGTTGTTTCCAAAGGTTCAACAATTGGCGGTTTATCCTCTGGAATATCTATGATGATATTATCGTCATCAACCTCTAACACTTTGGGATAAGATATTCTAGCCATGTTATCAGGATCCCAAATCACATCATCTTCCCATCGATCGTAAATAAGTAAAGGGTTTTCTGCAGGAAACATAGATTGGAATTCTGTTTTCTTAACTTTATTACTCAGAAACATTTTATTGCCCTCATAAGATGTTTTCATAAAATTATCTTGTCGGTTGATAGTACCTTTGGTATACTCTTGGAAACCAGATACAGTGCGATCGGCGAGGAATGGTATCCATCCAGCTGGTTTGTCAACATTCATTATCTTTTGCATAACTTCTTCTTTAGCATCCTCTCCATCCCATATCACATCATTTTCCCAGCTCATTTGATTTACCATTAAATATGCATCACAAGAAGAATCATTTTCAATTGAATAATCCTCATTTTTTTCTTTTAGTTTAAAGCCATAGTCATATGTTTCTGCTGTTTCAGGTACTTCAACCATGTCATACCATAGTTTTGCAGCACCAAACCTCCATGCATTGTTTAAAGGTTTACTGTTAACATTGCTTTCTGGATTATCGATAGGCTTTGAATATGATTTATCAGACAAAAATTTAATTTCTTCATCAGATTCTATTTCTAATTCTTTCTGTAATTTGATCTCAACCTTAGGATTCACACTTTTCGTATCCTTCTTACGTCTAACACCTCGCCAAAGATTTGGCAAGTTATGTTTGGCGATTTTAAATATCTTCAAATGTCTTAAACTTTTATCAGGATGATAATCAGGAAAAAGACTATTTACATCAGAATCTTGGTACTTAGCAGGAAGAACTGCTGCAAGAGGTTTGTCCCCCTTGCCGAATACTACCTCATCAGTTTGTGTTAGAGGAGGGAGAGGCAAACTTGAGTTCGTATGAAAGTTTACATGATCAATAACAGTTTTGTGTGTAGAATCTTCAAGTTCTCCTTCATCAGACAATACATCATCAAAGTCATAAAAATCTACAGCACTCGGAGACTTAGGCTCAAAGCCATCATAGCTTTCATATTCATCTTCCATTCCTCAAGTTCATGTCAGCAGTTACATAATTTTTTTTAGTTAGATGTTGTGTCTTCTATCTAAAAAAAAAAAAAGGAAAAGTTCAATTTAAAAAAAAAATTTAAAATCTATTTACACTAAAGATGAGACTCAGGCTCGTTTACTAAAAAAATATTTCGGGCTTGAGTAAACATGGAATCATGATAAAATTTTCATAAGCTTTTTTTTACTACTTTTAAACAAATTTTTGGTTTAGTTATTCATATAAAAAGTTTAAAATTCATAAGGTATAAAAAATTATAGTGATTAGAGACTTCTGTTAGGTGTTTTTGCTTAGTGAGGCTAACACTAATTGTCAAAGGACTTATTTTGCTTAAGATTTATTTTTCTTCTTTAATTTTAGTTTCAAACATCTTGAAGTTTTAGTCAGTACTACATCAAGTGCTGGAAGTCTCTTTCTGAAGGGTACATGGGAGCGAAGTGCACATAAAGTTGGTGTGTCAAACTTACAGCATTTTAAGGGCAGAACGAGACATTCTATCACACATGGAAGTAAAAAGTAATATTCAATGTATTATGAATGTTTGAATAGCAAACAGCATTTGAGAGTTTACAAGCATTGGTGAGCAAGTGGTCAAGCTCCCAAATATATCTTAATTTTTGTCTAAAAATACATTCTAACAGAAATCCACTCATTCATATACCAATGTAAGTTATGACGCTAAAAATGATATTCCTACATAAGCATAGCAAAATAAAAAATTTACTTCAACTGTTAAGAGGGTCCTCAGTTGGAAATCCTACAGCCAATAAAAACTTGTATGTTATTGTTTGCCGTTATTCTTCTGACTTTTCTTTCACATTCCAGTTTGTTTTTCCACTTTTTGTTTCAGAGGTAAAGATTTTAATAATTAATAACCTTGTTTAGACATAAAAAGCAAAGTAGCGAGACTGCAAAATTTGGCATTTACTTGACGTATATCTGGGGTTTAGATGGAATTTAGCTCTAAGTAACACTGTGTTTCTCAAGCTCGTATTAAAATGTACCTTTATAGAGAGCTTTATAAAAGCGAGCCCAAACTCATCTCTTATTTACACATACAACTCAAATCAATGAGAAATCACTCCGATAACATAAAATAGCCATCTTAGTAACATGTTTCAGAAGCAAAACATCAAAAAATATTTACATCACAATCAAAATGTAACTAGTTTAAAAACTATCTTTATTTCTTAAAAATAGCTTTCTTGTCAAAAATCCTAAAACTGTTACAAATGCTTTCTCATACTGATTTTTTACTTCATATTGAAGTCCAATAATACAATAGAAGATCTATAAAGTGCAATTCACTATAAACCACACTTGCTTTGTGGTCATAAATAATGAAAATTGTAGTTAAGAAAATTCTATATAAGCAAGAACTATAAACTTTTTACATTATTTGTTTAATTATTAGCTAAGTTAAAATTTCAAAAGCTAAACTAACCAAAGTTAATTTGTTGCTAGTTCTAATGTTGCAGAAAGCTTTTTTTTTCCTTCTCTTTTCTGTAAATAATAAATCTTTTCTGAAACTAAAAATTATATTAAAACATTTTAAGATTGACCTGTTCCTGACAAATATTGCCATATTTCGTAGGTAAGTTTTTAAGATACGTGAAATGATCTATGTAACACAAAATTTCATAAAATGCAAAGTTCCACGGTTTTCAAGGTTTGTGTTAAAATATTTTCTACTGTACTAAACAATCCTCTATTTTCCTTGAAAGTACTTGGCAATAAAGATACAATACTGACTAAAAATAAATACTTATTTCAAATAATTAAAAATCAAGTACAGTGAAACCTCCGTTAAGCGGACATTCATGGGACCGAAAAAATTGTCCATTTATGAGAGTTGTCCGTTTACGGGAAGGGTATCCTAATAACGAAATTTAACACCGTAAATTGTTTTTAGAATATTCTCAAAGATGTAGAAATAATTAAATAATATCTACAAGGATACTGTAAATATCTACAAGAATATTTATTTAAACAATAAGAAAGATAAAAAAGAATATATAAAGAAGTTTGATATAAATACATAATTCTGGATGCAGCTACAGATAAATAAATATAATTTTCCTATCCGCAAAGATACTCAAGTTAGACATATGATACCAAATAGGAGCGTACTGTCCTCAGTCCATTTCAATTATTAGTTACGGGAGTGTCTGCTTTGCGGAGAATGTACGTAATGGTTTATTTATAGAAGATTCCAGGGGAATTAAAAATATGTCCGCATTGAGAGGCGTCTGTTTTGCAGGAGTGTCCATAACAGGAGGTTTCACTGTAGTAACTTAATAACAGGATCGGCTAAAATTAATTCAATAATGTGTCAGAAACAAAACAATCGACAAACAAAAACATTCAAAAACTGTGTAGACTTGTTAACAATGAAAGACTTATCACAACGAAAAACTAAAGCTAATATTCTACAAAACACAAATCTGCTCTTGGTTACATCAAAATCAGAGAAAGACGTGAGAAATATGGTCACTCAAACAGTGACAAAAAGAAAAAAATAGATGATATTTTAAAGCACTGTCCATTAATTTCTAATATATTGAAAATAGAACCTCATTTCTCTTATTTTTCTAGAACTTTTGCACAGCAAGAAATATTTTTCAAAATCTAGTAAACCTGTTGTCTTATGCGCGACAAAGGCATAAGGAGATGCACAGCAAGAAATATCAATTATTCAAACTTGGTCTCATAACAACTAATGGTTCGTAACAACTCGGTTCAAACAACTAATGGTTCTAATTACCTCAGGTAAGAAGGATCCAGGGTACGCAAGGAAAAAGATGTGTATTCTCGTGTAAGTTTAAACAAAGCTTCGCATATAGTTAAAAATTAGCTATTAACAATATATTGAGTAAAATTGGCAAGTTATATTGTTTAAAATTGTGTAGTGTTAATTAGAAATTAATATATTCTTATGATAGTTTGAAATATTTAATTTCATTATACAAAGATTGTGCAGTCTTAAATTGGTAAAATGTAAAAAAGACCTTTTGATGTGGATTAATACATTTAAGCCCTGTGGCAGAACGTTTTCGGGATTTCTGCGACTAACTACCCTAGCACAAATATTTTGATTTAAGGTATTTTTAATTATAACAATTACTAATTTAAAGTAACGTGAATGTTGTGATTACAGAAGAAAGTATAGAATAAAAATTTATAAAGAAATTTTATTGCAAAAGCAATATTTTTTTAATTCTAATATTATAGGCGATATTATAGACTTTTGTAGGCAGAAAAATGCACTAATTATTTCCTTTTTCGAATTTTGTAATTCATTACTCAAATTAAAATCCGTAACTAAATTAAACGATCATAAATTAAAATTCGTACATAAATTAAAAATCGTAAAATCCATGCAGTAACTCTCAAAATAAACATCACGAATCATGCGAATTGGACTTAAAAAAGATAGATACTCAAATAAGTGTATGTAAAACATAGTGCTCTATAAAGGAAAAAAAATAAATTAAAGAACATCGTTTTTAGAGTGAACTATCTTTTGAACTTTCGTGATTTCTGAATTTTTAATTTTATATAATTAATTTGAAATTCTAGCTGAAGATTCATTACAGATTTTTTTTTAAATCACAAATGAGAATAGAAAAATCAAGATTATTTCTCTCCTCTCTGATGCGCAAGAAAGACATCTTTGGGAAAAAAAGCACTTTTCAAAAAATTATGCAGAAAGGAAAACCAAAATTTTCCCCTTCCGGAAAGAAAAATCTTTCTGCAAAAACTCTAACGTTCTGAAACAGTGTCGCCATGTCGACACAATTCTGCCACAGGGCATTTAATTAACTTAAATAAAAAATTTATATGTTTTTACAATAGTTTGAAATTTTTTATTTCATCATTCATAAAGACCTTGGCCACAGCAAAAAAAAAAAAATATTCTTTGGATATTGAAAATCAGAGAAAATAGTTTCACAACTAACTGTAAATATGCAACAGACAAAGATTTAAATAATGTCAATAATCAGTTTAAAAAAATTTTTAAAAAAAAGAGAGAAGAGAGAGATACTGAAAGGAAACTTTCTCACTCCTAGTTTGTTTTTTTTAACTACCCCACAATGCAATTAATTACTGATTTATTGTTTAATGGTGTTCCTCATGGTTCAAAATTAAATTTTCTAACTTTACTTAATTTTATAAATCAGATAATGCACGAAATGACTAGCACCTGAACGCAAAAAATCTATTCCTTATAAATGAACAGTTTCATCATTTAAATATTTGCTGACTTAAATTGCACAGAATGAGCAGTGATAGTTATTTGTTAAGGTGATGAGCTGACATTATAAAGCTCAAAAAGTTTGATGAGAGCCAGCTTGCCCGGGAACTAAAGACTATTGGTTGGCACATTGCCACCACCATACAGAAGTATCAATGCATTCTTTGATGTCAATCAATTTAGAATTCAGACAAAAAAAATTCTTTTTTTTTTTAAATTATTAATTTAATTACACAAATAATGAGTGAAAAATTTTAATTTTGAGAATACAAATAATCTATCAATTATTGATAATTAAAACTGAATTGAATATTCAAATTATCAATAAATGTTTTGAAAAAAAAAAATTAGAAATAACTCACCAAATTATTCATCTTTCAGAATTTCACACTTAACTCTGAATCTAGTTGGCTTCTTTATTTTCCTATTATTGTACTCACACAAAGAAAATTTGTATGAAGATAGAAAACAAAATGACCCTTTTTCAAAATCTATTTCTAGTTGAGAAATGCATAAATGTATTAACTATTAACCCACTGGTGGTTTAGCAAATGGGCAATATTGGGAGAATGTTTCTGCGCTATACATTATTTCTTTATCAAATTACTGGGAACGACAGGTATTGCTATGTAGAGAAAATTGCAGGTTGAAATAAGACTTCTTACGTGCAGAACCGTCAGTGGGTTAAGATTAATAAGAAGAAATAATTTAATAGTTATGAAATCATACGTCTCTTTTATGTTTACATCCCAATGCTAAGCAATGTTAAAGAAATTTATTAACAATTCATGTTACATAATTAACTAGCTGAATACCCGTTCTTTGTAAAGGGTGAAAAAAATAAGCACCAATGATCATGGTGCTCATTCAGTTAACATGGCATAACGAATAAAAAAATAATTAAGTAATACAGAACGTATAATGAAGAATTCATTAGATTAGAACTGTAAACTAGCACACATTGCTGATGTTATTTTTAAACTATGGCTTTCGCTTAGTCAATGAGAAAACTAATGTCTGTGCAAAAAAATATAATTTTTAAAAAAAATCAAAAGTCAGGCTTCATAATTTGTTTACAATTATTCTCATTTACCATATTGTTGAGTGTCGTATTTTTAGAGAGCTTACTCTATATGGTCTACAGACACGCACACAAATTCTTTCTTTTATTATATGTACAGATCATGTGAATCATTTATAAATCACATGATCATGAATTTATCCAATAGAAAAATCAATGAAAGTGACAAAATTCGAAATTGATATTTATTCGGCATTCTGGTGCAATAAGAATGCCAAATATTGATAATATGTTTTATCAGTTTTTTAAAATTCTATTCAAGAGTTCGTATCATTAGCAATATGAAGAAAATAGCTGGGGTTTATTTTTTAATCTGCATATCTTATATTCTAAAGAGCAGATCTTCAAGCACCAAATGCCAAGCTTAATAAACATTTAAAGTACTATACCAACATATATTTGAAGTATACCAACTAGCTATTTCAAATTATTACACCACTAATTCTGTGTAAAAATGAACCTTGCATGAATAAAGTATGCCTATTTTTTTCCTATCAAGTTTGGAATTTACGTTAACAGCTTAAGGGTGGTAGGCATAATCTGAGAAATATCGTCCCAATAGTTTAGCCAGGAAAGTAATCCAAATTTTGAGCCCTTAATTGTTAATCTCACTTTTTGCAGCATGATTTATCGTATCCGAAGAGCTATTCAATTGAATAAAAAAATCCTTTACAAACAATAAAAATCTTGCTTAACCAAAATTAACTTTATACAAAATGTATTTTCAAGTAGGTAAAAAATGTTCAAAAATTTTTTGAACTTTCAGGTATATGAATTAAATTGTGCTTAAACAAGCATGCCAAATTTTTCCAAGGTGGAAGAAATAGGCTTCTTTCAACGCTGGGAGAAAAATGGAAACTAGTTTCATAGAAAAATGTCGAACAATAAAACAATTTTTAAATAGTTTATAATTTCAATCTAGTTTACAAAGATCGTATTAAATTTCTACCTATTTTAATAATTTTTTAATAAATAAAAACTAAAAAGCAAGAATTCGAAAGTAAAACTTATTTGAACTCTTCATAAGGAGTATAATAAAACATAATTCTATAAATATCTGTACTGTAATTAATACAACTAAATAAAAATTCCCTTAAACATTAATGCATATTACAAATTAATTAAATTACACAACAAAAAATAGCATACTACTAATAAAAATCACATACTATTAAGTATGAACACACAAACCAACTTTTAGATATAATACACAGATTGTTTAATAAATTTATTACGTTCATTATAATATAATTATGATGTTAATTATTTAGTGTTATTTGTAGTGTTAGTTTTAAATTTACATAATAGTAATTATAATTAAATTTTAAAAAAAATAGATGTAAAAACTTATAATGATGTGATAGAAGAAATTTCCCTATCAGTAATTGTTTTATAAATGTATATTTTACAGCTCTCCATACTAAACTATTATTTCTACAGGGCATTACTGAGACCCCCTAAGGTGATCAAAAATTCAAATCTGTAGACTACAGAATGTACATACAGACTTAAAATATTATCGGCACTAATTACTCAGCAATGCCAACTTTCAAACCATCAAGATTGTTTCTTATCACTTGTAGCCAACCCCTGGCAACATCTATACATTTTTTTTTCCGGATTATTTAAAATCCTTTTGGCCCCTTGGTGATTGAAGATAATATGACAAAACACAATACCGAATATTCGTAATTGACAGATTATCTTCCAGATTTGATGATCATCCATAAAAGTCCAAGTTATGTTTGAGCAACTACTCTATTTGATACATGCGCAAAAGATATATACTTAAATATTTTTTTTAAATTTTAATTTAAGATATTTTTCCTCCAAGATATTTTTCATTTTCTATAAAAACGACCTGTTCTTAAAATGATCCCATATAAGGGTGGGATTTAAAAATTGTGATCTACAAGAGAATAACCACTAAGTCTCGGCCACATGCAGGCAGTGAACTGCGAGAAACTGAAATAAATCATAGAAGACCAACATGAAAGGTATAACTTGAGCCACCTACAGCCAAACCTTTAACTTTTTTCTTTTTAAATTGCAAGCTAAATGGTAAATTTTTTTGGTGCCCTGATGATTCCAGTTGCAGCGACAGATCACAATAGAGAGTTAGAAATCAACAATAAGAACTATGTACATAACCAAAACCACTTAAATAGTTAAAAAGAATGACTATCCAGGATTTAAAAAATTCTAAAAATCAAGAATTACTTTTTATAATTAAATCTTCTACTCTCATAATATGGTGAATAATGAAAAATATTTACATTTACAAAGTGAAGGCAAAACAATAAACATTTCAAAAATAAACATTTTCAACTATAAACAATTGTTAATATTTTCACTAGATGTCTTCAACTCTATACCAGAATTAAAAAAAAGGCAAAATTTATATTATTTGGCAAACCCCTGAGGAATTTCTTTATTAATAAATAAGCTTTCTAAATCTAATGATAAATGAACAAATTCTACTATCACATGCAATTGATGAAACTTCAATTTACAGAAACTAACGTTAATAAAAACATCAACTTTAATTATTGTTCATGAATAATAAACACAATAATTTTAATAAAAATATAAAATATTGTTTTGCAATAATACCTTTAATTAAAACTTGAAATTTAACTTCAGTCCCTGGATGTCTAGGTGCAGCACGTTTTTCTGTTTCCAAAACTTTTTCAGCTTTTTCAACAACATTATAATTTTTAACAGAAGTTTTAAGTCTAGATAACGAATAGTTCCACAATTTCAGCATTTCAAAGTGTTTAACAAAGTTTTAAGTAATAACAAATGAAATTCGCGGCAAACCACGTTCCAAAACACGACAATGTTTTTGTGTTCTTCTGCTACTTTTCAAATATCATTGCACAATGAAGCAAGAGCACGATGCAGCGAAACTAAATGGGAAAAAAGCGCCCTCTATAGAAAAATAAAATGCTTTTATCCGAGATTTTAGCAAAAAGAACAATTGAATTGTTCTACTTTTGATCTAAATGAATTAAGACATATAGATACTATCTTATTTAAATGATATCTTAATGTGGAATAGCTCTTTTATTTCAAAAACTAAATTAGAAAATTTCCTCTATTGTCAAGCCTCACAAATGGCATGAATAATTTCCTTTCAAATATGGCAACATCGTTGAATTTGCATGTAAACAATCATTAGGTAACTAATTATTTTAATTTTTTATATTAATAAATTGTTTTATTTTGCATTTAACAAGCAATATATTTTATAAAAATATCGTATTCATTCATCCAATATTGTTTGATACGCGGATAAATACGTCTTTTGGTAATCGATTTCGTATCTCTTAATAATCAATATTTGCCTTTTTTTCTTTATTCTCTTTAAATTTTCATTTAAATATTTCATTTAAGATGATAAAATACATTTATTTAGTAGAATATACTTATTTTTAAAACTATTTATTTAGTGAATATACTGGTTTTTATTGTGACGGATCATATTCTGTCAGAGTTTGACTTTACTAAATCGTTGTTTATTATTTATTTATTTGCTATTTAGAATAAAAAGAATGATTTAAAACAGTAATAAATGTTCTCAGGGTGTATTTTCGTATCGCGATCTGTCTCACTGACTACAATCCTCAAGGTGCCAAATAGATTATAAACTTTTGAGAAAAAACGTGTAGATGTTTGCCGGGGGAGAGGGAGGTTTTTTGTATCGTGATCTGTGAATAATCGCCAAGTCTTGGCAACTTCCAGGCAGCGGGGCGCGAGAAAATAAAAACATCACAGTAAGGGACCAATTCAAAATGCATAACTCGTAGTCACCCCCAGGCAAACATCTATGTGTTAAATTTGGCAAGTTTAAAATATATTTGGCGACTGTAGTTGGCGCAATAGATCAGTATGCGGAAATCCCCCCCCACCCAAACATCAAAATGTTTGTTTTTTTTAAATTTCCTAGTTTAAAATCTATTTTGGCAATTGTAGTTAAGGCGACAGATAAGGATACCAAAATGTCTTCGTCTTAAGGTTAACATTGATAACAGGACTATAAACTTTGGATCAACGTTTTAGGTGTATTAGGGGAAAAAATTAAGATTTGATGTAACAGCATTTTTTGGAATGGTAGTTATGATTATTTATGCTGTTTTAGTTCATAAATTTTTAGTTTTATAACTTTCTGTAGCTAAACACGGATAATCTACTTGACTTTTAATGATGAATCGTCGGGGAGATTTCCATTTCGTGATCTGTGGCAGAGTAATTGCTAAGTCGTGACAACTTCCGGGTGGCCCTTGAGAAATTTTTTAAGAAAACCATCACAGTAAGGGACCAACTCAAAAAGTATAATGCGTAGCCACTCCCGAGCAAACATCTGCAAATTTTTTTTTTAAATTTGCAAGTTTGAAATCCATTTGTCGCCTTGACAATTGTAGTTGGGGCATCATTATACAGAAATATCCATAGTTAATAGTTTTACGTGATGCTTTATTAAGTAAACATGTTGTGAAGTAAGTCCTTGTACACTACTTGAATTGATAAATTTATTATTACCAAAACTGTTTTAGTAATATACTAATTAATATGGTTTAATATTTTTTTACTACATAAATTATTGACATAAAATTTTTTTACAATATACCTACAAAATCTTATATGTTTTCTTATTACCTTATATTTCAGTGAAGTATATCAAAACTTGTTTAAAGGTATTGATACTGCAACTAAATAAAGGCATGTGGTGTTTGATGACTTGGATCATGTGAAACGTAAATATTCAATACCAACTATTGTGAATTTTCTTATCCATAGTATGTTACTATTTTTAATAGATATATAATTTACTGAATAGCTTTTCCAAAGTTAAAAAAAATAAAATTTCAAAATAATTGTAGATTGATTTATAAATAACGACCTACTTTTACTAACTTTTAGCTCATAAATAAGCTGAATAGTTGTTTTCTCCTATATTAAACTAATGATGAACTTGACAAATTCCTTATTGTGATAAGGATAGTTTATTTCCTTAATTAAATCTATAGATAGTTAATATATAAGGCTGTAATTGTGAGTGTCATAACTTATGCTGTAAGGCACAAATATATTTCCTGTATTACTTTATTGCAAACTTACTTCTTTGATATTGTTGATCTTATTTTTGATATTTTGGAAAAACTATTAGATCTTATTTAATTTTTCTGTGTCATTGATTAGTTATATTTAGTAGTTCATTTATTTAAAAGTTATGATGTAAAATAATGATACGAAAATAATGAATATGAGTACTGGTTAAACTAATCTCTAAACATTTATATTCCCTAAATATTATAATATTTGATTATTTATCTAATATTTATTGTACCCATTCTAAAGAGGAAACTTGGAGTCTTATTTTTCCAAATTCTTTTTCTGCTTTTAATAAAAATATTCTATTGTAATTCAATGATGCTTGTTCTTTATATACTTATTTTAAATGAAGAAATTTTCTTACAAATTTGAAGACCTTGACAATAAAAAGTAATAATCCTCAATTTTGCATTTTACAGATAAGCATAGTTTCTTGTCACTGTTTTTGACTTATTAATGTCTTACCGTTTCTTGACAAAAATTTTCCCTATGTGAGCACAATGCATACCTGCCAACTTTTAATCCTTTCAAGGATGATTTTCACGAGTGATAGTTAAATGAAATTTGTATTACAATTTTAGACAGAAACATTTGCTGTATTTTGAACAAACTTATGCGGATTTACTATAATAGTATTGTATATTAATCTATATACAGTAAAACTTGAGTAAGTTTTACTGTATACCACCTGTGGTGCATTGTTTTAGTGGTCAACTTATGGAGGGGGTGGGTCATTGTTTACTTTTTCGTTTAATTTAATCAAGTTGCTATACATTTCATTTTTCTTTAAACTTGACTTAAAAATTTTATTCAGAAAATATGCAAATGAATATCTTAAGAAATGTGTTTGAGCCTGAATGAACTTCAATTTGATACATATACTTCTAATATTCAACTAATTTTTTTTTTAAAAATTATTTTGTTAGTTATGCATGTGAAGTGTTTAACAAATATAATTTCTTAAAATATCAGAACACGAAAACATGTAATTTGAAAACTTTAACAAAATAAAATTATTTGAACACTTAAATTTATTTACTACACTTAAAGATCAAAGACCATAAATAAAGGATCAAAGCACATTTCAGAGCCTTCATTTATTCAAATGCTCACTATTGCAACTGGAAGAGCAACATTTCAACTAACACACCTGTTTTCAATGAACGGATGAAAGAAATGGTCAAAACCTGACCCCTTACAGTTTCCCTCATGGTCAACTCACAAAAGGGTTTAGATTAGCTTTTTACACTATTTCACCAAACAAGTGAAATTTTAACATACATTGCCAAAATGACAAAATTTTCTGATTTTTTTTTCTGGTCAACTTATGAGGGTTTTAGAGTAGAATTTCGTAATACTCCTAGACAAAATTGACTTATTTCAGTGGTCAACATACAAGATAGACAGGTGGTCAAGTTACAAAGGTTTTGCTTCTTTATATTATGTAGGAAAAATTCCGTTCTTGATAATTGAGGTCAACTTATGGAGGTGCCCAACTTACAAGTGTGGTCAACTTAGCAGGTTACACTGTACTTAATGTTTTAAAAAATAGTGGTGGATCAAAAATATTATAAATCAAGTTTATAAATGCAAGGAATATATAGAAAGCATACATTTTACTACCACTTTAAATATAGAAATAAAATTTTACGCCTAATGTGTAAAAGTTGGCAGGTATGACAATGTTAGATATAATTATTTATAATAAGAAAATGAAATCTTTATAGGATGTGGATTATCACTTTTTACTCCTGAAGTTTTCATTTATGTATGTTGGTATTTGCTTTCTGCAATTTTTTTCTGAAAAGTGTCTTTTATTTATGTCTTTTCAAAGTACTTTGCTTAATATTTTTAGATCCATGGATTCTGTTAGTGATTTCCTCAAGGTCTGCCGAATTGATGAAGATTTACCCAGCATCACAGAACGTTACTTTACTGCAAAACTATTTCCAGATACAAATCAATGTGCTTTACTTCATTCAAACAGGCTTTGTCTTATAACAATAGCTCCGACTCATCCTATATTGACTGAATGCCTTAATATTCATTCTATAGAATTCAATTCAGTAGGGAATGTTAATCGATTATCTAATAAAGTGTCTGGAAAATTTAAGAGAGGTGCCCAAAAGTTGAAAGAAAAATCAGTGATATGCAAGTTAAAATGTGATAATGATTCTGAGTATATACTTTACAGTTGTGTTGCAGGAAAACTTGTTGAAATTAATGAAAAACTAATAGAAAATCCTAATCTTTTGAAAGAGAAACCTTGGTCAGATGGCTATGTTGGTATAATTATGCCATTTTTTGTACCTACTCGTCGTAAAGATGCTTATAAAAAACCTTTACCACAAACTAATTTGTCGCAATAAAGTTTTTAAAAAAGTTTGTTGTTATTCATTTATGCTTGTGCTTTGGAAACCATATATAGGCTTCGTAGTGGTTCAAAATAAAAATCAAGGCAGCATTTTACAAAAAAAATCAAGAATTTTTTTTAAATAGTATGAATATACCAAGCTACTTAGAAAAGGAGTGGATGTCAAACTAATAAAAGTATAATTTGCTTTACTAGGACAAACATTTATGTATAATAAAAGCAAATTTTACTGCAAAAGAATAATAAAATAAACTCTCTTAATTTAATAAATTTTTTTAGAGACGCACGTTTTACCGAATACCAATACACGAAATACCAATAATTGAATACGAAATACCTAGACTTGAAAAAGTAATCAATTGTACTAAGAAGAAATTTAGAAATGCAAAATGTGCAACACTAAAAGAAGTATTAAATGAGAAGTAAATTAACTCGTTAACAATGTATAACAATAACCTTTTATCATATAACAATTCATTTTTTATCACTCTCTTGAGCCTTTTATATTTTTAAAATTTTTGATACAAATATTAAGATTTATATCAGTATCTCATACTCTTGTTTTTATTTATTTTGTGCGTGTAACATCAAGTCAAGTGCAAGCTCATTAAATAAGGATCTTGAGAAAGATAAATTTTTCTAGCTAGTCATAATTTAAAGCAAAAGAGTGAAAGAAAAATTTTAAATAAAATTGCAATAACTTTCAAATTGAAATATTGAAAAAACATAAATTATACAAAAACATACAAATCTGAATGGAAACCCACCTGGAATTATCAAGGATTTTTTTTATACTAGAGAAAACTTGGAAAGTCAGGGACATAAAAACTTGGAAAAATCTGGGAATTTGAAAGAAAAGCTAGAATTTTTCCCTAATTTAAATTATTTTACCATCCATTTATACACACTTTTTGATTGAAATTTATCGCCAAACAGTTGAAATATCATCAACTGAGCAATACTTTGCTTGAATTAAAATTTGTTCCATTATAACCCTGTTAAACTAGAATGCCACACAAAACTTTCCTATGTTTGCTAAATAAAGGGAAAACCTTTGACCTCTTCGGGGACTATGCAGTTTAGAAAAGACAAAGATTGTGGTGAAAGCTTGGTATATTCGCCTTTTTTTATAAAAGTATTTTTTCTTCTTGTCCTAGAGCTGAATCCATTTATCGTTCAAGTTTGTTCTGATGCTTTGAAAGTATTTTTTTTAACAAAATGTTTTAGTATTTTTAGCTTAATAAAATTAATTAAATTGTAAAGTACCAAACCTTGCTAATACAAACAAAGGCATAGTTAGGGCTTATGGCAGGAGAGACACTATCTCAGTTTTTGCACCACCTGAGATTTATATATGTCATACTTAAGGGAACTATTTGGGGCTGTTATAAGTTCTGTAAAACAGAATTCATAATTTAGATTTTACATTGCTAAGATTTTACAACTTTAAATCAATGTAACTAATAATAAAATTATTCATTTGATTTGGTTTAAAATTGAACATTATATGTTACTAAAGTATGTAGTTTTTATTACACTTAGATGTTTATTGTTTCACCAATTTGCAAAAAATAATTTAAAAAATATTGAACCTATATACGTAGCAAACTACAGCAATAGTACACATCCTATTCAATCTAGGTAAATGAAATAAAAATTGTTAGTAGTTATTGAGCCTGTAATTGGCAAATGAAAGTGGAGAAAAAGAGGGGGGGGATTTATTCTGGAATCAATTTTTAATTATTTTTCATAAACCAGGAATGTATACTCTTTCTTGTTCTCCGCTAGCTATGCCACTAAATTAAAGGTATATCGATTAATATCTTCTGCTTTGAAACATCAAAAATAGATTGCAAGAACTACACTAAACGATTATTTAATTTATGCAGGCAATAGATAAAGCTATTAAATTATTTTTGCTGCACAGAAAGATCTTTTTTTCCTCCAGAAAAAATTTTAATAAACTAATACAGTATAAAATTTCCTTTTAATGTACATAATTTTCAATAGATTTTTTTTATTGTATATAAAAATTGTGTAACTTTTCTTATTCCAGAATTTTTAAAATTATTAGATTTAAGGAAATATAACTTCAATATCATTTACATTGTTGTTAATATACATTGCACAGTTAAAATTAACGATTTTTCAACTAACTTTCACAAGATGAAAAATGTTATATAACACATTGATCCATCTACTTCAGGAAATAGTGGACAGTTTAAATTTAATGAAACTATTTAATTGAAAAATAGTGTTTGTAATATTAAGACTGAAATTAAAGTAATTTTCAGTCATTTTAATGGTTATCAATAACTAAAATTTATAATTACTTAAAATAAAAAAATATGTCCGACACTGAAGTAAAATATTCCAAATTAATTATTTATAATATTTTACATGTTAAGAACTACATAGAATTCTTTATTCAAATGTTAGCTTCAAAATTCAGTTAAATTTACATTTAAATTACTAACAAATTCATAGAGCTAAGGTAAATTGTAAATGAGTAATCATTTTTTGCATTTGTGCGATTTACTTCAACACTAACTATTTAACTTGAACTTATTATGATTTGTTTTTATAAAACAAATTGTTTTTTTGATAGGTTATATGATATACTAAATATTTCATATAAAAATTTTATGATTATAAACTTATGTTTTATGAGAATTTTTCTAAAAAATGTATGTTAATTTTTTATGCCCAAAACCATTGAATTGTCCAGTTGTAAAAACAAAAGCAATTAACTAATCTCAACTAAAAAACCATGTGGTTAAATTAGAATTCTTAAATATTTTAATTTCAAATAAGAAAAAAAAAAGATTAAAATTTAAAAAATTTTAATCTTTTTTTTTCTGTGAGTATGCAACAAGAAATTTGACTATTTCCTATGTCGACATTCATTTTTGAATATTGAATAACTCTTAAAATAATAATGCTAATTCAAAACAAACAACATTATTTAGACATTTGACTTAAGATATTGGTTTAAAGAAAGTATGATCAATGAATTTTATAAACACTGTCTGGATAAAATACAGGATAGAACGGCTCCATATTGAAATTTAAATAAATATAAAAATTTATTGATGCATAATCATATGGTAATACTTTCTTTTGCTTAATGAAAATATATTAAACAGTACTTATCCAAGGTTTATAGGGTCACTCTGTATTTGCCATTTGTGAATGCAAGTCTAAAGCAAAATTAATAAGTAAGCTTATACTTATTCTATATTCATTATTAGTTTCAACAATGAAACATCTAAATAAAAAGCATAAGTATCTTTAACCTTTTCAGGGACGGTGGAATAAAAACTATCCCACTTATTTTTTGCAATAACATAAATCACTAAAATTTTAATAATTTATATTTTTTAAACGGAAAAGGGTTGTAATCAGTAACTTTTGAACTTTAAAATAGTAAAGAAAGCCAATCTTTTAACTGTAGATATGAATATGATGTCAATTCTTTTTTTATGAAATTTTTTGATTAAAATTTACTACCCACAAATGTATAAACAAAAATTATCAATTATGTATTATCAATTCTAAAGAAAATACATTAATTCTGACAATTTAACAGTGTGTGAATTTAATTAGTGGGGTTTTTTCTTAAAAAGGGGGAGAAAAAAAAAACATGCATGACCAACATTACTTAACCTTTTGACGCCTCGGGCATTTCATTTTTGAGTAGATTCACTGTTAAACACTTTGTTCAAAAGAAAATTGAAAAACAATCCTTTGATTTGTGAATTATTTGTAAAATGATTTTTTGTAACTTGTTTTTACTCAACTAAATTTAAATTGATCATTCAAAAGTCTTTTTTGTCAGAAATTATTGAAATTTCTAATTTTTAAAGAGCAAATATACTATCTATCAAGCCAACAAAACCTTTGTTTCAAAGAAGGGAAAGCGTTGGGTCTCATAAAAATTAAAATAATTAATCCTGTGTAACTTAACTTAAAATGCAATTTTAAGTTAAGTAAAACTATTATTTGTGCTTTAATGCACTACACTCTCTTTCAATTCATAATTTTAAGATAATATATGATTAATTACATTAAAAAAATCCATTTAATATTTTCAGTAGTGGCCCCATATATATTTAATTAAAAATATATGCAGGAAATCATTACAACACAAAAAAAAATATATTGTATATTTACTAACCTAAGAAGTAATTACCATTTTTGGGCTAACTTTTTTTTAACATAAGTTTAAAACAAAATCATTTGTATAATGAAAACATTAACATATTGATTTCTTAAACATAATGCAAAAAAAAAAGGTTAAATTAAGCTAGATTTACATTAAATTGGGTTAGAAATACTGGATATTAACAAGAGGATAGTCACTTCCGAGTGCAGTAAAAAAGTTATTCGATTTAATTATATCTTCGGAAAAATTGCAATTTTATGTTTACCTAAAATCTTAATCAAAAAGATGGATTAGTCGCTTGATCTAAATTGCTAAAAAATAAATATTGCAAATGCAGTTTTTCTTCTAATGCCAGAAAGCAGCTGAATTTCAAAAAGTTTGCTTAGATACAGTAGCATCTAGCTGATGAATCATCTTAGTAGGGACCAGATTTTAATGACCAAATAAATTCCTATAAATACCCTTCAAAATTTTAGTCAGAGTTTCAATATAACAATCGTTTTTGCTGTGGATTAACCAGGCATAACATGACAAATATGTCTTTATATAAACTAGCACAGTTTTAAAAATTTCTTGTCTTTTTAGAGGAATATTTGCACGATTGCATTAAAAGATTATAATTCAGTTAAAATCTATACAAGTTGCAAAAATAAGCTAGTGCTTGTAAAAATTTCAAATGATTCCCAAAAATTAAATTTTTTTTAATTCTCAAAAAAGGATTTAAAAGGTAAAAATATATATATATAAAAAAAAAGGACTAAGCCTTCTTACTGCAAGCAACAGAGTGCAAAACAAAATGCAATAGTCATTATAATAGCCAACTGCCTTAGTCATTAGCATGAAGCCTTTCCTCAGCCTACCATTGAAGCCTCAGCTTCCTTAAACATGTTTCTATGCAAGTCTTATTCTTATTAATAGTCTCATACCATGATTTGACCATCAATTACCCTTTATCAGTGCACAAATGATATATATTTGTAGAGTATCCACTGAAAAAAAAAAACAACTATAGTAAGTATATGGAAAAAACTCCTCTCATCTAGAGCAGTGGCTGTAATTATGATTACATGGTTTAACTACATCAAGTTAATATTTAAGACAGGCTCTATCTCAGGTTGGTGCGATGACGGGAGTATGAGCAAAAATAAAATCCCTACTTTTGAAATATGCTATTAGTTTCCACAACCTTAGACTTTATGATGATGGGAGAACTTTCTATAGACTACGTATACTTTTAAGTTCTTCAACTAAAGAGCCAATTCTATTCAGAAAAACTGGACACCACCTCCTGAAAATAGGTTTTACCGAGAACAACAACCTGATAAAATGAGGTACAATGTAGGTCATCACCATATTTATCTATCAGAATATGCTACAGTAAATTTAACTAGTAGTTCCTCATTGGAAAAATGCCATTAAATGTTATCTTTCTTCAAATGGTGCAGTACCCAAATAATGATATACAATAATATGTAAATAAGTCTAATGTGATAAAATTAAATGTTAAAATAAACAATTCTAGCTTAATTAGTTTATATGTGATATTGGAATATGTTTATATGTTATGTGATAGTGGAATTAGTTTATATGTATTACAGAACACCCTATGCTAAAAAACTAAGCGATAAGCTTTTAAATTGTATTGATTACTTCACTTCAGTTATTATAAGCAATAACTACACAAAATTTCATAAACCTAGCTTGAATATTCACAAAAATATGAACATTTTTATAAAAATTCAATTTTTTTGAATTACGTTTCCTCACTATAATGGTAAAAATATTTAATGAAATTTTAAGTTTTTATAACAATTCTTAAATAATAATAGAAATATAATTTTAAGATTTGAAAGAAATTAATTTAAAAATTGTGCAAGATATAAATAGTTACACTAGTTCTTTCATACTGTGAGTAAACTAAAAACAGTTAAAAATTTTTATATTTTGTTGTGAATCGAATTTATTAACTTATGAAATAAGTCTGATTTGAATATTTTGAAAATTTAAAATACGGGGCAGATTTCTCAAAGTCTGCATTCGCAATTGTAAAATAATTTTTTTTTTTTAAATAACTGCCTAAACCAACTTTACACAATATAAGAAACAATTAAAAAGATTTAAAAAAGAAAATCCCGATTTTTCACAATATCTTTATTTTTTGCTTCATAATCAAGCATATACATTTTTCTAAAAATATTACAACACGAAAATATTTTTTTTTCTACGTCATTGTCTTTTTTAAATTTCTTAATCTTAATTCGCGCATCAGCAGTTTGAATGTCAGTAAAATAAGAGATCAGAGAAAAATATGATAAGCAGTTTTCTATACAAATTTCACACAAAATTATATCATTAAAACATTAATGCAGCTCTATTTCTATGATGCTTATGAACATTTTATGTGCATATTAATGAGGAATATGAAATGATCATAGTAAAATGCAATAATTTGACACATCAAAAGATTATGAATTTGAATATGAAAAAGAATCAGAAAAGGAAACATTCAATTTTCTTCATAGTTGCACAATTATTAAATAATTAATCAGACTGATTAAAACATTTATTAAAAAATTAAGAAAGATAAACATATTAAGAAAAATCCCTCAACATTATCAGATAAAACTGATTCAAGGGGAAAAAATGCCATGCTTGTGGCCGTATTTAAAATATTCTTAAGAAATATATATTGACAAAGCAATATTTGCTCAAAAACATACAGTGTGTATATTACTCAACAGGTTTTCAATATTTATTTTTACAGTTAAATTACAATTAAAACTTTATATTTTTATGTATATATATATATATATTTCAAATGTTCTATGAAATAAAAATGGAAACTTTTCTAACATGGATAAATCAGACTTTTTCAGAACAACTTAATATTCTTTTAGAAGAATGGTTAAGTCTTTCTTGGATCAGAAATATGCATTTTTGTCACACACTTTAGAACAATTCCTTGAATATTAGCAATATCAGATAGCAATTAGTTTTGTTCACTCCACAGGCTACAAAAAATATCGTCTTTCACACCATGCAGTGAGCATCAACTTTAAGTCTGTGTAACAGCAGCTACATCTGGCATAGAACTCTGATTTTCTTCCTGCGAAAAAACAAACAAACATATAAAGTGCTTGTGTAAATCCAAACGTAAATTCAAATTCTTAAGTGAAATTAATTAAACAGAAGGTAAAAATGAAAACAACCTTAAATACATTAATTCAAATTGGAATAGCGCTCAAGGCAGCTAAAACCAAATTCAAATCATATAAACTAGTAATAATATAAATTTACTCNAATGTAAGACATGGTTCAGAAAGGAAAACAGTAATATTACGTCCAAAATGCCAAATCACAGTCTCTAGCACCCTGCCTTTTTCAGGTTTACAATGAGCCCTGCAATTACTAAAAGACTTTAAGAATAAGCAAAATTTAAACAAGTTTCTTTTTCTCCATCCTTTATAATATGAAAAAACCAAGATTAAAGTTTTGGATGCCTTAAATTGGTTCTAGAGTTGCAGACTTGCTCTGGATTGTAGAAATATTTCCTAATGATAGAAAAATTTGTTCTATCAATGTATAATTCTCGGTTCATTTAATTTGATTCATTAGGTATTTACCCATCACTATTTCTAAATAATTCAAAGGCCACTTTTTTCACAGTTATTTCATGTTGAGTGTTTATAAATAAGGTGGGAAAATTTTCAAAAGTCTGCAAATTTTAGTTTATAATTTTCTGCTTTTTTTTGTCATATATATATATAGATTTTTAAATATTTTGAAAAATACGGAGTTATCTCTGGCGTTATGGACAAGACATGTAGATTATACTATCCTTAGCTGTCTTTAACTTCCCTAAAATGTCTCAAAAATGTTTTTAACGTCTTACAGACCTTACAGTACTCAAAACCTTGAATCTTGGTTTGATATGCATGCAACCATTCCATATTAATGTAAGCATCAAACATATAATTAGATGTATTAATATATTTTTTAAATTTATAACTAACTTATTAACAAAACGCAAATAACAAAATGTAATTAAAAAAATATATTCACCACACCATAGCTGCCAACATGGAAAGAAAAAAATCCAGTAGACTTTGTGAAATAATATAAATTTCTTGATAACTACTGCATGATATACTAAATATTTTACAAATAAGTAATTTTAGGTATTTTTATTGTCATCAAAATACAAAAGCTTTATGTCACTAACGACTATAAATGGTATGTAATATTTTCCATTTATGATTGACATTAAATGAACTCAAATTTTAAAATGTTTATTATGCTAACTCATAATTTCGAATAGTAGGAAAAGTAATTTATTATCGATATTTAAAAAGATTTTAATTAATTTAAAAAGGGAATTCTAAACAAATAAAAAAATTATTACTATTACTGAAGCTTGCTTCAGTGTGCATTAGTAATATTTATTTAAATATTCAAACAAGCAATTAATTATGCAAAAATTCTATTTCAATAGGGATTTTTTTTTACGAAGCTTACTTAATTTTAGGAAATCATCTAAAATGTACAAAATTCAGGAGAATTTTTATTAAATTAGTAGACCAGGAAAAACTGGCAAAATCCAGTAGAGTTGGCAGCTATGATATAGACTATAATTCTTTTAACAATAATTATATAATTATGCTTTTGTATTAGTAAATCAATATATAAAAAAAAAATTCTTTATATTTACATACATTAAAAAAAAAAAGATAATTACTTTTACAGGGTGCGTAGCCAAATTATTCAACAAAAAATAGGCACCTTTTAAGCACTCAAAAAATATTTTTAAGAACAGGGATGAGATTAGCCAAAAGGTAAAAAAGCTGAATTTCCATAATAGTAAATTTTAAGCGCAACCCTTTAATAATAAATTCCGGACAGTTTAAGGTAATAAATAATGAGTTGACATACAATTATGTACTAATCTATTATATAAATGATTACATTGATACTTAACATTTAGTGAAAATAAAAATTACCATATATTTTTCCTCAGTTCACATAAGAGACAATTATTACTTGAAAAACTAACTGGTTCAGCAAATTAAAACCACTGAGAATATACATTAATATTTCATTTCTTTTAATAAATACTGTTATGTGATTTATAGCAAATATATCAGTAATATTTCTTTTTAAATTATATTGGAAAAAAAAACTTTAACAATGGACCGAATCATTATGTTCATATTATAGTCTAATCTAACTAGAGCCCTCTGAAACATATCAATAACAGTGAAATAGAAATATATAGTAACTCCTTAACATACAAAAATTGCTATTTTAGTTTGAAAAATTACATGACAATCAGCAACTGTTTAGATAATTTAGATAATTGTTTTTTATTTGATAAGAATTTTACATTTTATAGCAGAAATAACAGCAATTATAAATAAAATTTTGATGGGGAAAAAAAATTTAATTAAATCCCTTTTTAAGTGATTGCTCTTGTTTGCTATATCTTTTATGTTTTTTCAAACATCTTGTGACAAATCCTATTTTTTCTTCTTTGCAAGCACAGAATGTAAGTTTTGAATATATTCCCTTTCAGTTTCTCTGATGTTGTAACACTTACATATACTAATAATCGTCGTTAGAAAAACAGTCACCTTTATAGTAACTAATTTAAAAAATTTTACTTCTCACAAGAATCGCGATAGTTGATCTTAAAATTGCGTGAATATTAATAACAATGATGGATTTTGAAATCACATGAATATGAAACTAGATATATGATTTTGAAAATGAGAAAATACAAACTGGGATATAGAATTTTTAAAAAGCGTAAATACAAATCACGATTCATAATTTTTAGATCGCATAAATACGAATCATGATGCAAAATTTTTAGATCGCATAAATACGAATCATGATGCAAAATTTTTAGATTGCATAAATAAGAATTATGATGCAAAATTTTTAGAATGCGTGAATGCGAATCCCAATGCCTTTTTTTAAAATGACGTATAAATACAAAATTCAATGTTTGATATTATAAACTGCATGAGCAAATCAAGACATTGAATTTTAAACTTACGTGAATATGAATTGCTACATAGGTTTTTAAAAAGGCGTAAATACCAGGGATGAGATTAGCCAAAACGCAAAAAAGCTGAATTTCCACGATAGTAAATTNTCGGATTTTTAAATCTCGTAAATAAGAATCGCAACATACAATATTCAAATCGCGTGAATAAGAATCGCAATATGCAAATACGAAAAGCTATGTCTGATATTAAAATCGTGTGAATAAGAATCGAGATAAAAGCAGATTCCAGGCTTGGGACCTCTAAAAGGCTTGACAGAAACAGCGTCGTTTGAACTACGAAAATCGGATCTATCTGGAGGGCGGGTAAAAAATTCGGAAAATCTTATCTGTTGCGTGTAAAGGGGGAGAAAATAGCTAAAATAAGTAAAAATGAGAAAGGATTGGTAGCTAGGAATGAGAAAGGATTGGATACAAATCACAATATCGGATTTTTAAATCTCGTAAATAAGAATCGCAACATACAATATTCAAATCGCATGAATAAGAATCGCAATATGCAAATATGAAAAGCTATGTTTGAAATTAAAATCGTGCGAAGAATCGAGATATACGCAGATTCCAGGCTTGGGACCTCTAAAAGGCTTGTCAGAAACAGAGTCATTTGAACTACGAAAATCGGATCAATCTGGAGGGCGGGTAAAAAATTCGGAAAATCTTATCTGTTGCGTGTAAAAGGGGAGAAAATAGCTAAAATAAGTAAAAATGAGAAAGGATTGGTAGCTATGTAGTTTGAATTTTCTGTTTCTCTTTGAAACTAGGTGAATTTTCTGAAAAAGCGGAATACTTAAAAGAAAAGTGAAATTTTTAAAAAATCTGAATTTTTGATTTAAAAAAAAGCTAAAATTTAAGAGATAAAAGTGAAAAAAAGCGGAAATCCGCTAAAAAGCAGAAAAATCTCATCCCTGTATGCACTTTAAAAAATATCACAGTTAGGCAGGGTTGGAAAGTTTTTTACAATTGACAGTTTTGTTTTAACCGTCATGTAAAAAAAAAACTTTGTCATTGCTTTTGACAATTGTAAGAAATCACGAAATTTTGAATCGTGTAAAATGAACGACCTTTTTATACGTTACGAACGGACAATATGCCGAAATAGATTGGGGTTGAATTATTTGTGAAAACGTTGAATAGAACAGTGTGAACTGTGATTTTTGCATAATTCGAAAGCAAAAATCAACATGGTAAAGGAAAAATTTCATTTTCGAAAAGGGAGTATTAAGCACTTTTTAAAACCACCCAATGGAAAAACCACCCTTCAGGGCTTTTAAAAAATGAAAATCGAAAATAAGCACCTTTAAGCACTTTTTAAAAACACTACGCACATTAAAATAAAACCTGTTTTTCAACAAAAAAAAATCAAATATAAGCTTACAAGTCTAAAATAGAAATATCCGAATTTACAAAAATAGGAGACCAGAAACTTTAATGGCATTTTTGTAAGGACATTTCTTTTACATCTCAATAAACACAAACGAAAGTTTGATATTTCTAAGAGTCAAATATAAACAAAATATATAACAGAAAATTCTTTCAATACAAACAAATATGAATAATTCAAAAAAAGACAAATCTTTTTCATTTTTAAAAGCAGATTCTTTAACAAGATAGTAATTTTTGAAAGGTTCGTTTTTTTAAAATTGTGAAAAAATTACTCATAATTTGTGAATATAAAATAAACGTTAAGTCACATTCCTTCAACCAGGATCCGCTTTTGTAAATTTTTGCAAATAGGGTCTGTTATTGCAACAAAAAAAACTTTTTCAATGAGTTTTTAAATTGAAAAGACATACAAGATTATGCCTAACACTGTAAAATTATAATTAAAAAAATTAAATTTTAAAAAATAAACAGCAATTGCTGCTACTATTTTAGAGATGCAACATACAAATATTTGGTATTTAGCCTATACTGCTGAACGCAGAATAATCATTTCGGACGAACAAAGGAAGAAGCTTCTGCCAAAGACAAAACTTAGTTCGTTTGAATCTGTCTCTCTCCCCCCCCCCCTTCCTGGGAAGGGTTTATTCGATTAACAAAACAATAATGAAGAAGAAAAACAAATTTGTGAAGGGTCCAATTAAAAGATAAATTATTTTGTGAAGGGTACGTTAACGGACCCAAATTTCTTCTGAACAGACCCCTGCTTATGATATGGCTAATATTGTAAATAAGTATGATGATTTGGATAAGAATTTTGGACATGATATTTGAAAACCATTGTATTTTAAACCTTGTCAACTCTAACAAAAACATTTGCAAAAATATTGCTGAACAAATCATTAGTGAATTGTTTAAAAAGATTTATTTTAAGTTCATATACTCACTCTTCCTGATGAATTACTTGTAAAATTATTACATACTTCCTCCAAAAACGAGTGTCTAAAGAGAGAAAAAGACAAAAGTAAGTCATTTTAATTATATAAATGTATATCCTTAAACAAAGATATGCATAGGGAATATTTAAAACAGAGTTAGCTTGACTGTAAGTTTTTTTTTTTGCTTCAAGCAATCTTGGGTTCAATATATAAAATGATTTACAGGGTGTAGATATATTTGAGAGAAAGATTTTGCGGGGTATACTTGGTGGTGTAAATGAAAACAATAACTGGATAAGGAGATTTAACTTTGAACTGTACAAGATTTATAAACAACCTGATATTACTAAATACATAAAAATAAATAGAATGAATTGGATCGCCCACATGATTCGAATGAGTGACGAGACCCACTGGAAAAAGAAAGGGGGGAAGGCAGCATTTGAGATGGGCTGACTCAGTGGAGTCCGATTGTCTCGCCATTAATGAAAAGAATTGGAGATCAAAGATAAATCTAAAGTCGTCATGGAGAAATCTTCAGAGGAAGGCATTGGCTCACATTGGGCTGTCTGGCCAACTATGATGATGATGATGACAGGGTGTAGATAGCTTAACTACCCTAAATTAAACCTCATTCAACCTACACAACACTTTAGAAAGGTATGAAATTTTGTGTAGGATATAATGGAAGAATGTAAATTTGAACTAGTACGAAATCAGTTCAAAATTTCACAACAGGTAGGCATATTTTTAGTGAATTAAACATTTAGCACACATTTATTAAAGTTTAACAATTTTATTTCAACAGAACATGTTAAAAATAACCACCATCATCATATTCAGGTAGAACTGTAAAATTTTATATTATTAATTCAGTTGCAGTTAGTAATATCATGATTAGTACAGAGTATTTTAAAAACATTAAATACAGATAGAGTTTGCAAAATCAAAATTGCAACACTGTGTTAATTTATACATAGAATTGACAAAAATAATAATAAATTAATAAAATTTAATTTCATATTAAAAAAAAATAAAGGATTCTAAGAAATCAGCATTTTTAACAATCCAAACAGGGCAATATGAAACATAAATTTTATATTACTTTGTTTTTTCACACAAGAGAATGATAACACAAATTGTTATTAGAATATTTAAAGCTCCTTTTTGTTTTGGGAATATCTTCTTTAAAACAACTTAAAAAGTATAGAGATTCCCACAGACCTTGTTAAAATGAATAGAAATACAGCTTTCATAATCATTCATAAATACAATTTTACAGGTTTTTGACGTGATGGTTCAATTCAAGTATAAATCTGTCAATAACTAGCCAACTCTTGATGATGATAACTATTGTAAATCTATGCAATTCATTAAAATAGATGCTTTCTGATGCTGAAATTATGAACTGATTTTTATCAGCTCAGATTACCATTTCCTCATTAAGTCTTAAGGGAAATTTCATATCCTTCTGGATTTCAGAATTTTGTTGCTTAGTTATGGACACCCAATTTTAAATGAAAATTAATGCAGACTTGAGCTAATGTACTTAAAAACAGTTGCTACCTTAGTCTACTGGTATGAATTTTTAATGAATGGTATGAATGAATTTTGCCTGGATAAATAATGGGAGTTTCTATTGTACAATATTTGAGGGGTTTTTTTTGGTTCGCATTGCACATTAGGAAAATAATTTTTTTTTTTTAAATATGAAAAACCTTAATTTTTTTTATGGAAAACCTTATTTTTTGAAGGCATGTTTGAAAATTTGAGAAAAATCTCTTACAAAACCTATATCTATAATATAATTGAAGGATAATAAATAAGAAAAATGTGAGTTTGAAAAATAAATATAGCAGTAAAATGACTTTTCACTAAATTACATCAAAAATAAATAAAGAAAAAAATTAATAAAATTTACAAAAATTATCTCGTGGGATTCAACAACTAATGCTTGCAAGTACTTTACAACAAACAATTTCACAATTAACTTTAAAATATTAGTCAATTAAAAATAAAAACTTACTTAAAAAATAACGCTCCTAGGGGCAAAAGCATCAAGGAATTACGAATGTTTTCATCATCTGCTAAGATCCTCATCAATTCACATGTTTCTACTTTTCCAGAACCAGATATAATTTCTGTAAAACAAATAAGTTCATCGCATTTTTAAATTAGAACCTATAACTTGCAAAGTGATTTTAAATTAATAGACAAAAATCAATCAGACAATAATGCTAAGACAAAAATTATCTCAATTACCAGTCCTTGTTAATTCAATATTAGAGTCAAATCATTTTCATGATATTTTACTTATTGCATAATTGTTTAGTTTAAAGTTTTAAAAAATTTTTAATACAAACATTAAAAAATATTTATTACCGATATGTAATAAGTTATAATTGCACAATGATTTTATTATCACACAATAAATTTAAGTTTCAGTAAAAAAAAAAAAAAATTTTTTTTTTGTTTTGAATCAAATTCTGAAAAAGAATTATTCTTTGTACATCCAAAACAATAAGCTCAGAGATTACACCAAATTTCCATTTGTCAAGAACCTTGTCTTTTAACGTAAAAAGGAAAGATAACACTGCTTATCTCACCATCACTTTAGAAATAGATATTAGTTTTTTTTGTTTATAAGTAAAAAATAAATAAATAAAAGATAAAAAAAAGAGATTAAAATACAATCTTCTTTAAAAAAATTATACATTTTATAACTTCTAAAAGTATTAAACAATCTAAATCTTTGTTTTTTTCTGTTTTGATTATTTAAAATATTTCAGTATTACAAAAATTAATTTTAAAAAAAATTACCTTTAACACGTGCTTCTAAAATTTTATTAATTTCTTTATCTTGATTTGAGATTTCTTCTGATACTTTAGGAGCTCCAGGCAGAGCTACAAGTACGATGCTCATATTATCTTTGCTGCCCTGAAAATGAAAAATACATAAACACATACCTTTTTGTAAAAATGCATTAATATATTTCAAGTTATGTATTGTTTGCTTAATTTTTTACATTCGTAAGTTTGTCCTGACACAGATTTTAGCGAAATATTAATATTTTCCTATAATACAGAAATGTTTCTAAATGCTATGACTAGTGTGTAAAATTGTTTAAAATATGGCATTTCAAGTTCTTTCTCAGCAATTTTAACAGGAATCAGTACTTATTTGAACCATCAAAAATGATAATATATATCTGATATAATAAAGATAGCAAAATAGTTTAGAAATAGTTAAGAGTCCTATCAAATAAGATGGTCCTTCTACCCCTTGAATTATAAATTAATAAGGAAAAAAGTTATATGTCTTCTTAAATTCCTAAAAGTGAATATAGAAATATATAGAAATACAAAAAGAGGTAACACCAACTATTGCACAGGGTAGAAAAACTATTATCTTTGTAGTAAACTACAACTCTTTTTTTTATAAACGTAGATAATGGATAACTACTACAGCTATTTTTATTTTAAATGTAGTCACTCTGCTGAGAACTTAAATTACACCCATGTTCAAAATTGTTTAATAAAAAAATTGCCTCATTTAAACATGAGGAATTAAAATGTGTTTACATGAACTAGTTTATTATTTTAAACCATTTTTTGGGAACTAGTTCTTAATTCCCTTCAACTATTTATGCCTTTTTCAAAAACGAATATTTAATTTAAGAAATGGTAGGAAGTTATCAAATGTTTGCAATTTTGTAAATGCTTAAAGCTCTATTCTTTTCTCTAGGAATTAAAGCACATCGAAAATATGTTAACCTCACTTAAATATTGTTAAAATGAAATTCTTAATGCTAAGCTACAAGGGCATTATCATTACATCCATGCAAAGATATGCACCAATGAGATTCGAAAAATTAGTTTATTTTTAAAACTATTACTTTTTGTATGCACCATTCGCTACACTACTTTCCTTTGAAAACAAACACTACAAAAAAATAAAAAAATAGCAACTACAGTAGTTTTTCTACTTATAACGGCTATTTCCAACTACTGTACTGGGTCATTGTAATTTCTAAATACTTTTGTGTTGAAAATTTTGCAGCAGAAGTGCTAACAAGCAAATATTTGATGAAGGACGAAACATCAGCAGGAAACTTAACGGTATACAATATCAAAATACTTTTCAATTAAAAAAAAAACTATTGTATAAAATTAAAATAACAATATTTCAGCTTTTATATAATGTTATTTTACTGTCTTTCAGAGCATATTGTATATTTTTTTGTAATTGTAATTCCACGAAATTTGTAAAATATCTAGCAAGCCAAAAGACATATGTCCCAGTCTATTTTTTTCTTTTCTTAAGAAGAGCCAGAAGTAAAATCACTGACTTTAAAATTAAAAACTTAACTTTGAAAAAGTAACTTTACTTAAATAGGAAAAATAATTACCTTACAAAGACAAGCATCTATGACACAGTTGCAAATATACTCTAAATCTGAAGTGACTTGCATCATATACCTAATGTGATCACAAATTTCATCGTTAGTCATAACGTCCCATACACCATCACAAGCTAACACGAGAAACTCATCAAGTTCAGTGCATCTCTCTAAGACATCAACCTGAGGTTCAGGAGATACAAGTTGTTCACATGGTCCTTTCCCTTCAACCTGTTTGTACTCATAGTCACCCAAAGCTCGTGAGACGGCTAAGGAGCCATTAACCCTTTGTACCATTACACTACCACCAGCTTTCTGGATGCGCTCCTTTTCGGCCGGATTGATTGGTTTATGATCTTCTGTGACGAAGAATGCCCGTTTATTTCTAGACAAAACAGCACGAGAATCTCCACAGTTGGCAAAATAAAAATGAGTTGCAGAAATAAGTGTGCAAACAGCTGTTGAACCACTTTTGTCCTCACCAGAAGCAATTTCAGGAATTTTCTTCATCTTTTCATCAAGTTTTAGAAAACCATCTTTTATCCCACTTTTAATCCTTTCAGCATCTTCCATCTTCACTTGACTGTTGCAGCTATTGGCATTCGTATTATTGCAAAAGTCTTCAGACTGGATGATGGTATCTAATAAGTTTTCTGCACAGTGCATGCTTACTCGTGCTCCTGCGTGTCCATCAAAGACTGCAAAGAAACTCCAGTCTTTCAGACCCTGGGGAAGACCAACAAGTGCACAATGTGCATCTTCCATCTCAATTCTCCAGCCTTGCATACTACTAAGGCCATATGACAATCCATTGCCATTACCTCCCTCGCTATGCTTTTCAGTTTTTGGCTTATCCAAGAATGCTCCCATTTTTTTCTGTTGGCCTAGAAATAAAAAACAAAACCATTATTTTTTTCACTATACAACACTCTATTGAAAAATCTTAAATATCTAAAGCTTATAGTTGCTAAGACAGAAAAGAAAAAATTTAGAATTTAATGATTAAATTTTAAATTTTTTCTTTTAGTCTATACATTATACATCGATATTTCTTTTAATCACGATTAAATTTTCATCTATACAATAATTACATAAAATAATAAAGTAATATAAACATAAAAGTGTAGTCAGTAAAATATCCCTGTGGTAGAATTTGTTTTTTTGGGAAGTGGGGGGGGGGGCTTTTTGCGAGAAACCTCTCTAGCACTAATATCTTTCTGCAAGATATTTTTAATAATAACAAATGTTAATAATTTAACTTGAATTTAAAGCAACAGAAAAAAAAACATTTGGATAAAATAAAATTATCTTATTTCCAAACTTATTATAAAATTACCTTATTTCCAAACTTATTATAAAACTACCTTAGTTTAATAAAATAAAACTACTTCATTTCAAACTTGCATCTCATACTTTGAAATTTATTACACAAGAAAAATTAAAATTATGCGTCAGTTTAATGAAATTCTGCTTTAATGTTTAAAACACATATCTTTTATATTTTCCTTGCTTACTAAAAATGTTGACTTCCCCTAAAAAAATTAATTTTTTTTAAATTTCAAGCTAAAAAAAAATTTTAAAACTCAAAAAAGATATATTGCATTAACTTTTTCATATAATTTTCCTTAATAAAAAAAATTGGCACTTTTATGACAGATTTCTTGAAAATAAGATTGTCCAGGTTAAAGCCAGGTATAATAAAATTTTTCCTTTTTAATTCTCAAATAATAGAAAAATCAAGAGCATTTCTTTCCCCTCTAATGTACAAGAAAGGCATCTTTGGAATATAATTCTTCAGAAAAAAAATTTAAATTTTCTGCAACAAAATTTTTACGATTTTACCAGAGTCGAAAACTATCCAAGCATTGAAGATAGTAATATCACAAACTTTGCAAAATAATTGCAAGTCAGATGCGAATTGCACATAGTGTAGAATAACTACTTTGCATCTTGTCTGTTTATTTCTTACTATTATAGCAATTGACAATACTTTGTTTCTGCTCCATGCTGTCGTCAAAAACACATTCACATGAATGCTATTTAAAATTATGCCTTCTTTTAAATTTTTTTTGATTGGTAAACATTGAATGTTTTGTTTTCATTTGCAGTACAAAAGTGATACTCAATTCAACAAAGTGATACTCAATCACAACAAAGTGATACTCAATTTATAAGGAAATTTATTCTCGTTCAGACCGAAAATTCGAATTATTTGGGCAATTCTTTTAAGAGAAAAAAATTATCAGTTAGACCCACTGTGTTTGGAGTTTAGGAGTGGTTCAATATTTAAAGCACAATATTTTCAGTTTGGCCATTTTCTAAATTGCACAAATAAAGACAGCCATTTAAAAAGGAAAATTTTTCTTAATTTAATTGAGTTGAAAACAAAAACTTGAAATTAAGGTTATGTGGCTTGCTCTTTATGCAATAAATCTGTATTTTGATTTAGAGCAATAACTATTCATCAACACTTCTTTCTTGTTCAAGATTATAACATGAATAACTGTTTATAATCACAACATATATGGTTTCTTTTCGATACAATATCAAATTTCTAATTCAATATGATAAAAGCTCAATTAAGCAACTTTGAACACTGAATCTCTAAGATACCATTAATTTAACAAAAACTATTTTATGATTTTGTTATTCATACAGTGGACCCCATTTCTATTCTACAATTCATTCTTAAGGTTTTGCTGCATTGCAAAATTAAATACCATGCATGAAACTTCAAAAATAAAAAGAATTTAGGAGAAGTAAAAAAATATGAGCTTCGAAGTTACACAAAATATGCACAATACAAAAAATGGCAAAGAAAGTGGCTAAAATTAACCCAACGGCACTTCTAATATTATCACTGGACTAATGTCCACGGGTCAGAAATCTTTAAAGATTTAAGTAGACTGAGTGATGATGGTAATAGATTGTTGTACACAAGCTAAACTCTTGCTTGTTTTTGTTGTCAAAAACTGTCTTTAAACTATGAATCTAAACAATTTATCAATTTAGCTTATCAGAAACCAATAGCAAGGTTAAAAGACTGAATTGGTTTATTTCAAACCATAACATATCTGTCAAACAAAATATACTTAAACAAAAGTTAATAAATTTTTATACAGGATATTTAAGAAAAACAACACATGCATTTTTAAATTAAATCAAATACCACAATAAAATTCTTCTAATTAAAATAATGGGCTGGAAAATCACATAAATAAAAAATAACTGTTAAATGACACAAGAGAATGTAATATATATGAAACTAACTACTCCTGGTTAGAGTTAAATTGATTAACGTTTCAGGTTTAACACGAATCGCTCAGCATTCAAGTACATAACTTATGTATAAATACTTAAGAGTCTTTTGGAATTTTCACGAAAATATTTTTTATTGTGCATACGTTTAATGAAATAAGCTCGTCTTTGATGTTTTTTTTTACAAAAACCAAACAACTCATTTACCCAAAATTTAAATTTCGCAATCATACATGCAACGATAATGTTCTTCAAACATAATGTTAGAATCATAACCCATAATTGCAACCGTCATTTCAGTCAAAGATACTTACTTAGAGACTAAACATCAGTTACTATAAAATATAAAACATATTATTGCAGCATATTTAATCTTACACTACTGTTTTTCAGATTAATCACCATCACTAAAAATAAAAATGAAATCTCGCAATGTTGAGTTTAGTTGTTGAATGAAACTTGCTGTTTCGCTGTAAATTAGATACGTTTTTTAAAAATGCTTCCAAAATATAATATAATTTATTTTTTGAACCAGTTTGTTTCTTTTCTCTCAAAAATATTTTTTTCTAACATCAAAATCAAAATCGAAAAGGAGTGAGAAATTTAAAAAAAAATACCTGAAGAATTATTGGCAACGTTAAAATGTCTAAAATGGGTGTTTAAAAATTATATGTATGTTATACACTAGAAAGTTTCACCTATACCCGTTCGTAATTTTCGTTCATCAGCTACTAAATACGAACTAAATAAACTCAATAGTTGAATTTGTAGAATGTGCACTTCTTTCCAAGTGGAGGGGTGTCAAGTCATAAGAGTAGTTTGTTGGATATTTTTAATTTAAGCTTAAAATATCAATATTGCCTTCCATCAATTACTTGTGGTTTATTTCTGCTATATTCAATTTGAATTTTTATTAATATCAAGAAACTTCGAGGTATCGCTTTGAAACCTACCATTTCTTTATGATTAATCTCATCTTTCATATCAGTTACGCAATATCACTTGATCCACTTTATTATTTTTTCCTGATGCATTGTTAATTAAATAATAACCTCTCTTTTATTTGTCTGAGCAAACTGTGATAATTAGTTATGTTTCCTTCAAAAAAGTTTTATACTAATGTGAAGATGATAGTACATTTGGTTTTAAAAATTATCTTTTTTTGTCACATGCATTAACATTTAAATAGTCTATTGCACCAAAATTTTGTTTATTAAACCAGTGATATATTTTTCATTGTGTATCTAGTGATTCACTAATTTACGTCTGTTTCAGGAATACCAATTTGTTAACTTTAAAAAAAATTCTGTGTTTTTTTTTCTTTCGAAGATTCCAAAGAATAATAATTCTCATTTTCCTGGTTCTTATCTTTGTAATGAGATGAGATGTAATGCGAAGATATTCATCAGAGTTTCACTATGTTGCAGTTAAATTGTTTAACAAGCTTGCAGTTTTGCACTGATTGCAGAGTATTGATAATAGAATGTGAATGTATATAAATTAACTTGTAATAGTGAATAGATTCACAGCAATTAATTTATATTTCTAGATCAGAATTTAAGGATCTGAAATCTACTTCTAATGCATAAAAATAATGTAGTTTAATAGAAATTAACTTTAGACTGGCTGCTATTTTCAATAAACAGTTTCAAAAACAACTAATTGTACCACAGAGTCCCTATACTCATTTGAAATTCCTTGGAATAAAAGTCTCTGAAGAATACTTAGAATTATTTAGATTTACAAAATGTCCCTTAGAAACTTCTTAGATTATTGTTATACTGAGATTTTGTAACCAATACGCCGATGAGAATCCTCTAATTTCCACTTTTAAATTTTTTTTTTAATTTGGTTTCCACTTTTACATGAACAGAAAATTTACATACCACGGAAGTGAAATCTAAAGTTTTGCGATTACAGCTGCAATTTACCACAGTGGGAAAAATCTATTTTTTGCATGTCTTTACATAAAATGAATAGCGTGTACGCCAAAAAAACACGCACTCAGTATTGACATGCACACAACTTACTCGTTGTGATAAATTTGAGGATTTAAATTGGGATTGTCACAACTAAAGCGTGTCATGAAGTGTTTATTAGAATTCAAAGTTCGTGAATTGTATCAATTTTATATCAACAAAGAAATTAAAATTTTAAAAAGTATATGAAAATCCATAAAAATAACTGTAAAAAGTATAATTGACAAAGTAGTGGACAACAAAATTAAAATAAATCCAGTGTATCAGAAAGTGATGCTTCAAATGCGTGCTTCCAAATTCGCTGTACAAAATAATGTAGTATTTATAAATCAAGTTTTTTAAAAACCGTGCCAAAAATGCTATCAATAATGCCTTGTGGTTACAATTGATTCGTTCCTTTATAAAAGTGATTCGATAAATGCACCACTCGAAGTTAGCTGGAGGATGAAATAATATTGTATTATAATGTAGAGTTTTTAAAAACCATGTAAAAATCCACTTTAACTGGTAAAAAATTGTCAAATCGAATTGGCAAAATTTATGGTGGAATGATCGCTAATCAGCCGTGTCAAAAAGCGTTTGTTCGCAAGCCTGATTTTAAACTTTTTTACATTATAATAATTTCAAGATTTTAAAAATCTTGTAGAAATCTGTATCAATGCTGACACAATAACTATTGATTAACTATGTAGATTTCTGGTTGCTAATTGAATGGGTCTAAATGTGATTAAATACGTATTTCGTGGTGCACAGAATCAATATTGTATTAGAACTTTGAAATTTTAAAGATCATGTGGAAATCTGTAGTAATAGCTGCCAAAATAAAGATTGACAAACCAAGTGAATTTATGGTGGAATTGTTGCTAATTGGAATGGTCAAAAAATAATTACTCAAATTTGTGATTCCAAATTTATGGTATGTTATCATGTCACATTATAATATAGAGATTTTAAAACCTCTGTGTAAATTTGTTGCAACAATTCCCGAAATGCCATTATCATTAAGAAAAAGTTAAAGTTTAGAGTTTATCAAAAATTTAAGAAAAATAGACTTCAATAATAGTAAATATAAATTAAATAATAATAAAATTTGTTTCAAAATACTTGAGTCACAATAAGTTAATATTTGTTTCCTGCATTATTGATTTTTAAACGAGTGTTTTCAAATTCCAATTAAATTTTTTTTTCTTGAAATAGTGTATTTTGTGCATGTGATAAATTTTATGAAAGTTAAGAATGAAACTTCATTTAAATTTTATATAAAATGGGTTTTTTTTCTTTAAACAGGGCAATATTTTTTTTTATAGTAGTTCCCAATGCATAAAAAATATTTTAACATATTATATATCAAATCTTTAAAAAATTTTATTTCTTTGATTTTTTTCTTATCTCTGTGTCAGAGATGATTGTGCTCCGGAAAAAAATGGATTTTTCGCTAACCGCGATTTGGAAATCCAAGATCCAGAGGTTTCAAGAAATCATCGATCACATTATGTATGAAAATTCTTGTATATTTTGTTTAAAAATATGAGAACTAGAATTTATACTTTAATTTCTCTTTCAGTTGTAAAGATTTTTTCTAGTAGAATAAACAATGTGATTAAAGATAAAAATGATGTTATACATAATTATTAATTTAAATTATGCTGCATATAATTTATTTAGAATTCCTGTTGTGAAAATAGCAATGATTTAAATTTCTAAAAACATTAATTTTTTGAAATGCGTCATGAATGATTTTATTCAAGAAATTTTCAGGATTTTTGAGTTGGGCTCACAATAAGCCCTTCTGTATAAACCATGTTTTTGGAGGAATTTCTCTCTCTAGGAAATTGGATTATTCGTGGGCACTATCCAAGTTCCATATATTTAAGTGGTTGTGTAAATTTCTCATTATAGTTCCTTGCTCTTTTATTTAAATATTCTTTCTGTGAATAAAATTGTGTATTTTAGAGGCCCTTAAATTTCATAATGTAAGACAACTATCAATGATTTGTAATAACTATTTTCTTTGGAGACTGGATTGTATATATCAGTATATCAGAGTTAAAAAAAAAATTTTAAGGAAAAAAAAAAACTTTGAAAGTGTTCTTAAAATGCACTTGGAATTTCCAGTTGTAATTTTCTTTTTTTTTTTTTTCTTTCTTTATTTCAGTTTTTAATGCACATTATAAGTTTTATGAATAAATACCTAGTACGTTATATCTCAGTTGATATCCTAATATATTTTCAGTATTTTTATTTCATTTATTTGATATTCCGAGTGTACTTATTCATTTAATAAGAAGTGAAACACTAACCTAAGACAATGTTCTGTCTACTTTGCCTATATATATATATTATATGTATTCATATTTTAATCTGTCTTTTTCCTTCCAATTTTTTTTTAAAAAAAAAACTCAAAAACAAGTAACATTTTTTTCCCTAGGATTTTGTATGTAGATTGTAATGAAAAATTTAACTATTTTTCTCAAAAATGATTAACTTTATAAAAAAATGTATTCATGTATTTGTTTTAACTTCTAAAAGGTTTTTTTAATGTTATATTGTTATATACTTGTACTTCTTTATAAAGAATTACATTTACAATTTCTGAGCTATAAGAAATGAAAATGAGTATTCATGATAAATATTAAACATTTCAGAATCATAATTAAGTTTGATTTTGACGTTTCATTTCTTCGTTATATAGTGAATAACTAGATATTATTGTAAATTAGAAAATATATTAGTTTTTGTAAAAAACTGAATGAATTTAGTTTTTTTTTTTTTTTTTTTGTTACACACATTTAACAACTGTTCTATATGTATATTATCAGATTTAAAATCTGTGTAATTTTACTTCTTGTTAAGTTAGGAGTAATTTGATCATTTTTAATGGTAGATCTAGTTTTTCTCTATGCCTCTCCACTTTTCTGGCCCATTTCAAATTTTAGCTTTCTTAATTCTTTAAAAATTGACACATTCACTGAAAGCCTTAATTGAGCTCAACTGTTTTTATTATTATTTTTTTTTTTATCTTGATTTTCTGATAAAAATATTTTGTCCTAATTTTTAGCTTTTTGTCCAGATGTTTCTGATTTTTATGTCTTCTTAGAACATCCCAATTTCAATGAAGTGAGGATTTTAAAATAATAGATTTTAAGAATTGAAAGAGTGGAAATTTTGAAGGATTTTTTATCTTAATAATTCTAGTACAAATTACGAAATTCAATTGTTCAAAGTTGTTGATCTTATTATAGGTTATCTTAAGAAAAAAAAACTTAGCATTTTTACTGTCAAAATTCTTTTTTGGGAAGTGCTGTTAAAGATTAACTTAAAATTTTTGAGCTGTAATTTTATTTCCTCTTGTCCATCAAATTGTAGTGAAAGCATTGTCTTCATTTCTTTGAAAGCTTTTAAATGTCTTTTTATTGAAAACAATGGTTTAATTTTTTAGTTAATTTTAATGATTTTTGTTTTCAGAATCCAAAGTATTAAGTTTTCTTGTCATTTGTTTATTATTTTTTTTATACATTTATTCTTTACTTGATTATATACGATATAGTTGTGAAATAATTTATTGATACATGAAAATATCTATAATTGTCTATTTCTTTTTAAACTTTTTTCATTCTATGTTTATACTAAGGAATCAATTTAGAGTCAGAAATTCTCACTATATGTAGATGTGCGAATTTCGCATTGTTTTTTAAATTTATTTCTGATTGACTATTTCCTAAAATTTGTTTTTAAAGGTGCAGACAAATGAAAAAATTTCAAAGCAGATTATAAAAGATTTTTAATTGTTTTTTTCCTCTGTTCAAATATACTATAGCATGTGTGTATATATACCGAAAAACATTCTAGTTTTTTTTTTTTTTTTTTTTCCCTCTGATTTTCTTTTTTAATCACTATAAATTCTTTTTTTTTTAATTTTTTTTTTATTAAGAATCATAAAAAATACTAAACTGTAAAAGAAGCATGGAAAAAAGCACCACTATAAACAAATAGAACCTCATAAAAGAAGCACCAATCATTGAAAACAGAAATTTGTTTCCTAAAAGATTAACTTTAATCAGTTATAACTTTTTGTATGGTTTGTTGTTTGTTTCATTCTTATATTTTAATGTTGAGAAAAGAAAAAAGAACTTTTCATGTGTTTATTTGGACATTCTTTTTGTCATTAATATTTTTTGAATTATTTTTGTTTTTCTAAGGGAAAAAAATTATCCTTTTTTTTTTAATGTTACTGGCTTTAAGATAATTATTTTTTGTCAATGTGGGTATTTCTTGTTGCACTTCAGGGTACTTGACAAAAAATGACAATTTATAACTAAACAAAAAGAGCTACTAAAATGAAATTAGATTAGTAATATAAAATTCTGAATATTTCAAGCAATTTATTTGATATTAAATGTTTTCCACCAGCCTTAAACAGATTTATTTGAAATTCACAATTACCCAGATAGTGGTCATAATCGCCTTTTTTTTCCCCCGGATACATGTGGGTTCCTTTGAAGAGATTGTTAAATAATCAAGGGTTGCTGTGGTGGGTATTATTAGTGAACTAAGAATAATTCATATTGTTTACAATTATCCACTTTCATAATTCTACCCCTAAAAGTGTCAGATAATTTTTAAATCTTCCCTTTAATCATTTTTAATGTTGGGCAAATTTTAACCTGCATCAAACTCTGGGGATTAGTGCACATTATCCTGTTAATTGCGAACGCATATCACAATTCCCTATTCTAGTAAATGTTGTCTATTTTTAGTCCCTTATCTTTTAAAAATGTTGAAAGCAATTGTGAACGTAAAACATAAAATGCATGCATTCATATTTACTTAAGTGTAAAAAGTCAGATGTAACTTCTGTAATGTGCAATAAAAAACCTTTCAACGATAACTGGTTTTTATGTGGAACATATTTTTATCCTTTACAAGGAACTTCTTTGCCCTAACAACTGGACAACTTATCTGCCGAAGTTTTTTTTTTTTTTTCCGAAAGTAAGAAATGAAACCATAACTTTCGGATAAGGTAAAAAATAAAACATTAAGTGTAAAATAATGATTCTGTCTCAGAGCATTTAAAAGTAAAATAGATTACAATAGTTTTGCACAATTACCCTCATCGACCTATACTTGTTTCTGTAAAAAAAAAATATATGTGGCATTATATTTACTTTTACCTTTTCTTTTTTAGGCATTTCATTGGAAATCAAGATATGTTTCCTTCTGATAGTCTGTTATTTAGTAATTAATGCAAATTTTTCTTGATTTTTTATAACCATGCATTCTTTATGTCTCAAATATTAAGTATTAATTTCTTAACATGAATGAAATGTTGTTTGACGATCTTGAGGAGGGGGAAATTGCTGATGATATAGTTCCTGAACCTATTGTACAAAAGAAACTTAAGCCTTTACCACGTCGTTATGTAATAAATGACAAAAAACTCAGATCTAGACATAGGAAAAAGAACTGCAAACACACTACTGAGCACCATAAAAGGAAAAGTAATAAATCTAATTTTCATTCTCATGCAAAACAATCTATGAAACATCATAAAACATGTCACAAACATGATTCCATAAGGCATTCTAACTGTCATTTCAATAGAGAAAAAATAATAGAAGTTAATTCTGATAATGAAGTGTCACCCTATAGTCACAAAAAAGTACCTGTAGTAAAATGTGCATTCAAAAATTATACAAGTCCCCCCAGAAAGGTCTTAAATGAAGATACTTCTAAATCGTTAACTGCAAAACACAAAGTTGTAAATAGTAATTATCCTAAGTTTTTATCAGAGTACAAAAAATTACCAAATGGCCAGAATAAACTAAAAAATATTAGTAATTTTAATGACCCCTGTAGTTCTGCAAATGAAAAACAGTTTAACAAAAACTCGAGTGAGAAAAATGAGAATTTAAAGTCAAAGTTAAAATGTGAAAATCTTCCACCTGCTGTAGAAGTAATTGATATTACTGATGATGAGGATGAAGAAGAGTTGAGAAGACTGGCACTTGCCACTTGTTTAAAAAGATCCGCAACGGTTCCGGAAATTTCTTCAGAAGATAGTTCGTCAAAAAATATCTGCTCCGAATCCGAATTACCTGCCGCTATTGATTCGGACAATTATGAAATAGTTGACATGGATGTAGATAATGAATCCGAAAATTTTGATAAAATAGGGGATCTCTTTACAATTGATACTACACCAACATACTTCAGTGAGCTAAATCAAGATTCCAGCATAAATCAAGTAGATAAAGTTGTGAATGGTTTCCTTCAAAATATCACTGAAGAAACTTATCAAAACTTTCATAATGAGGTATTTAATCAAAAGGTAAATAATGACTTGTACACAAACTTTGAAATTGATAAATCCCGTTTACCTCCTAGTCAATTGGACGATGAATTTGAAGAAGAACTCTTGCGAGCTGAATTGATTGCAAACATGAAATCTATGCGTCAAAATAGTGAAACTGTGCTAAAGAAGGAAAATATTTTAAGTAGCGATGCACTCTTAGTTAATGATAAGTTTAAAAATGTAATTCCTAAAGAAACAAGGGTTGTGAAATTAAAATCAGATAATTGTAATGAAAGAATAGTTAATATTAATAGGGACACAGATGTAGATGAAGGTCTGAAAGATGAAAGGACTGTAAGCATATTAAAAGATACTGACCTAAAAGAAACTCCTTTTGTAACAAAATCTAGAACCGTTTCCTCTTACAAAAAACCTAATTTGACAAGCAATGTTAATCCATCTGTTAGAAAAGCTGATATTAAAGTAAAATTGAATAATGTTCAATCTGTTGCTAGTTCAGTTCCAAATATTATTTCTTTACCTCAAGAGCGTATTGTAATTTCTCTTAATAATGAAACTTCCTCTGATGATTCTGATCAGGAGGAGGATTTTCAGGCTAAACAGCCTGAAAAAAATCCTGCTGTTGCTAGCTTAGAAGCATTGATAAGTAATGCAAGACTACAGTCCGATGAAAAAAAGAATCCTCCCAATATAAATGGAACATCCGATGCTTTATCGTGTTTGTCTAAAGCGCAACAGGAAGAGTACAATTCATTGATTAAAATTCTTGCTAAAAATAAAGATCCTTTCGTACAAAGCTCCCAATTGGAGGTGAAGAAAGTCACTGAAGATCCTAATTTGATTTTATTAAAAAAGAAAATCCATATAGCGAAAGACAATTGTGAAAAAGAAAAAGTTCTTATGAGCACTACTGAAAAGGAAGTAGAAAAAAGGAAACGTTCCTATATGCTCTCTAAAATAAAAACGCAGCATCTTAAAGAACAATTAATTGCAGCAGAAAAGGTTAGAAAGGCTAACTTGCAAATATGGACTAAATGCTCGAGTGAGCTACAAACTCTTAAAAAGTCTGTCTCAAAACGCCAGGCATTGATTAAATCTTTGCAGACTAAAATAAGCGCATATTTTCCTGAAACAGTCTCAAATGGACTTTCTCCTATGTCTAGCATTACATCTGAGGAATATTTACTTAGATGATGTTTTTTTTTTATCTTTCCCCCTCCCCTTTATATTGCCATATTTTATTGAATGATCTGGTTTGAGATAGATTGTTCTGTGATAATTGTTTTTACTCAGTTTTTGAAAATATCTTGTGCCAAACTTTAAATGGATAAAGGTTTGCACTGCTCAATGGTCTTGTTTATCATGTAATTAATTTCTTTTTTGTTACATTTTCTTTTTTATTAAAATTGTTTTAAAAAAAGTAAAAAAGATTGAAAATCTTTTTCCTGATATTTATATATTGTATATATATAAATGCAAAAAATATATATATACAGCAATTGTAGTATTACAGCTGCTGTATATTGTTTAGTGTGTATATTTTTTTGTATTGATTCAATTTTAAAATAAATGTTTTGCATAATAATTTGTTTGTCTTTTTAGTTTGCATACATCATTCTAACTTGTTTTGTTTTAAAATAATTGCTATGGGTATTCTTCTAGAAAATAACTTTACTTATTCTACTGGTAATAAATCGAAAAACAGAGATGTCCTATCAACCAAAAGAACCTTATAAGCTTCCTCTTTTGTACATTCTTTGCTTCAGCATTTTTTTTTTTTCTTTTAAACCAAAAACTCCTGAAATCCAGCATTTAAATTTTTTTTTTAAAATATGTATGTATAATATGAACCATTATTCAATTGACAGTTAAAAAAGAAATAATTATTGCAGTTGAACATAAGACTTAATTTGTAAATAATGATTTATACTCTATGTTTATTATGTTAGGTTGATATGTATTAAATGTCAGATTATGTAAATATTATAAAACTGGATATCTTCTTTCAAAAGGTGTTTATTCTATTTGCTTTAACACACTTTCCCTTACGAGATTTCAATGCATAGTTGCTGGTCTTAAAAAGAATTACGATCTTTAGAATTCTGAAGCTAAATGTTTAACACAAAAATGAAGGTCGATTTGGGAAAGATTCTGTGAATAGGCTGTCAATGAAAAGTAAGATTGAACATATGTTCAACCAATCCAGCTTGTTTAGTTTGTGCGGTAATAATCGTTTTCCCGTTGCCAATTTTAGAAAGGTGTCTCAATATTGCTGTATAGTTAACTTTCATTCTGGTAGCAAGTTTCGTTGTAGTTATAAATTAGATTGATTCTTCCAATGGTTTCAGCGCATCATTTTTCTCTGACGTTATTTTGGGGGGTTCAGCTGGTCTTTCACGTGGTTTATTTTGTTGGGATAAATCACCAGATTGAAATTTTTTAAACCAATGCTACCTTTTTCTGTAAATATTCTCTCCGAAATGCCTAAACTGCGTGCAGCATTATTAAGTTTATGCTCAAATAAATTTTTTTTTTTAAGTACTAGTACATCGATTGAATTCATACCCTCACGAAATTTAAGACAAATAACAAATGAAATACTTTTGAGAAAATCTTTTTTGTTATAATGAGACTCTGACAATGGAAAGGCAGTACAACTATTAACGAGATTATGTCAAAAGCATAAACAACACAGGGAGACAACGTTCTACTAAACTCCGAACTAAAGAATATCCGACATTCCATATGCTCCAACCTAATACTTATCCTATGATTATTTGCTCCTTGTGTTTGGGTTGATAAACTCAACAAAAAAATAATGAAAGAAAGCTTTAAACGATAAGGGATGCATGTTGCTAATGCAGTAAAAGTAGTGTATAAGTGATTTTTCGGCAACATTCCTTCATTTAATTACATCTTCAACGTTGTGACAAATTCATCGATACTACCATTTGATCTTACAACATTCATGTAAACATTATTCATTTCATTTTATGGTTTTGACTTGAGAAAAAAAAAAAGTTGGAATAATTTTTTAAGTTTCAGCAATGTTTATCGAAGTATTACTGTAAAAAATTCTTAAGTCACACTGCTTGACATGGGTTTAGAATTTTCTGCAATATTTGCAAATTCCACTCCCTTAGTGATTAATGAAATAAAACAAGGTTTTTTTTTTAAAGAACATTACCAGGAAATACGCCGAATTGTACTAATTAGTTCAAACCTTTTTGCGTTGGGGTTTATACTTATTATTTTGAATCATCATTTCAGGGCAGATTGTGTTCCGGAAAAAATCCGGATTTTTCGCTAACAGTGATCCGAAAGTTTCAAAAAATCATTGATCACAGAAGTTTCCGGAAATCAAGTTTTCAAAGGTGGAACTTAAAAACACAGTTTATTTTATTTGTTTGTAAGGGAGAGCCAGAGAGATACTTTATAAGCCTATATTCATGATTAATATTCATTTTTTATCAGTAAATAGTTGTTATAATCATAAACTCAAGAAAGAGAGACATATTTGTAAATTTTAATTACTTCTCCAGGTCATCATAGGTATGTGTAAAATTTTAAATATATTTTAAGTAAACTAAGAAATATTGAGAAAAAGGAAGGAAAAAAAACTTGCTTAAATTTTTTTCAATTTAAACTGTTTTTTTTTATTTAAGAAATTTTCCGGAATTTTGACTTTGGCTCACAATCACCCCTGTCATTTTAAAGGTGATTGCTGAAAGTTAATAATTTATATTAATATTCTTATCACTTAATAGTACAGCTACATTATTCTATTCAAATCTTATCAGTGTTTGAAGTGTGTCTTATCATCCATACTACTTTCTTACCCCTTAAAAGCAGGGTCAATTTTCTGGTAAGCTAAAAAATTTTCCTCCCTTTCATTATCTCATCTTTTGTTAGTTATCAAATGCAATGTTAGAGTAGATTTAAATTTCGTCCAAGTGAAGGCATGCAGGTGAGACTTTATTTATTTGATTGTAATAGTAAATACAATTATTCGATATATTTTATTCTAATAATACGTGGTAGTTGGAAGAAAATTGCTTTAGGTGGACTAGTAGAATTCTGTAAAAATATTTTTTTTTACATGAATTTTGCAACAAGTGGGATTACATATTTTATCTATAACTTCCTTTCCTCATAGGTTTGAAAAAAAATTACCCAAATTTGATTCAGTTCTGATTTTTTTTTTAAAAAAACTGCATAATGCAGTTTTCGTTGCCAGTAGGACTTCAAATGACTGTTCTGAAAAAAATTAAAAAATGAGTTATATTTTTGTAGGGATTAAAAAATCCCTACATGCAACGATAATTATATTTATTGTGAACACATATTATATAATGCAAAATTTAATCGATTGAAAATTGTACTATTTAGAGATCGCAGAAAGTAAGAGAAACAGTTTCGAGTAAATTGCGTTTAAAGCTTTGACCAATACAATACTCCATATTAATATATAAAATTTTGCAATTGCTCATAATGCATCAATACCAGATCCATAAGACGCTTCTCCATTTTCAGCAGTCTCAAGTGCTTTTTCTTGTCGATATACCATCTCATATGTTTTTAGAGTAACAACCAAAATTCTGCTGTCCTCTTTTAGAGCAGTGATTCTCAACCACTGTGCCGCGGCACTTTGGTATGCCGCCAAATATTAGAAATGATACAATAAAAATTATAATGCTTTTATTTATTATGAGTAAAGTTTAAATTAAAGAAAAGTGGTGTATATATATACTTTTTTATAATTTTTTCACGCTTTAACCACGTGAACATCTTTGTCGGCGATTGTCTTGTCTCTGACAATTTTAAAACAAGATGGAAGAATTTAAATTGTATATGACACACAATTTTAAAAAATAGTGTAAGAGCTAATCATTAAAGTAAGTTATGCAATTAACTATGTGGGGCCCTTCATGGACACAGTGAGTCCTCAAGATATTGGGAAGCAAGAGAACTTTTAAGGCAATGACTTCGGTCTTCTTTCTTTTGTATCCTACGTACATTTGTATTCGTTATTTATTTCATCTTTCTATTTGTACCTTTTGCCTTGCCATTAGAAATAAAATAAAAAAGTTATGCAATTAATAAACAAATTAACAAAGGATAACTAAAAAACAAATGATAACTAACAAAAATTAAGCTAACAATTAATAATTAGCAAAAAAAACTAGTTAATAAGTAATCACAAAAAAATAACAGTTAATAACTATAGAAAACAAGCTAACAATTAATAACTAGCAAGAAACTAAATAACTGTTACTAACTAATAAAAAATTAGTCGAAAGAAATAATTAATCCCTTAATAAATGTGCTTTTTGTAGTACATATTATTTTATTTCACATTCAAAATTATTATCACAAACTACTTAACACAGTGTAAAATGGGTAATTAAACAACTTTTAATCTAATTTTTTTCATTGTGTGCCGTCAAATTTTGAAATCGTTAAAAGTGTGCCGCAACAAAAAAAAAGGTTGAGAATCACTGTTTTAGAGCATTTATTTCTAATTGTCCCATAACTGTCGATAACGCTTTTCAAACTTCATTAAAAACTATTACAGTTAAAATAGTTGCAACTTCAACTGTTTATCTTGAAAGTACAATTAATTATTTTTCTTAAATAATTTAAAAAAAAAAATATTTATAATAGTATTCTACTAAAATGTGTTGATAGTGAGCAAATCCATTTATCAACTAAGCCAACAAGTTCACATGATCATAAATGTCACATTTTTTCGAAAATCAATTCAAAATTTGGATACAATAATCTTAAAGGAATAAGCTATCAAATAATACATTTTTTTTTTTTAAATTTTTTAAAATTTTACTTTGTTTCCTCTTTAAGTAGCTTAGCTAGTATTGAATCAGAAATTTGAGGGAGTCCAACATTATTTCACGAAGAAACTTTGCTACGTATATGTAAAGATAGTACTTATTTATGTTTGTAAACAGCTCATAAATAATTGCAAAAAAAAATAGTTCTATTATGAATTTTAAAATTTAATCGAAAATAACAGTTCTAAAATTTAAATATTCTGTTTTCCTTGTATTTAATGATATGTTCCCTAACTCGGAGAATATGGTCCAGCCAGTTTAGTTAGATTAGTGATCGGAAGTTCGGGAACCTTTATGTTAATTTAACTTTTTACGTGTTTCGCGATACCTCGGAAGTTTTTCAAGCGAATCAGTAAAAAAAAATTTCTCATATTTATAAATTTAGTTTATCCAGAGAAATTACCACGTAAATAAATATTTTAACTGGGTTTTTTTTTATCATTTTATTTAATAAGGGCTGAAAATTTTTAAATTGCAAGGTGCACAAATTTTTACGCAATTTTTTTACAAAGCAATTGTAAATGATAAAATACAAAACTTGAACGAAATTTGATTGTTCTAAAAATAGAATTTTAAAAATATAGCTTTTTTGAAATTTTATTACTCAGAAACTATTCAACTAATTTCGCTAAAATTTCATATTTTGTTATTTCAAATTATATAAAAATTTGTATACATTAAAATTCAATATTTTTTCAACTCTTATCAAAAAAAAATTTTTTTTTGTAGAATTATTTGCATACTCTCCAACAACTACGGAGTTTCCATAGCTTCAGTAAATATTTTTCTTGATAAATAGCAAAGATATTTATAAATCTTTAAATAAATGAGAATTAGAAGAATTTTGTTCACCACTACTAATAAATCTTTAGACTGCTTTATAAATGGTCAGATAGACAATTGCTCATGTTCGTAAGTTTTAACCTTGGCCAAAGGTTTTGACAAACGTTTTATTGAAATCCTATTTATTTCAATATTTTTGCTTTAGTTCATTACCACTAGAAAAATATTTCATACAAATCTCAAATTATGGAGGGTTTGTATTTAAACAAACGAATTTTATATTTGCGGGCAAAAATTTTTCAAGACATTCTCTAAATTGCGACTACGAGCCATATTTTTATATTCAAAAATCCAAATCCATTAAAAAAAAAAAAAAGGGTATATCTATTCAGAAAAAGTACGTTTTGTGTGTTCCTATAACTTAGTTCACCGTAATTAATTAGCATAAAGTCGCCCTTTTGAGTCACTGAGAGTAACACTTAATTTGTAAAAGTCCGATCATTACTACGTAAGTTATTTCAGAAGATGTCTTTTTTATTATGCTCAGAGAACATATATGTCCGAAAGTTAAAATTTTTGAGGGACGAGGTAGACAAATGTGGGTTTTGCCGAGCTGTAAATCTTCTGCAACGATCATATCAAACATGCTCGCTGTGACTCAGATTTGGAGACCTGGGTGGCAACATCATCCACTGAATATCTTTGGTTTCATATTTCCTCAACCGGAGCAACCCTTTGCCGTACCTCACATCAAAAGCTCGTAAAGCCCTATGTTCTTCCTCATTTTCGGACTATCTTATGATTTCTGATGCTCTCTTACTAATAGTTTTCTCTGAACTAAATTGCGTAACGCAATAAAAAAAATTAAATTTGATGTTAACAACTAATAAATGCATCAATAGAAATTTCACATTAAAATGTTCTTTGAACTATTCTTTAAAAATGTGCAAAAACTCATAATTTTTTTGTCTAGTAGGTTTTGCATTGTCAATGCAAAAAGCGTAAGCATTTAAAATTTTCTGGATCAGCGACGGCATCAGTATCTATTTTTTTTTTTTTTTAAATATAGCGAGATATAATTAATAATTATAGTAAGAGGATTCAACATTTATTAGTTTCGTTTATTATCTTAAATTATCTTTCAATTATTTTATTTCCAAATTTCCCAGAATGATTTAATTTTTCTAAATAACAAAATATATATATATATATTTCCAACTTGTTGATTAGAGAAATTCGGATCTCAGCTTTCAGAGAGCTTGCACAAGACAATCAGTCAAAGGAAAGCTGCTTAAATGTATTACATTTTTACTTTATTTTTGAGTTCTATCTGAACAGCTTTCTTGTGCATGCGTCCTAAAATTATAAAGCCCATCAGCTTCAGGGGTTCGGTTTAAACTTTCGCCCTTATGGTTTAAAACTATGGCATAAATTATTGCTTTTTATTTTCAATGCTAAAAGTAAATCACCTAAAATTATTTTTATAGCATTTAATTTATATATACAATATTTTTTTTAATATTAACGCTGAAACAGGGACTTGTGGTGCCCTGGCAAAAAGTACGCAAAGAAACAGATGAAGTACTTTATCCTTTAAATATAATTTACAAGTGTATATCTCTTTAGAAAATAGTAGAAGGATTGTTAAAAATCTGAAAATTCCTAAAATAACTCAAAATATATATGATTATAGCTATTTTTTTTATCTATTTATTTGTCAAAAATACCAAATGTCAATATTTAAAAAAAAAATATCGTTTGAATTTTTTAAAGTCCTAGAAATGCGATGACTTCAGTTATGGTGCGTCATTTTGCATTTTCTATTAAATATGCGAGTCATAAAAATGGTGGCAGTGCCAAGCCCTTTAATTTTTTTTTTTTTTTAAAATATCAGAATTATACTTTTTTACCGGATACATTTCAAATTAGTGACCCCTTGTTTGAAAAAAGACCTCATCCCACGTTATGTTTCTTCCTTTCATTATTCTTTTCCCTTTAACAGGAAATGAAAATATATTAATTTCCCCTGGATTTAAATAAAATCCAAAAAGCAATTTTTTTTAAAGGTTTCCATTGCAAAGTGCGGCCCTCGTGACACCCTTCCAACAATATTTAGTACACGTAAAAAAGTATTTGTAAAAATCAGAGTATGATATTTTTCTAACTTTTTTGACAAAATAAATTTAAAATTGGTGACCTTTTACTTTAGTTACTCTTCCATCTGCTTCTGATCTACGATTTGATTCTTGATAGTTCCAGCCATTGGATTGCTTTGTTTTATTTGTTAGAAATTAAATTTATTGGAATGACAAGAAAGTAATGTATTAAATAGAATAAAAGGAAAATCACCATGTAGTTTCTAGTGACAAGTGGCATGCTTAACGAAATATATCTCTTTAAATAATAGAATCTTTTCCAATCACTCCAAGCTGTTCTAACCAACCAAATTTCAAAATATCAGTTACTCGTTAAAATAACTCGCAATTAGTGTTGGAGAAGATTCATCAGATTAAAACAAATATAATTAAAATAAAAAATCTATCTTGCGGCGAATAAATATATTTAGCAAAATAATAAAATAATGACTGCAGTAAAAAACGAAGAAGAAAGGTACTCAAAATTTTATCCCACATAGTTTCGGTTTCGTAGTCTTTGTTGGTTGACAGATCAAGTGCGGTGTCTGACGTCACCTCATGCATGTTCATGATTCCGTGACAGCTACGGAAACGTGTTCTGGAACTCGATGACTAATACTGCACACTTATTTATCTTTATGAAACATTTCCGTCGTTAGAATAAGCATAGAATTCGCTGTCATATCGAAAAGAAATGGAAGAGTTTAATGCAGCATCATTCGCCGGCAAAGATGATTTTGAGAGTGGTTTACTTAAAAATGATAAACCATTATTGGATATGGATGATTTTGAAACATTAGAATCCGCATTGAATGCCACTAATGATTCCCCTATTCATACAAAAGATTTAATCGATGATCTTAGCGGTAATTTGCAATCTGGATTAATTTCCACGACACGCCCTCTCGTTACAAGCAGTGAAGACGAAGTATCGGAGTCTTCTAGAGGGGTTTCTCCATCTATACCCAGCCCTAATTTACTAGATTATGTCAACATTGATAAGGATCAGTCATTAATAGATATTAAAGCCGATACTGGTGTGGAAGATACAATCCGCCATTCAGCGTATGAATCACCGCCACAACAACAACATTTTGGCGGTGGCGACAGTTTATTGATTGACGACGACAAAGTAGGTCTTCAACCAGTTAGTGAAGAGGATAAATCGGATCTAATTGCTGGTTTACACGACGATAGGCAATCGGCTTATCATTTTGAAGAAATACCGCAATCGAAAAATATTGAAAGCGTTCTAGAAGTTAAAGAGCCTAAAATAGACTCAAAAACTGAAAGATACGCAGATAGTTACGAATCGGGACTTGGTGCGTATCAGGCAGCTGCGCAACCTGCTGTGGTGAAGAAAACCGAGGTCGCCATGGAGGCTGAAAAGGTAGGAAGTACTACAAAGAGTTCCGAAGACTGTATTTGCCCTTATTCCCCAGGTAAATTTAATAATATTCTTTTAAATATCTCATTTCTACTCTTTGAAAATATTACCTTTGCTTAATATTGGATATTTTTCCGTTACAGCCATGTTTTAGCTAACCCGTGACTAATTTTGATTAATTTGTTCATACACGAATACACGTACTAATTCATTACTTTACCTTTGTTTAATCATTTGCGTTACATTATTCAAGTACTTTAATATGTATAAATCTGAAACTATTTTAACTAGAAGACTGGTTTTTGTGAAATATTTTCCCGTTTACTTTCCTTTGTTAGTGTGGTAGTTATTGAATATTATTAAGTAATTAAAATGCTTCAAAGTTCATTTGTACTCGTGTCTAGATATTTTTTTTGCTTAATTTAGTTTGCTCATTGAAAGAATTTATTTTTAAAATTATTATTGCATCATGCATTTTTTCGTTGTATAATGTAAACTAGTTATTTCATTTCAGATGGAGAAGAAAATTAAATTAAAATAGTATAATTTGCTAACGACTTTGTTCATTTTGTACTAAAATTAGATTTTTCTTTTATGATGAGTTTTCCTTCTTGCATACGTAATCTTATTTTGTGATATCTTTTCCTCTTAGGGGCATGGTTCAATCCAGATAAATTACATCCTGTTGGTGAGTTTATTACTCTTAGAATTATTTGTAACTTATGCATTAAATATTTATTACTTTTTGACTGATTAAAATTTCATGCAGTTGTAAATGTTTTATAGCTTGAATAACATTTATAAGTTTAAAATGACAGAGAATTTATGTTTCATAAATATTATTTAAATTCTCTTTAAATTTATCAGTTTCAATCTCAATTTTGATTATGGCACATATTTAGGCGATGTTCAAAGTGAAGTATTTAAGATACTTTTCAAAATAAAGACTGAAAGTTACTATAGTTGATCTGAAACCTCTACCTCTTGCAGAGCTCATTCTAGGCAGGGTAAACAGGGCGCAGCACCCTGTTGCCCTTTTAGTCAACAGAATCCACCCTGTTGCCGTTTTAGTCAAAAGAATCCACCCTGTTGCCCCTGATGTAATAGACTCTAAACCCTTTCTTTCCTCAATCCTTTATTTTTTCTCTAAAGTGTACAATGGATTTCTTAAATTTTCAACAATTTTTATTTAGTTTGTCATTGCTGTCAATACATAGATTTATATGGAAAAAGAAAAATAGCCATCACACCCCCTTGTTGCACTTGTCTTAGAAAGTTTGCAGTTGCTTCCACTATCATTAAATCATAATTATTATTAATCAATTTAATTATTAAATCATAACTACAGACACTTAAAAACATACATTTATTATTTTATTAATCTATGCAAGCATTTTAAATAAATTACAAAGTTAATTAGCTCAATAACTCGATATATATGTTAATTTATTAATAAAAATGAGTAAATATGATTGCTTTGCTACTGTTAGTAAAGTAAAAAAACATTTCTTTCACTAATTGACAATGTTTTTTCATAGAACGTGAAAAGCCCATAGAAAGAAATTATTGCCCTTTTAGAATAATAATGCCCTTTTTTTTAAACGTTTGCACCCTGCCCTTTTTTCTGCCTAGAATGAGCTCTGCCTCTTGCTATTTATGTTTTAAGGTTGAAAGATACGTTTATTGTAAATGTGAAAGTGAAATGTTTAAATATTTTGTAGAATTTACTTATTTTTTGGTAGGGTGACCCGGGGTAATTCATGATCACTCTGTTTCTGGGGTAAATAATGATCACCTAAGTTTTATTTTAAAAAAAATTATTTTTTTTTTAAATTTGAGACATGGACAAGAATGCTTGAACACTTTACTAAAGTATAACTACATTTACTTAATAATAACTTTTTGTTTAATCTAACAAAATAAGTATCTTTTGAACTGCTTTCTGTATTTTCCATTTCAAAGATGGGTTTCAAAATGTGCATATTTCTGCAAAGATCCCCCTCATTCTCTTAATAATAAATATTTTGAGTTACTTTTTTTTCTCTTTGATATAAAAGTAGTGTAAGCTGTTGTTTAATTGTTTCACATCAACTGTAAACTTTATAATTGATCATAGGAAATTATATCAAATGTCGCCCCCTACAGATGGGGTAATTATTGATCACTGGGATAATTCCTGATCATTGTAATTTCTTCTTATAAATAGTATATAAAATAGCTTATAAATAGCTAATTGTCTTTTCTTAAATAACAGTTCATATTTATTAAGTGGAATTTTTGTTTTGAACAAAATTTGTTTTTAACTGTATACAAGACTGTATTCTGATTTACACCATTTCTGGTTTGTCTTACCTTGCTTCTATCTTAATTTTATGCTTGTACATCGTTAGAATAATTTTTAAGTTTATAAATTAGCCTAGTATAAATATGGTGAGAAATTATAAGCCTAAAATGGATACTAAGCTTCTAAAAAACAAAATTAGTGAAATTCTTTTAATGATTTAAAATTAAAATTTCAGTGTGAGAGCTGCTGCCATACCTTACTTAACTTTACACTTTCCCTTAATGAAGTTAAATAATCCAGGAAAAGTAACCCATCTGGGAACTCTCTTATATTTCAGAAGAATATGAGAATGAGTTGACTGATTGCCTAAAATGTATGGCACGATGCAAAGATTTTTGAAAATTTAAAGCGTTAATCGTTCTTCTTGCTTTTAAATAAATCGTTTTATTAACTGATTAAACATATCGTTTTGGTTTATTTTTTTATATTGATGTCGTATTTGTTAATTACCATTATATAATTATTTTCAAACAGCCCCTTTACAATAAAAACTGGTGATCAGTAATTTCCCCACAAATGATCAAGACCAGGGGTAATTCCTGATCGCTAAAAATTTAAAATCTTTTAAATTCTAATTAGATTTTCAAACAAAAGTTGGCATAGCACTCATCTCATATAGCCTCAAACTTCCAGTAAATATATAAATTCTATTTTGAATAGTTTTTTCACAAAATAGATGTTTGCATTTTTTGATCACGAATTACCCCAGGTCACCCTACTTTAAGAGAAATGGTTTGAAATTATAAAATTGGAATTGGAAAGAAAACTAAAATTTTTTTTTCTAGTGTTGCGTAAATGTTTATTGGTTTATCTGTGAACATATTAATGTTGAAAGTATTATATTATAAAAGCACAATTTTTTAAAATTAAGAGATTCTATTAATTTAAATTTTTTAAAGTATTTTACTCCAGGAAACAATCCACCCGCCTAACAATGGTAATATCGGTAAACGATAGTAATTAGCATTTGATTTCATGGTTCTCTTATAAAATTAATATAATCTCTGTAGGGTATCTACCACTACAAAAAATATAATTCTAATTAATAGATTCTAATTAATAGTATATACAGCATGTTAACTCGATTCTGTAGTGGGGTACCTTTTCATAGATGAAGGTTGACATTGTCGATAACTCTCCCCACATTGATGACCCGATCGTGATGTGAACAGTCCTACCTTGACAAAAAATCTCACTTTGATGTGAACATGCTTACCTTGACAGAAACGACCACTACGATTTGAAAACTCCTACTTTCATGGTTGGTCCACAATGAACAGTTCACTTTCTACTTGTGACTGCGACATTGTCCTCCCGCTGTTGCATCCCAGTCTTGATCACACACAAAGTACTACGTATACACTCGATTGCTATAGGCAACACTGGAGCGACCATGACTGTGATCTTAATACAGCTCTCCCGGCTTTTCACAAAACTGCAATGAATTAATTAGTGGTATCCGTTCATTGAATTCTATCACAGATATAATTCTGGTGGGGGAGTACTGTAGTGTATCTACCACTACAAAAAAATATAATTCCAATTCAGTAGTATATTAGGCACATGTTAACTCTATTCTGTGATGGGGTACATTTTCATAGATGAGGGTTGACATTTTCGATAACTCTCCTCACAATCTCTATTGTTGAAAAGGGAAAGTTGTTTAGTTTTAAAATATTTCATTAAACATCTATTTCTGAGATTAATTATTTAAGAAATAAATTGTAAATGTAAACCTGTTTTTTAATTCTAGTTGCACAATATGTATATTGGAGGGATCCTAAAAAAAGTGGAATTGCTCTTGCAATCTCACTCACACTCCTGTTGTCTTTCAAGTATTATTCTATTATTAGTGTTACTGCCTACTTGACCTTGGCATTATTGACTATTACAACTACTTTTCGTATCTATAAGAATATTCTTCAAGCAGTCCAGAAGTCTAATGAGGGACATCCTTTCAAGTAATTTTTCTTATTCTTGGGTCATTTAATTATATATGCATATAAAGATGTTTTTTTACAAATACAATAAAAAAGTGTTTTTTTTTTTATGCAAGTGTTTTTTACAAATTTCATAACAATTTAATCCAAATATTAATTAAAAGCATATTTTTCCAGAGACAGTAAATTTGTCTCATTAGAATAGTGGGGATATTTCCGCATTGTGATCAACCGCACCAACTACAATCACCAAGGTGCCAAATAGATTTTAAACTTGCAAATTTAAAAAAAAAAAACAGAAAACATTTAGATGTTTGCCCGGGGGTGGCTACGAGTTATACCTTTTGAGTTTGTCACTTGTTGTCTCATTGGAGTATTGGGGATATTTCCGTATCGTGATCTGACGCGCCAACTACAATCACCAAGGTGCCAAATAGATTTTAAACTTGCAAATTTTTTGAAAAAGCATGTAGATGTTTGCCCTGGAGTGGCTAAGAATTATACCTTTTGAGTTTGTCCTTTTCTGTGATGTTTTTTTTTTTTTTAGTTTCTCGAGGGCCACTGCCAGTAAGTAGCCAAGACTTGACGATTATTCTGCTATGGATCATGATACGGAAATCTCCCCGGAGAATTTATTGTATTCCCTTGGTTTAAAATAAACAAATCATATTTACTATTACTTGTGGATTTGAATAACTCTCACTTTGGACCTGGCCCGGGATGGTTGTAGGAAATTCAAATAGAATCGTTTCCCTTCTTTAATCTGGGAGGATGCCTATTGAGCCTGAGAAGAACTACTTTCTCAGAGATATATTAGAATTGCTTTTAAAGTTGGGTGATATATCTATCAAGTGTCTGAATAAATGTTTCATTTATATAAACACCTCAAAGATTACATTTCTGTTCTCTTTTTTTACCCCAGCTGGGTTAAATATAGTCTTCAAATTCATAAGAAAATGAAAGAAATTTTCAGTGTGGAAGAAGCATTTAAGATATCATTTCAGCTTCTGGGGTCTTTTAACCTGTGTTGTTCAGATGAAAAGATCAAAAGGTGCTGCTGTCCGAGAGAACAATATCAATTTCTCTTCTTTCTTTGCAAGGTGACTGGAGAATGATTGGTTCTTTAGTAGTGAAATAGCTTAACAATATTTTTAGTTAAGGATAAGGCAAAATATTTACATGCTTTTAAAGGTGAAAAGCTGTATATTTTTTTCTTGCAATATGAAGCATAAGAAGTTTTTTTCCTTCAAATTTCGAGAAAATAGTATCCAGTTTGATGAGATAAACAGCGTTTCAGCGCCGGGTGACTGCCCGGTTTCGGGAGTGTCCGCTTTGCGGAGAACCTACATAATGGTTTATTCATAGAAGATTCACTGGCAATTAAAAATGTGTCCGCATTGAGAGGTGTCCTTTTTCCAGGAGTGTCCATAACAGTCAGTTTCACTGTATATTTATATCTTTTAAGAGCTTGCAAAAATATGTTGTAGGTTTCAAAGTGTTAAACTTTTTGCTATTGCAAATCATTGAATATACAAGCAAGCTATAACAGAAAACAGATTGCTAAAATGATATTTTTCAAATATTTTTTTTATGGATTTATAATATGGAAAAAAGTTAAGAAATATATATTTGAAGTCTTCATAATCTAAAATTATGTGAACGCAACAAAAATATTTTAAATAAACTCAACAAACAAAAGTAACCTTTACTCAAAAATGTTTAGTATCTTAGTCTACTTATAAATATAAGAGCTGTAAAGAGCAGTTGAAACTTTTGATTTTATCTTTAATAAACCATTAACTCTAACTTGAGAATACTTGAATGAAAAGTTTTTCTACCTACATACAGAATTTAAACATCCATAACATTTATGACTAATAGTTTTTGTTTTAATTCAATGCCAATAATTCCAAATAAATTTTCAGGGATTATTTGGAAATGGATATTACTTTGTCGCAGGACAAAGTAAGTGAAACTGTGGAAGTTCTTATTCATCATTTGAACTGCGTATCTGGTAAAATACGCAGCCTAATCCTTGTGGAAGATCTTGTTGATACCATCAAGGTAGAGTTTTGCTAAAATTTATTGATTTTATATCTTGTAATAAGTTTTATCTTTGGTTTATCTAATTTATTTTTTACTCTTTTTAGCTTGGAGTCCTTGCATGGTGCATGACATACATCGGTGCTTGGTTCAATGGGTTAACACTTATCATAATATGTAAGTTATTTTAATTTTTTAAAATTGGGTGTTACTTGACTTTGTTTATGTGTTAAAAATTGGATTAGTCATAGCTGAAGGGACAAGAGAAAAAAACACCTGTAGTTAATGACTTACTTAATAGGAGCTATTAACAATTATGTAATAACAGCATAGCATGGAAACAATGTTTGTACCACAAACACTTAAAAGGATTCACCTGCAGTAAATCAAATAATGCAGAAGAACTACATGCGAATCTAAGACTTCAAATATAATTGTACTTATGGAGAAATTCTGTTTTTCGCCTTGTTTTAAAGTAGATTTTCCTGCTGAAAGTATGCTTCCAAATTTTCTCTCGGGATGTAGGTTTTAGATAACTAATTAGTTAGTAATGCAGTAAGAACTTTTTTTTGGTTTTCCTCAAATAGACCATCTTTATGTAATATTTTACGGACAATTGTACAAAAGTTGGGGGGTAAATTAAAATATTTGAATTTTCCAATTTTTCTAACATCGTTTTTATGTTTAATTCTAGCAGAGTTTGCAAAGGTTGACCCAGCTCAGAAAATCCCAGTGGGTTTTCTTCGAATCGGGTCCATTTAAAAAAAAAAACAATCGTTATACTCGCGAAGTGGGTTTTTTAAAGTGGGTTTTTATTTCCAATCAATTTTCTCTGAAGTTATCAAACCAAATTGCTTTTTGAAATTTTCAAGTTATTGTTTAATAAATTTAGCCTAGTAACTTTTTTTTTACAATATTATATAAAGTAAAACATATTTCAGTTGTCTGATGTTTACCCTTCAGGGTTTGTTAAAATAGATCAATCGATGCATATAACATAAATCCAATATTTCACACTGAATATGATTTTTTTTTTATGACAAAGAATGTAGAAATATATCTTTTAAAGATTGAGGTGTAACTAATGAATATATTTTTTCCTTTTTATAGTTGTTATATCAGCATTTACAATGCCAAAAGTGTATGAAACCAACAAGGTAAGTTGCTGAAAAATTTTATGTGCTTAAATAATACTACTTTTTTAAAAAAAATTACAGTTTACATTTTTATATGTTGTATAGATTTGTTTTATTTAGTTAAATAAACTCAATATTTAGGTTGAACTTTCACTTCGAAAAATTTTTCATGTGTGATTTTTTGTATAAATTTTTTTTTTTGTATATTGGAGGGATCCNAATTTTTTTTTTTTTTTTTTTTTTTGTGCTTCTACTCGTGATTGATTTTGTGCTTGAATGACTATGTATCAAAAGACATTTCACACAATGGCTGTAATCAAGAGAAAACTACAACAAAATTTATTGTAGGTTTTAAATGTTCAATTATTGCAGTATTTCTTCTGTACTGAGAGTTTGTACAGGTGACAACCTAACTGACAAAGCAAAGCTCACATCAGCTGCTGGTGATTATAAATGAAAGTATTCTAATCCAGTGAAAAACCTAGACAACATTTGATGGAGAATTGACATTTCATGAAACACCATTCAAAGATTCCTGGATTAGCTCTGAGTATTCACAGAACAAGTCTTTAGTCAGAATATCAGGTGTTGCATCCAAGCATAGGTTGAGTAACCAGATCTTGATAAAAAAAATTTCTATTGTAGTAAAGATCCATCAGCTGTTGCATGTGCAACTCATGAAATGGTTCCATTGTCCTACTGTAACGAGATCTCCACCTGAAAGACTTCACCAGAAGTCCAATGTAAACTCTACTCATATTTGGGATGGATGTATGAGACAGAGTGCAAAAGTATCTGTATTTTACCCTCCACCTAGTTTAGGTACTTAAATTTGATGGCAATAACTAATGCTTAAATATAAACTATTGTGACTTACTAAAATAAAAATGTGCTCCAATTCTCTTGTATGACAAGTAAAGGTCTGGTTTCGTAGGACAAGCGCCTTATCTGAACGTCAGCGGGACGTTGACGTAGAGCTGACTCCAAAAAAATACTTTTTGTTAGCTCAGGGTTAGCTGTCGGTCCAACACAGACATATTCTCTCATTGCGCATGCGTTAATAACATAAACAAATATTTATTTTGAATTTGTATTGATTTTGTTATTGTCGACCAGTGTTTTAGAGAACAAATAATGACTTTGTCCAAGAAAAAACACATTACAGCTGAGTTAAATGAAAAGTGAGTGCTATGTTTAATGAAGAAGCTATGTTTAATGTCAAAATCAAAATCTTCGCTGATTTCAATGTGCTGTTGGATGTTGTCCGCCATTGCTTCTGTGGTTAACGTCACATTGTAATCCAACTGTAGTTGAGTTGGACGGCAATTGTAGTTCAAGAAGAGCGTTCGATGACGTATACTATCAAACTCACAAATGGACCAATCAGAGGTTAGCGCTGATTTCCAGCTGACGGCGTCCTGTCATAAGAAACCAGGCCTTAAGGTGGTAGCTCTGACCTGTGACAAACTAACACAGTTGCTGGAAAAGTATAAGCTAAGGAATGAAAATGCTAATAAAGCTCTAGCCTGACCAGTAGATTTATGCTTTTGAGTTTGTCAATCAACAAGACTGAAAGCCCCTGTTCATCTTGTTTTATTACTTAGCAAAAAAAAAAATTCTTAGTAATATATCAGTAATAATTTCTTCTTAGTAATAATTTCTTCGTAATATATCAATCCATTGTAAACAATGAGAGATGATTGATTTTTTTTATCAATTTAACCATTTCAAAAACTATTTTTAATATATTATAATTAGTTATGCATTTTCTCTCTCATACTTTCCTCACATACAAAAGATTTTTTTAGAAACAACATTTTAATTGTGTTAAGAATGAAATTTGAATAAGGTAAATTAAGATAATTTATTAAAAATGTTTCAATGAATTTAGTAGACTAATAATTTTTATGTTTTTTAATTGTAGAAATTTTTATATTTGGTTTTTCCAGTCATTGACTTCTACACCTGTAAGACTAAAAATTAGTTAACTCTAAATCAAAAATAAGAGCTCTACTTATACACAAGAATATACAATGTATATTGCTCAAACTGTAATGTTTAAATGCCAGATCAACATGAAATTCAGGCTTTACTTTATATAAGTTTAGTTACTTAACAGCTTATTTCATTTACACACATTTAAGTGTTCTTAAAACAGTTATGCATTGGGCTTTGCTATTGAACTCAAGTAAATATTAATTAAAATAAGCTAGCAGAAGTAACAAAATCTTTTCTTAGTCATTTCAAAATCTTTGTTAAAAATAAAAGCTATTATTTCAATTAATTATATTTGTCCCTTTTTGTCAATTTTCAAGCTGGTATTTCTAATTACCGTATTTTTCGGCGGAAGCGCCGCGGCGCTTTCGAAAAAAAAGGTGTTTTTTTCCTACATGCGGCGCTTCCGATGCAGCGGCGCTTCCGACGAAAAAAATTTTTATAGCAAAAAAATTTATGAAGAAAAATTTTTTAAGATTAAATAATTTTCTGAGAGAAGGACTTTATTGAAAAAATTGATTACGAAGTCGACGAAATATTCATCCGTATCGCTATCTGCTGCAAAACAATCGCCAATTCTTAGCAGCGACCGGCAAGAAAATAAATAAATGAAATAATTTTTAAAAAAAACATCGCAAAAAAAAAATTAAGTAAATAGAAGGTATGTATCTTCAAGGATGAGATTTTTCTGCTTTTTTTTTTTTTTTTTTTATCAAAAACTCTCTCTAAAAATTTCGGTTTTTTATTTTATTTCATAAATATTCCGCATTTTCTGAAAATTCCGTCGTTAAAATAAAATAATTATTTCCGATTTTCAAAGATAAACAAAAAATTCAAACAACGTAGCTGCAAACCCTTCGCCATTATTACTTATTTTAGTAATTTTCTACACTTTTAAGCACAGAAAATAAGATTGTCTGTATTATTGCCTCCGCCCGCCAGATAGCTTCTACTTTCGTAATTCAGGAGCCGCTGTTTCCTGTTTATTGACGAAAAACAAACGAAATAATAATAATAAATAATAAAAAAATAGCGGAGGATTAGCGGTGAACATATTTATTTGCCAATTCAATTAATTTTGAACATTTTTATTACGGCTAAACGAAAACAATACAAACAAGCCTTTTAGAAATCTCAAGCCCAGAATCTGCTAATATCTGGATCTTATTCACGCGATTTTAATATCAACCATCGATTTTCGTATTTACCTGATTTAAAAGTTGCGATTCTTATTCACGCGATTTAAATATCGTACATTGCTATTCTTATTTACGAGATTTAAAAATCCAATATCGTGATATGTATTTATGCATTTTCAAAAATCGTGATTTTATTACCAAAGATCGATTTTCGTATTTAACTGATAAAAATAATGCATAGTAGGTAATTCTTATTTACGCAATCTGAAAATGACATCATGATTTATTGTATTTTCGTACTTTTGAACTCCAATATAGAGTTTCATATTCACAAGATTTATAATCCACGTATCAGGATTCATAGTCGTTAAGTTTAAAATTAATCATCAGAATTTATATTCACATAGTTTAAAAGTCGCACTTCTTTGGTCAAATTTTTGGATATTATATATATATATATCGGACACAGTCGGACCTCTATTTAACGAAGTCTCTAAATCCCGATAATAAGTTCGTTATATGGAAAATTCGGTAAATCACCTTTTGAAATACTTAAACACAAAACAAGTTTTAAATTCTTAAGCCCTAGACATAATTAAAATAGCAATTGATACACCTTTATCTCGTAAACTAGTACAGTAGGGAACCGATTATCCGGAATGATCGGGACCATCGCTATTCCGGATAACTGATTTTTTCCGGTTTTCTGCATCGCTACAAAAAGCCGTTTTTTTAATATTAAACCAAACTGAAAAAAAATTTTTTTGGATATAATCTTAAAAAGAAGAAAAAAACGATGAAGTAACACACTAATGATTATTTCCAAAATGATGGTAAGGTAAACATCTTTCAAAAAAGAAAGAAAAATCNTAAATTTCATTTTTATCGAGGTGCGGCGCTTGCGACGAAGCGGCGCTTTCGCCGAAAAATACGGTACTGTTATACTTTGATGTGTATAACTTTAAACTCATTTTGTAGTTATAGGATAATTTTTTCCTATTAAAGGCAATATGGTCACATTTTAACTAAAATTATATTGTGATGACATTCTATTTCTGATAAATTAATAATTGTTTTCCTTTTATTTTAGGCCCAGATCGATATGTATGCTGAACTTGTTTGCACAAAGGGAAAAGAAGTCATTGAAATGTAAGAATTAAACTATTTTTATTACTTAATTTTTCCTTAAAGGAATCATCGATAAAACTCATTGTTTGTTTGTTTTTTTGTGAAATATGTAATTCTCACCAAATTTGGTGTTGATTCACATCAAATTTGGTTTACACTTGTTTGGAGGCACGTTGATTCTCACTGTTCACACATATAATGAATGTGTAGAGGAGACATTTTTAACAGGATTTGTATTAGACTATTGTTGGAATTAAAAGAAAATGTGTTTGCTTTCAGTTATTTAAAAATTATAATACCGCTGGGAACCGATTAGCCGGAACGATCGGGACCATCGCTATTCCGGATAACTGATTTTTCCGGTTTTCTGAATCGTTACAAAAAGCCGTTTTTTTATTGTTAAACCCAACTAAAAATAGAAAAATATTTAGAAATAATCTTAAAAAGAGGAAAGAACGATGAAGTAATACACTAATGATTATTTCTAAAATGAAGGTAAGGTAAACATCTTTCAAAAAAGAAAGAAAAATCCTAAAATTTTATGAGGAAAACAAAATTTTATTTTTAAAATAGCGGCTAAATTTATCGAATTTCGTTCCGGTTTTTTGGTTTTCCGGTTTTCTGATTTCCGGATAACGGGTTCTGTACTGTATCAGGATTTTGGTTGATATCTTCAGTGATTTTTGCTAGCTTACAGCTCTAGTCAAAGTAAATTAGAATTATATTGTCTTCATAATTAACAAGAAAGAAAGGTAAAATATTGAATTTTATTGCAAAATTGTAAATATTGTTTTATTCTCAAACGAAATGAATTAGCAGAAATTATTACTTTTTTGTGCCTTATATATTAAAATTTTTTTTTAATCCTTAGATGAACATTTTTTAATCACTATGTATCAAATACCTTGTATTAGCTTTGTATTTATTCAATATAGTAATAGCAACCTAAAGCTTATTATATTTCAAATTTTATATCAAGAAATTTTAGGTGTATAAGAAGATATTAATGAATGTTTAGACATTGAGTTTAAATTTTTTTCTTTTTGGTATTTAAACCTAAATACAGTAGAACTCCAATTATCCGAATCAATTGGGACCGGACCCCATTCGGATAATCAAAAATTCGGATAATTGGATTTTTTTTTTAAAAAATGCTTATTTTAAATAATTACTGTATGTATAATGGAAATGAGGGAAAGAACTGTTTTTAAGGAAAGAGATCTTTTTATGAATAATGTGTACATACCTTGCAGTAAATGAAAATTATTACATGCTAAACATCTCAGTTAAAGTAAGCTGTTTAACTGTCTTCATCTGTTTTCGGGCAGCTAAGTCGCGCATCCGTTTGATAGTGAGAAGTTGCATATGGTCACACTCGGGTTGGTGCTCCATCAACTTCAATGCAGTTTCAAGGCCAGCAAATGCTTCACTAGCTGACGGCCCTGCGTCTTCCTCAATTTCAGCATTAGGGTCATCTTCTTCATCGACACTTTCCTCCATCACACATTCAATAAGTTCATCATCATTTAAAATTTGAAATCCACAGTCTGGTGAATCACACGTCATCCACTCTCCTATATCTTCAGCACTGACATCTGAACATCCAGGAATTTTCAAAAATATGTTTCTGAATTCCTCGAGAGATAGGGCATCCTCATCTTCTGTCTCTTCCCTTTTTTTTCTTTCTTTAACTTATTTTTCTCTTTTTCCTTCTCTTCTTTAGTTGATACGCCTTTTAACTTGTTCCATGCACGTCTTATGAGACATCTTTAACCAAATTCCAAGCTTCCGCAACCATGTACGCGCAATCTTTCAAATTTATCTTTTTGTGGTTATCCAACACACCTTCTTCATTCTTTCACTCTACTAAAAGCTTCCTTAAAAGTTGTCTTCGGTAAAAATGCTTCATTGTTTCAATAACAGATTGGTCCATTGGTTGCAACAAGCTTGTTACGTTTGGTGGCAAAAAGATTGTTTTAAATTGGCCATTTCCTCTTTCCAACAATTCTTCTGTGGGATGAGTTGGTGCATTATCAACAATCAAAAGCACAGGACTTCCTTCTTTTCCAACAGATTTTTGGAGTTTTTTCACTTCAGGAATGAAATTTTCATCATACCACCCTGTAAACAGTGCTGCAGTCATCCAAGCTTTACAATGGTTTTTATAAAATAAGGGAAGTTTTTTGACATATTTAAATGCTCTTGGTCGTTTTGACTTCCCTATTAACAGAAGGGGTATTTTATGGCTCCCAGTTGAGTTCGCGCAGTTAAGCACAGTAACACGGTCTTTACTAGCTTTATGCCCTGGAGCACTGCACTCTCTTTTAGAGGGTAAAGCTTTCCATATTAGACCAGTCTCATGGGCGTTGTATAAGAAGTCTGAATCGTAAGAGGCTGCTATAACTTTACATTTTTCAACAAACTCGTCAGCAGCTTTGGAGTCTGCAGATAACCTTCACCACTTAAATCTAGTTCACGAATGCCGTGCCTAGACTTAAAATTCCTTAGCCAGCAGTTACTTGCTTTGAAAGATAAATAGTCCAGCTTTTCAGCTAAGATCTTAGCTTTTCCACAAATCTTTGTCCTATCCTGTAAACTTTCTCTGCATAAATCTTTCCTTGGCTTTACTAAAATTTTATTTTATTCATATAAAAAAAAGAGAAACTTATCTTTTTACTATATTTTCATATTTCCATAGGAATTCTGAAAGCGATTTGGATAATCGGCGATTCAGATAGTTGGAGTTCGGATAATTGGAGTTCTACTGTATTAGTCTAATACAGTAGTTCCCATTTATTTTATTTTTTTTTTATTCGGAATCCTGAATTATAAACGTTCTTTTGGCCTAACCCAACTTTTTAATTAAAATCCATTAGCAAAATTGTAATCATTTATTTATTATTAATTTAAAATATGTATAATATTTCTTATAATTGTAATCATTTATTTATATATTATTAATCATATATTTGCAATTGTGAACATTATCCTGTCTACCTTTAAACCAGAGAAATTATTACATTATCATCTGGGAACATATTAATTAACGAAAGACTACTGGTCAAATTAAAAATACTTAATGTAAAAATTAAATTTTTTCATTGATTTATCAATAATATTTTTAAAATTTGCTTTTACTAGCCGCTGAATTTGCAGATCTGTAGCAACATTTAATTTACTTTGGAATTTGTTTTGGTGTATGCATGTGTTGAAAAACCAGTTTCACATTGATAAGTCGAGGGAAGTAGAGTTCTAATAGGCTCCTCGGCTGTTGCAGAATATTTATCCTTCAGTCCAATCCAAAAATCGCTTTAGTACTGATTTAAGCATATATTATGTGTCTAATCCTCTAACTCTGCCACATTGATGCATTCGTTCAATTTGCGAATGGATTCTGTACCTAATTGATGTCCTATGAATCTTTTCAGAAACATTCTTTCAGAGTACTTTGGATATTCGATAAATGTTAACTTACGTTTTTTCCTAAATCTGTGGTTACTTGCAACTTATTTTCTCTGAGGAATATGTTTAAGAGAGGAAAGCATTTGTAATTTTTTTGATCTGAAAAAAAAAAAGAAACTGGCTGTTTATTAATGGGATAGTGCGAAGACCTGAACTGGCTGGACGGTTATATCTCGCAAAAGGCCTTTAACCTTTCACGCAATCACTTTAAACCACTGACGATTCTGCACGTAAAAAGTCATATTTTAACTTGCAGTCTTCACTGCATAGCATAACTGGTTTTTCTGTTTTATTAGATAGGGAAATAGTGTATCAGGGAGAAACATTCTCCCAATCTTGCCCTTTTGCTGAACTGCCAGTGGGTTAAAGAACCACTGGTCTAATAGACTACCCACCTGTGCCAGTTTTGCAAAGTCTAGATTTTTCCCAGGGGTGATTGTATTCTGGCTTTACCCCGGAATTCAGGGTTTTTCGTATCTTCCGGGTCTAAAAACTAGAATGCTGTTTTTTGCACGAATAATGTGGAATTCTGCGTATTTCAAGACCATTGGTTCACAAAGTTCCGCGAATCAAAAACTTGTAATCCTACAAAACTTGAAGCTTTTTCTAAATCCCGTTAACGAGACATTTACATACATTTTTCTGCCAATTTGATTCTTTTGGTTTGGTGGATTTTCGCCATTTTGAGTATTTGGAACTGCTCCGGTATCTTCCAATATCGCGATTCTTATTCATGCATTTGTAATATCAAACATCGATTTTCGTTCATATACGTGCTTAAAAAACTGTAATGTTAGTTAAAAAAACACTAAACTTTTTACCATATTTCTATTGTTTTTACAGAAATTTTATACTCTTTTAAGTTACATTTATTTGTTTGAAATAAATAAAGGAAAAATACATTTGACCATAAGTAAAATGATTAGTCACGGCTTGGCACAGATTTAAGTTTGGTTATCTCGAGTTAATGTTTCACTTAAGTTTTTTACTTAGTATTTATTTTGTACTTCAATTTGTTACTTTTTAAAAATTATTATTAGTGTTTAATGTTTTGCTTCTTTTTTAGGGTAAATGCCAAAATGCCATTGGGCAAGAAGAAGAAAGATCAGTAAAGTTTTTACCATTCCTTCTTCATTACTTCTTTTTTTATAATTGAGGCTGAAAAAAGAAAAAGACTTGCATGCCATGTACTTATTGCAAAGAACCATGCTTTAACAAAGTGTTGTAACTAGCCACTTTCGTAGATAGATATCAAAAACACTTTTTTTTTTCTTTTTATTTCAAGATATTTCTTTGCACAAATATAAAAGTCCACTACTCATGAAATATATTGTAATTTTTTTGTAAATGTCAACAAAAAAAAATTTATAAATTAGTGTATATGCTGTTTGTAACTCAATTTATGATGCTTATCCATGTAGGTACCCCCTGTTGTCAAGTTTTCAACATTAGTGATTTATGATTGTGATACTCATCCAGTTGTGATTTATGTGTTAATTTTTTTTTTGTAAAATATGTACTTCAGGGTTTTTTCATCTCTCTGAACACATTTAAGCTCGTTTCTTATTGAATAAATTTGTTGCAGTTTCTTGAAGAATAAATAACTCAGCTTGTTAAATGTTAATTCAAATTTTTGTCTAAGCATGTTAAAGCTTATTGTAGTATTCCTTAATCAATAAAGTTGGCTTGTTATACACTTAAGATTGTTTTTTCTTCATTAATTTTGATTTGAACATGGGAATCATGCAACTAAGTATAACACCAATTTTTTTTTCTTTTTCCAAAATGTTTTGAATTGAAAAAAAAATAGTGAAGTTATAAATATGTTAAAAAATTAATAAAGAAAAAGAAAATGAAGGAAATAAAAATGAAAATATGACCACCGAAGCCGACGTCTTCAGAGGCTGCCGGCTAAAACCTAAAGAAAACACCGCCCTCTATTACAATGCGCAAATGAAGAAAAAAAATTGAAAATTGTCAAGAGAAAGAAATACGTAATAAATTAATAGAATGCATAACTGGGGCTGCTCAGTTAAGACTTAATTTATTGCGTATTTCTTTCTCTTGACATTTTTCAATTTTTTTTCTTCATTTGCGCATTGTAATAAAGGGCGTTGTTTTCTTTAGGTTTTAGTTTTTTCTTTTAATTCGGCTTGCTTGAGAAATTGATGTCTAACCTGTGAATATGTGAGTTTTTATTTTTCTGATGATTTTTTTTGAGTTTCTTTTCTTAATTTGTTATTTATATTGCATGTTTTTTTCCTGGACTTCTATGCAAAACCATCGGGGTACTGAGGGAGTTACTTTAACCCACTGGCGGTTAAGGAAATGGGCAAAATTGGGAGAATGTTTCTCCCCTCCCTACACACAGTTCCCCTATCCATTAACATGGGAAAACCGGTTTTGCTATGCAGAGAAGACTGCAGGTTAAAATGCGACTTTTTACGTACAGAACCGTCAGTGGGTTAAGCATTTGTTTCTCCCTCAATTAGAAATGGTTTTGTTTTTATGGCTACCGGGTCCAATACTCCCTGAAGACGGCGGCTTCTGTGGTCATATTTTCATTTTTATTTCCTTCATTTTCTTTTTCTTTATTGCTACTTTTTTCTGAAATTTCTGCTGCTTTTTAGCGTATTTTTTTCAAAGAAGTTTTTTCTATTTAGAATTTAAAATATTTGTGTTTTCTTTTAGTATTAAAAAATTAATCTAACTAATAGATTCATAAGATTTTTTTAAAATTGTATAGCAATAAATCTAATGCTTAACAAAATAGCTGATTAATTAGATTACTTTAGATAGCATTGCTATTGAGTTTTTTTTAATAATTTTTTTTTTTTTTTTTGAAAAATTATAATCTGTGAAATATGAAGGGATTTTCCTAAAATCAGACTTGTGGAGACACAATAGCTAAAATAATGTAGCGCAACATAGGAATCATCAGACTTAATACTATTTTCCTGAGAAAATTTTTTTTCACTCTTGTCCTAATTCCTGAAACTATTAAAACTTTGTGAAATTATAGGTCATCACATTCTTCATCATGTAGTCGAGGAATTTTGTTACCTTTGTACTTAAATTTTTTTATTTATTAGCTTGTAAAGATTCATTCTACAAATGAAAATTGAATTTTAAGTTGAAAACAATCTAATATCAAAGCTATTATTTACTACATTATTAAAAAAAGTAGAGAAAGTGACATTGAATTAAACTCACTTGGATAGTTGAGGTAGTATTGACAGGATGAATTTCAATTTCTTGGTGTTGAAATTAATTCTGAAAGATGCTTATTTATCTATTCTTCATTTTTTGAAACTATTATAAATTAACTCATTCATTAACTGATAGAGTATTAATTATATAGTATTAATTAAGTGTAATAAAATCTAATCATAGAATGAAACTGATTTACACAAATATAGAAAAAGACAATCTAAGAAAATAGCATTTAAAATAATAAGTCAAAATGGAAAAGTGCTAAAATCAACTTTGTTTTATTTTAATAATTTAAAAATTTGGAAACAGGAATCGTACAGAAAACTAAGAATATTTAAAGATATGTATGTTTGCAAAACAGCACTTCATCAGGGAACGCACTGTCTGCCAACATAATACAGAAGCCTTTCTGTTGTCAGTGGTAAGCCTTTATGGTATTACCACTGAGGACAGAAAGGCTCCTCTATGTTGGCAGAGTGTGTCCCCTGATGAAGTGTTTTGCTAACATACATATCTTTAAATATTCTTTGTTTTCTGCTTGATTTGTGTTTCTAACTTACTAAATTATTAACTGTAATAGTATTAAATTTTTTTTAAAGCCATAAAATCGACTTCATTTTTCAAAAACAGTGATGAAAAAGAAAGTTAGAAATGAAATTTATTTTAATGTCTGCAAATTATTTCCTATCTGATATTTTTTATTCTTTATTTTCTTCTGAGGAGAGTATTAGTTGAAAAAAATCTTCCTCATCATATATAATCATATCATTGGGTATGATAAATATACCAAATGATGAGTAAGATACCCAATACACCACAATATATTTTTTTTAGATGGATATACAATTTAATATTTATTAAAAATGTTCATTAATTTTAAACCTTACCTAAAATTTTATTCTGTAATAACTATTTCAATTTGAAACTAGATCGCTTTGGAGCAGCATTACATGCCTAGTTTTCATATGTTAATTTGTCAAATTAAACAATCAAGTTAATTTGACATGAAATGTGGAAGGATAATTTTGTTCAACACAGAATGTAAGTTATGCATTCTAAGTTTCAAAATGTTAGAAACTGCTATTTAAAATTTCTAGAAATTATTATGCAGTTAACTCATGTGTTTATAACATGTTTTTTCAAGAAGAGAGAGATTTTCTGTTCACTTTTTTAAAGGTAGGTTTCATAGGTATTGAAGGGAGAAATGAAAAATTAAAAAGCATGGTTTCTTAGTTTATTAAAAAGTATAATAAAGAAAATATCTAAAGCATTCAGGGTGTGTAATGACCATATTTGAAATATATTTTTAGAATCTTTTAAAAGATAAAGACGAAAAAGAATACACTTGAGAGTTTGTTAATTATAATTTAAGCGAGGAAGAAATAAAAAACGCCAAAGAAATATATCAAATCACTAGTAAAAAAGACAAAAGGATAACACCAAAACCAGTTTGATTGTCTGATCAAAATTGGAGGCGTTTGTAATAGCCGATCAAATGATCTCAGTTTCCTATGGATAATCACCTTCAGTCCAACCTTCCTTACTCGTGATTTGTTAAGAATTTGATAGCTTTTTTTTACCTCTTAAATATTATTTTGTGACATGACTAACATTTTGTGACTCATAACGTGTATACCTTTTTAAATTAATTTTTGCCAAGATTTCTAAAAATACACTTTAAGGGTTCGTTAATTATGTATTCGTTGTAAGTGAGGAAGAAACAAAAACGTAGTGGAAATCTATGATATCGAATCTATTGCGAAACACCCTGACAAACTATAAGTGGGCAAAATGCGTCTTGCTCGCAATCTTGGAAAACAAACAATCGACAAAAATCTAGTTTGATGGTAGCAAAATGCTCATTTGAAGAAAATAAAAATGGGGGGGGGGATTAAGAGGAAGAAGAGATTTAAGTTTCACGCTGAAAAATGAAATATTGGTATTTTACAATGTTAAGTTACGGCAAGATTTTTACATACTAAAAAGTGTGTATGTATTAAACGTATTTGTTTGGCTGCGAGCTGAAAAATAAACTTCGTAACTTTTAAAAAAAGAAAATCCTGTAGAGTATTATTTCCGAAGTTTTATCAAAGAAGTACTATTTCCGTTAAATTCTGGAGTATGAGCATGATAGGCATTTAATCCCCCTCAATAATTATAAATTTAAAAAAATATTCTGACCAATTAAAAAAGAAATTCATGTAAGAAAATACAAAAGCTCAAATTTAGCTAAATTAAAACAAAGCTAAAAATCATTTTTTTGATACAAATAGAACTTCTTTCAGTTTTTTTTTCTTTGATGATGATGGAACTTTTCAGAACTTATCTTACTGCACATTTTACTTTCATCCCCCCCCCCCAAAAAAAAATTAAGATGCCCGTAATCTAGAACATATACAATGCGCAAAAAAAAAAAAATCCTCCGTAATATTTTTTGTTCTAATGATCCGATTTTCACAACCTAAGTGTCAGTCTTAATGGTTCCTGGGGGTGATCTCAAGTATGCTAATTAATTATACTAACGATTAATTAAGTTACGAAATAGGACAAAAAATATACTTTCTCTTAATGAAGACATATATTTTTTTTTAAATATATTTGGATTTCTGATCCTTAAAATAAAGGGGGGGGGGGAAGGATGACTCAATCTGAAAATTGTGGTCATAATAGTTTAGCCAGGAAAGCATGTGAAAATTTGGTCCCCTTACTGGTAACTACACTTTTTGCGTTTTTAGCCATATCTTTAAAACTAATTGCGCAATTTAAAAAAAAAATTGCAGCCATTCAAGAAACTCGTTTACCCCAAGATAATAAATGCAAAAAATAATTTTTAATGTTAATTTATTATTTTAATACTGGGCGAAAAATTTTTAAATTTTGAGCAATAAATTTTATAATCTACACATTATCTACTATTAGAAGTTGAGATGAATTAAAATTAATTTGGCGACAATGAAAAAAAAATATTTAATTGGTGCGAATAATGCCGAAATGTGATAAATTTACAAGGAACTTGACTTTATTAAAGATTTTTCATTGTTTTGATTCGATATCGTTTTTTTTTTTTTCATCTTAATTATGAAATAAGATGTTTCTTTTTAAATAGTCTGCTAATTTATACTTAATTTAGTTAAGAGATTTGAATAAAATATTTAACGTATGTCAAGTTTTATAAAACATATTTCTGCTTAAATGTGGTCAGGCATTATTATTATTATTTTTTTTTTTTAAATATCAGTTTTCAGTTGGATTCAATTTCAGTAAAGTGCACTGGTATGCATAAATTAGAAATAATATATTTATAAATTATTCAATATATATTTTAATATATAATTAATACTAATTTAGTAAGGAGATTTGAATAAAATATATTTAACGAATGTTAAGTCTTATAAAACATGTTTTTGATTAAATGTGATTATGCATCTGCTTTTTTTTTTAAAATTCTAGTTTTTAATGATTTATTTCACAGTTGATTCAATTTTAGTAAGGTGCATAAGAATGCATTTATTTTAAATAATATATTTTATCAATTATTCAATATATATTTTAATAATTAAACAATAAAAATTTAAACGTGGATGCTAGCATTGTAAATTGTATCTTTATATTGTCTTGAACCAAACTCTCGTAACATCAACAATGTTCATGTTTTAAAAATCACTTCTAAGAGTATAATGATGCCGAAAGTAATGAACAGTCGAATACGTAGCCTAACTTTTAAAGCGTCTTTAAAATATCTCAGTATCTTAATTATCATATCCTAACATCTCAATTTTAAAATTAAATTTTTAATTACCTTGCCCAGTGTGATTCACAGAGTTATTCAACCATTTATTTCATTACTTTATTTGAATGAACATTTTTTTCCCCTACGGATTTGGATTTCTGACTCTTAAAATACGAAGGGTAGCCGTAATCTAGGAAATTCGATTCCAATAATTAGGTCAGAAGAGAGGTCCAAAGTATGAACATCTTAATCTTCATTTTACTCTCTGCGTATTTAGTTCAAAAACATTTTAAGGAATTGAAAATTTTTTTATACACAACTATAAAATTCGTTTATTCAAAAGTAATTCCAAGCAAAAAAAACTTTTAGTAAATAATTAAAAAAAAATATTTTATTTAGTAATAGTAGAAAAAATTTTGAATTGTAAGGTATAAATTTTTTTACATCACTTTAAAAAATATAATTTTTTAAAAAAAATAGTGAAATCGGTCAAATAGTGCCTGAGAGAACACATTTCGAAAAAGTCATTTTCAAAAGAAAAAAAAAATGTATTTTTCAGGAACCATTTGACCGATATCGTTCAAGTTTTGTGTTTTTCCTTATAAAATTACTCACTTTAAAATGGTCTAAACCTAACATTTCAATCTTTTTATGTAGTAATAAAAAATAATAGATATTTGTAAAAGTAAAATTTCTATTGTTGATAAACGAACTTTTTAATTGTGCGCAAAAATTTTTTAATTTCGCTTTTAAAGTTTTTGAGATATGGCGAAATACGCAAAAAGTAAAATTAACTTTAAAGAGCTGAAACTTTGAACCTCTGTCAGGGCCGAAAATTCGAATTCGTCGGGAAAAAAAAGTTTATTCAGAGAAAGTGCGTTCTTAAGTCTGATTTCATGAGTTAAAGTATCGTCTAACGTCTAATTAATTAGCATATTTGGTCTTCACCCGTCCAATTAAGATTGAGTCCTAGAGCGTAGAGATCCGATAATTAAACCAAAATTTATTTAGGATGCTCCTTTATTATTATTTATTTATTTATTATTAATATTTTTTTGCGCACTCTTCAATTGTATTTTAAGGAATGAAAATATAAAAGTTCGATTTTCTTTAGTTTCTAAGTGTATTTCTAAACAATTAATTACATTCTTTTTTGTATTGATTTTTTTTGACTTTTCATTCCTATATCTTTCTAATAAATACTAACATTTACTTAAGTAAATATGTTAGGGAATTCTTTTTATGGAAATTATGTTTCATTTTAATTTTTAAACACGAAGTTTAAAAAAGAATCTGATGTAACTCTAACTGTCACAAAATATATTTTTAATAAAAGAGTAGCATGAATAAAATTAGTCTAGGCTTGTTATTAGTGCCCGAAGCACTCCAGTGCCACAAAGCGCGAAACTACAGTGCCCAAAACGCGAATAAGTTTTTTACAGATTTAATTCGTTTTTAACTATTACCCTGAAAATTATGAGAAAATCAGATCCATCATAATGTACTTTATTTATTATTTTACAGTATAATTCCTTGATGTGAAATTCCCTTGCAATCTAAGAAAACAACATTTTTACTATTTGCGATAATGAGCCACTTTTTAATATTTTTATGCAATTAGTGCAATTCGGTAATTGAAGCACACATTCTATTGAAACATGCCGAAAATTGGCACATTACATTCAAAATTAATCAGTAATGTAAAAGGGATATTTCGTATGAAATGGAACTTTTTTTACTAAAAATTATAAGAACAATAAACATAAGTATTTTATCACTTTTACTCAAAAATTTATACTTAAAACAAATCCGAATAAAAATTTAAAGTTCCAAATAAACTGAAAATTGTTTAATGATATAATATAAAATAACTTGAAACAGTACTAAAATATATCGATAGTTACAAAAAATAACCAGGTTTCTAAAAATTATTACAAAATTATTAAATAGAAAACAATTGAAATTAAAAAAAGTTATATTTTTCTTAAATTAAGCGAGATAACTAATAATCACTTTTATGAATTAAATTAATACTTTTCAAATTTCCACATAAAAATCGTTCAGTAATGATCGAAATAAATTTTAAAAAGATGCATTAAATGGTTTTTAAGATAACACTTATGCCAAAAATGTGATAAATATAGAATTATTTCGTTAAATTATCAATTCACTTTCTAAAGTTATTAATTTTTTACTAAAATAAAAATAGTTTTTTGGTGTTTTCTTTTAAAGTAATAACTTTTTTAAAAATATTGAAAAAGAAGTCTACGTTTTTTTACCAATCTAAATCTATTTTTGCATGCAAGCTAGCTAAGTATTATCAATATTAATTTTATCATATGTATGATTGGTATGGTACAATTATTATTACCCAGTATTTTTTATACACAACTTATAATGTTGTCAGGCAGATACATTACTATGTTCGATCGATATTAAGATACTGTTCAGATGTTTTTTGAATACAAATTAAAGTGAATAATTTAAAATTAAGTCACTTAAAATGGTTTATTACAAATGTTTCGCTGCCCAGCAATTTTTTTTTTTTTTTAATTTTTTCGTTTGATAAGGCTTTAAAGTAACGACGAGAATTATATTTTCATTTATTCAATTGTATGGTCCTAAATTAAGAAAAGTTTAAAATCCCAGCCTGTGAAGAAAGAGAGAAATAAAATCGATGCTGAGCATGTTTAGAATTAGTTACAATTAAATCAGAATATCGTTAAGCAATTGTCGTGTCGTCATAATTGTATTCCACTAAAATAACAATTACGTTATCATTTTAAAAAACGAACAAAGTATAGAATTCAGTACATTATATTTCAGAGAGGAGAACTTCCTAATTACCTTCGTGATAAATTAATGATTTTTTAAACTTACTAGACCGGAAACGTTCTATCATTGCTCTTATCTAGGAGTAGGGGAAATTATTGAGACCTTCCCCTCAAAACTGGTTTAGATGTTGATTTTTCCCTAACCTCTGAGGAATTCCCACTTGCCCTGCAGGTAAAAGGTAAATAAACGTTCAAATTCGCCGACGGCTAAAATATGTAAGGTAGTACAGGTGTCATTTTGAATGCTCTTCAGTGCATGTTTCCCTTATAGAGTGATGGGTGTTTATTGAAAATTTATCTTATCCTTGATCGAAAATGATTATAGGTGTGGAGTGAAAAGTTTTCCTCATAAACAAATAAACTTTTTATGTTTCTCTTAAAACATTGCAATGGCAAAGAATAAAGTTAATGAAGATTTAGTCAGGGAAAGGAAGAATGCCTCATTTAACATTAAAGAACTCACGAACTTTTTAGATGGGAGTAAAGAAAAAACAAATCGTAGAAAAGAATTGGGTAAGTAAATTTCAATGAATAATTTTTTCAATAACCAAGAAAATAATATTTTGTGGAAAGTTAAATTTACTATTTTCTCTTATAACTGACTGTATGAAACATTAGCTATATTTTGTGTAGCTAAGAACAGAATTCTTTTCCTGCGATAAAAAGGAAAAGTTTATGTCAAATTAAAAGATAATTGGTTTTATTGAATGTATTTTAGAATGAGTCATCATACAGAATCAAGCATTTTATATAATATAAATAATAATTAATTAAATTATTTATGATATAATAATAAATTATAGTATTAATATAATAATATAAAATCAAAATTTATATTTTATGTATTATTATTAATTTATAGGAAATCTTTCAGAAATTCACTTTTATTATTAATTTATTTCTGAATTTTCAAATATTTTTGTGTTTATAATTTTTTTAATTTCTTAATATTTTTCTTTATTGACTTTTAGTTTTTACCTCTAAAAGATGCTACTTAATAATTTAAATTTTTATGCATAAAATCATTTCTGTTGTTAAGACTTATGGCAATAATTAAAGGTTTGGTTTTTGACATAAGTGTTTAAAACTGCCAAAAATGTATATGAAAATGTATATTTGCACTTATTTACACTGCTGGTTATTTGGCTGTTGTTGTCTTTTTAAGAATATGAATCTTAAATTTACAAAAAATTAATTCAATAAATATAATTATAAAACATATTAACTACTATGTAGTTTTACTTGTAGTTGATAATCTTTTGTTAGTGTTTTTAAACTATTATTACTATTACTTAAACCTTAATTCTTAAGATTAATTAAATTTTTAAAAATTTAATTGTCCATTAAANTATGTTTCTCTTAAAACATTGCAATGGCAAAGAATAAAGTTAATGAAGATTTAGTCAGGGAAAGGAAGAATGCCTCATTTAACATTAAAGAACTCACGAACTTTTTAGATGGGAGTAAAGAAAAAACAAATCGTAGAAAAGAATTGGGTAAGTAAATTTCAATGAATAATTTTTTCAATAACCAAGAAAATAATATTTTGTGGAAAGTTAAATTTACTATTTTCTCTTATAACTGACTGTATGAAACATTAGCTATATTTTGTGTAGCGAAGAACAGAATTTCTAATAAGGAAAAGTTTATGTCAAATTAAAAGATAATTGGTTTTATTGAATGTATTTTAGAATGAGTCATCATACAGAATCAAGCATTTTATATAATATAAATAATAATTAATTAAATTATTTATGATATAATAATAAATTATAGTATTAATATAATAATATAAAATCAAAATTTATATTTTATGTATTATTATTAATTTATAGGAAATCTTTCAGAAATTCACTTTTATTATTAATTTATTTCTGAATTTTCAAATATTTTTGTGTTTATAATTTTTTTAATTTCTTAATATTTTTCTTTATTGACTTTTAGTTTTTACCTCTAAAAGATGCTACTTAATAATTTAAATTTTTATGCATAAAATCATTTCTGTTGTTAAGACTTATGGCAATAATTAAAGGTTTGGTTTTTGACATAAGTGTTTAAAACTGCCAAAAATGTATATGAAAATGTATATTTGCACTTACTTACACTGCTGGTTATTTGGCTTTTAATCAACTGTTGTTGTCTTTTTAAGAATATGAATCTTAAATTTACAAAAAAATTTTTTCAATAAATATAATTATCAAACATATACTAACTAATATTTAGTTTTACTTGTAGCTGATAATCTTTTGTTAGTGTTTCTAATCTAGTATGTTCATATTATTTGTGTTGAAAATTTTTTGAATGGTGCCAAAAATTTTAAGTAAGAGTATTTCAGTTTGCAATAATCTAGTTATAAAATAGCATAAATATTTAAATTTGTTATTATTACTACTTTAAACAATTAATTTTGTTACCTTTGATTTGTTGCAAGTTTTTTTTCTTTCTATGTAAAAAATATTAAATACTATATGTATAAATAAAAATATTTTTTGTGAATATTGAAAATTCTTATTCTCATGTACTTTTTAGTATGAAAGTTAAAAGTACATTTTGTAATTTATAAATTTCAGTTTTCTATAATTCATTAACATATTACACAAATATTGAATATATATGTTACCTTATAAATTATTATTACTTAAACCTTAAACTATAATTTTTAATGTTGTTAAGAGTAATTAAATTTTTAAAAATTTATTTGTCCATTAAAATATTTATAAAATTAATTAATAATAATTTTTTTTTAAATTTTAGATCCTATATTAATCCTATTATAATATATGTAATTTGTATAGAATATAATGCTATTTTAAATAATGACATTAAAAAAGAGTATATTTTGTATTGAAAATCTTGGCATTCATTAGTTAGATTTAGTATAAACTATTTTGAGATATTTATGCATGTACATATCACCATAGCAGGATTTAGTTAGAATGTACAGAACATTCTTGCAAGTTATGCTGCCTTCTTTTAAAACATTATTTTATTTCAGAACAATTATTTTACAATGATCCAGAGCTCCAGGATAAAGTCCCAGTTGATTACCTTTCTCATTCTGAAATATATGATGATGCCTTACGTAAATCTCTACACATTTTTCATAGAGCCATGGAGTTGGCAGATCCACAGGAAATTTTGTAATTTTTTCATTTATTACCTTAATTTAAATTTTTTTTCAATTTCCTTAGTTTGTATCATTATTTATTTACAAGAAATCTTTCAGAAATTCATTTTTATTATTAATTTATTTTTAAATTTTAATTTTTTTTTGTGTTTATAGTTTTTTTTATTCCTTGATCTCTTTTATATTGACCTTTAGTTTTACCTCTGAGAGATACTCATTTGATAATAATACTTAATAATTTTAATTTAAATTTTTGTATATAAAATTATTTCTGTTGTTAAGACTTATGACAATGATTAAAGGTTTGGTTTTTGACATAAGTGTTTAAAATTGCCCAAAACCTAGGAAGAATTCACAATGCATAAGTTTTAAAATAAAAAAAATAAATACAACTTCATACTAATTTTAAAATTATGTAAAACAATCTAAAGAACTGCAGCTTTAACAACTACATTGTATATATTTTTATAACAAATTTTGTCGCTACAAACTAAACTCGAAACTGAAAATTTTCTGTTTTGCTGAAATAAATCACAATATTCCTTTATAAAGAAGATTGAATTCATGTACAGAACAAAGTTTATAAATGATTATTAAAAAGTTTTGAAGTTTATTTCTCAGTTCTTGAAATGACTTTAAAATAATTTTGCAAATATAGCACTTTCAGCAAATCTTTTGTTAGCACATAATAGTGTTTTACTTAAGTATATTTTAGATAATAAATAGTTATTAAATAATTTCCAGCTTGTTGATTATTAAGTCATTAGGGAACAAGAAGCTTACATTTATATAAACAATACATTTACATCAAATAATGCAGGGCCTTATTCATTGTGATTAGCATTCATCTCTTCTTCAGTTAAATATAAAATACAAATAGGTGAATTGACAATTTTAAATGGGTCTGAAAGCAGTTGTGTTCTGTCCAGTCAAAAGTTTAAAAGTGGCAGTTGCATCTGAGCATAAGAGAGCTGGGCAGTTCGATAAAATAATTTTCTTTAAGTATTTTGAATCGAATGCGATGAAAGATTTTTTTATGAGGCATTTAATTTTGCACGGATTTTAAATAAAAGAAAATGATATTACATTTTTGGTCTTAAATTCAGCCTGTAAAATAAGTTTCAATAAATTAAAATATCAATAATATTTATTTTTATACTTACACAAAAGAAATTTTTTTTGGGGAGGGGGGTGAAACAACAGGCATATAGATGGTTAAAATCTTCAAAATTTGACTTGTGTCAAAAGCTTGAGAGCAATATTGGATTTAAGGTCTCTCTCTCTCTATTCTTTGTCCTTAATAAGAAATAATAGTCCTAGGATTAGATTAGAACAAAAAACAGATCTAGTAAAAGTATCTATTTATATTAAAACTGACTATGTAGCTAATTAGTAAAATTTTAGCAATGATTTATTTTTAATTTCATCTTTAACACGCACACAAAAGTAAAAAAAAAAATTTGATCAAAACTTACAAATGGGAAAGGCTATATCAATTTAGACAATGCAGCAACTATAATATTACATAATAATTTACAAAATTAACAATAATTTACAATATTTAACAATTTTTTTACTTCAATCATTAAAAAATATTAAGATTTTGAGAAGTTATCTTCCTAACAGGAAGGTACTAAAGTACCATAATTGTATTGTTTCTTTATTTATTTTACAAACTTTTGTTTAATGAAGTAGAAAAAACATAAAGGATCAAATAGTGCAATAAAATAATTTATTATGACCTTCATATGACAAGCTGTTGAAAAATTGAGTATTGTGACCTTCATATCCATTGTCCATTTTCTTATAAGTTTTATCACCCAGACAAATCTGTTTGATAGTAAATGGGAGCAAGCTATTATGAAATAAAGCTTTTCGAAATTTTCTTTGTGCATTGTGTTAGGTCACCATTATTTATTTAGCCTTTGATTGTTTTGTCTTATTAATTAAAAGTTTTAATTAATTTACAGTTTGCACCTAAAGCTTTAAAAATTAAATAATTTAGATTGAAATATTATTTTGCATTTTAGTGTTAATGCCTTGACTAGTTGTATTTAGAAAATATAGATTTTGAAAAATAAATTTAATTAAAACTAGGAATTACTGAAGACATTATTATTAAGACTACATTTTTTTGTTATTTTACGTATTTTTTATTCTTTATGCAGCAGATTATTGAAATTTTCAATTATTAAAATTGTCTGTTGACAATTGTTAAAATACTCAATTTGCTACCAAAAATTTCTCAACAATTTACTGTTTTAGTTTTTTTTTCTTCATCTTATTAATATGGTTGAAAACGTTCATTAATTAATTGTTAAGAGAGGACCATGTGCAAGTTGGTTAGATAGTGTGAGAAAGTATCAGAGCAGTGTGGGAGTTCATAAAGGGAGAGTGTAGTGGCATCTGATATTAGCAATTAGCCGTTATTAGCAATTAGCTGCAGTTCTGGTAGAAAAGGAAGAAGAATTGTTTGCATCTGAAACTTTAAGGATTAATTATTTTAAAATAAAATAACTTTTAAGCTTTTACAAGAAACTTAAAAAATGCAGATATAAATTGGTATATTTAAAAAGTATGGGTACTTTTTAAAAATATTTAATTTAAAAAACTTATTCAATTTTAGCTAGGAATACTGAAAAAGAGGAAGAAAAAAATTTCCGACTATAGTTTATCAGTCACTTTATTACCTCATTCTATATGCATTAAATTTATTTTTATTTTTTCTATATCTATAAAATCTATATCTATATCAATATTTTTTCTTTGATCTATAAAATTTTTTTAGGAACGATTTTTAGATATATCACTGGTTTCTTTTCATTCTAGAAAAAAATTTGTACAAATAATTTCTCTGAATTTGCATACTGCATCTTTTATCCTTGATTTTATGCGCTTCTTTTATTTCCTGTAAAAATTTATTAGCAGATTTATTTCTTCTTAAAACATATTTATTTTCTGTTAAATCTTCTTTGTAGTTTTATTTATTGGTAAATTTTATTTGTAGATTTATTTTCTGATAAAATTTTTTAGCAGAAGTTGCTTAATTTAAAATGAACTCCAGTCATGCTATGAAATTTTAAAGCCCTTGTTACTTTCTCATGCGAAATTGGGGTGAATTTTCTTATAAAGTTTCATCCGATTCATTCAGTTGAAGCAGTTTAAAATATACCCCTCATGTTCAATAAAATTGTTAATTTTTTCTCAATTTTGTGCAACATTCGACCAACCAAACTCTAATTACCTATTCACTGACACAATTTTTGAATTTTAATTTTTCATAAGGAAACAGGAAGATGAGCTAATTGCCATTGTATCTTTTAAATTCCAATGAAACTGGTTCATTTTTATTTGGAAATAGCTGAATGACAGGTTATCGAAAAATAAGTTTTTTTAATGACAAGAAAGATATATAATGATGTTTAGGTAGATGTTTAGGTTTATGAAGATATAAGATGATATTGGATGTTTAGGCAGATATTAGATGTTCAGGAAGATACAAGAATGGTGAAATTGATACTTGTAATGATACTTGTGTATATTTTTTCATTGCTATTTAAAAATAAAAAATAAATAAATAAATTAAAGTGTAATATTGACTAATTTCATTTGAGTTATGTAAGAAAAGAGAGAAAGCAAAATTTCGTAAATGTGCCCAAGGGCCAGATAAAATTTGCTGAATAGTGAAAATATTTGGGGGGGGGGTCATAGTGACCTCTCGTCTTGGCGCCCCTGAACGCACTCTCTCTCTCAATAAATGTGTCTTTTTTTTCCCTGACTGATTTGGATTCTTGATCTTCAAAATGTGAGGATCAGCTGCAATCTGGAAAATATGGTCCAAATGGTTTGGACAAGGAGAGTAGTTGAAGTTTTGAAATCTTTAATGTTAATTTTACATATTTTAGTATATCTTGAGAAATTTTTAAGCAAATTAGAAAATTCCCAGGAAAAATAGTTTTTATTTATTATTTTATTTGGTAATAGTCAACAAAAAAAAATCAGGTGTATGGTATACAAATTTTTAGATTATTTTAAAGAAGGATATTTTAAAAGAAATCGACAAATGAAATGAGTTAAATAGCTCCTGCGAGACAAATTTTAAATGTACGACATTTTTTGAAAACTTTGCTTAAAAAATTCTCCAGAATGGCGAAATACTCAAAAAGGAAAATTAACATTAAGGGGCTCAAACTTGACCACTCTCCTGACCGAACTTTTGGGACTATCATTTTGGGATTGCACCTACCTCACATGCTTCAACACGAACAAATCCAAATATAAGGAACGGCCATTCAGAGAAAGTACGTTTTTGTGTTTGATTTTATGACTTAAAATATCATCTGCAAATATCATCCCATTCTAGTTAGATTGATTGGTAGTACTTTTAAGATCCGATTAGATCAAAAGTTATTCCATTATGTTCTTTTTGCAAACTGTACATCGAAAATTACAGTGAAAATATGTACCCTTTTACTGAAATAACACCACTGTTTCATGATAAATTGGCTATTATTTTTAATGGCTAGTTTATTGTTACACATAATTCTAAATGCTTAGATCTTATTAACGCCAGGTTAAAAGTAGTTCTCCAGAATCGCTACTAACTATTGTATTTTTGTAATACATAACTCATTGCACTACTTTTTTAAAAAGACAGCACTCTACACTACAAACTATGAAAAAAGTATCGAAGTAGTTTCGTTACTTGTAGCACGCTAATGGAACACTGATGCTAATAGAAACTAGTAGCAGATATTTAGAACTAGTTTTTTATACTAATTCATTTTTTTCTTCAGATAAGGCAGAAATCTGACAGTTTTTGTTTAGTTTAAGTGCATGACATCAGTGAACTGCATTCTTAATCTGAAACTTAATGAAATCCTAGATGTTCAGACTCTGACATTAGTGAAATATCTTTAATCTGATTATAGCAAAAACCCTTTGATTTTATTGTTGATTATAAAAACGGTGTTTTTTTGTTTCAAGAAAACATTTTTGATCCTATAAAAAAAAATTGACATTGCAAATTTTTTTCAGATCGATTGCTGATGCTATATTGCAAGAAGCTTCACCTTTAACAGTCCATTTTGTCATGTTCATACCAACATTGATGGGTCTTGCAACAGAAGATCAACAAGCTAAATGGCTTCCAGATGCTTTGGAAATGAAGATAATAGGCACATATGCTCAAACAGAACTTGGGCACGGTAATTTTAAAGCCACTTTTTTGCTTTATTGTAGTAAGCCAATCCTTACTTAGTTTCTAAATGTTGCTGGAATTTTTTAGGTACTTTCCTTCGTGGACTTGAAACTACCTCTACATATGACCCAACATCTGAGGAATTTGTTTTAAATACTCCAACTTTATCATCAGTGAAATGGTGGCCAGGGAGTTGTAAGCTCAACATATTCTATATTTTTGAAGGAAAAAAAATTTTGAAATTTTGATAAGCGTTCTGTCCTAAAATAATTTTTTTTTCTAAATTTATTTTAAAAGTCATGTTTTTTACCCATTGGTAATATCTTCAATAGTATTGGGTTTATTTAGAATATATTTGAACGACACTAAAAGTAGCAGTTTTAAGTAATTTTTCTCTCATGAAATAGATTTAGATCAAAATATGTACTGGATTTAAAAGATGAAAAAATATGAAATTTTAAAAATATATTTTGTGCTTTTATAATGAACTAATGATATGAGATATTTTGTCACATATTACAGAAAAAAAAGATCATTTTTACAGAACGTAACATTTATAAACAGGGCAGTAAACAGATGAGTGAAGAAATTTTTTTTAATTAATTATGCCTTTTTGAATTAAAATTATGATATTAATTTCCAATTAATAAGGAATTTTAATTAAATCTTGTTTAAAATTTTTGATTAGATGTAATTTTTATTATTAAATTTTTCACTTTTTTTTATTTTCAGTGGGGAAAACTGCTAATTTTGCAATTGTGTTAGCTCAACTTTGTACTAAGGGCAAAAGCTATGGCATTCATCCATTTATGGTGCAAATTCGAAGTTTAGACAATCATCAGCCACTTTCTGGTAATTTTTTTTCTTCCATCTAGGTTTAAAATTTTATTTTAATACTCATTTTTTTCTTTACAAGCTCTTTGTTTAATAAAATTATTTTATTATTTTTTAATTTATTTTCTTGTTTTTCTTGAAGTTTCAAATTCAGTTCTAAGAAAGCTATTCACATATTATTTGTCAAGGTCCTTATTAAAAAGGAAGTATTTTGTGTTTTATAAATTTACCATTAGTTGTAATATATAAATTGGTTATTCTAAATAAAATTTTTTTTTTAAATATGAAATCATGAGTTATTATGTGTATGAGAAATTTTGTTACAAAAATAATAATAATAAAATTGAACACTGTGCATAAAATAGTTTATTTTTTTCAAATGTTGAAAAATAATGAATTAATTACAATTGTTTATAAGGAGTGTGTTTTTTTTATAAAAGGTAAAAAATTTATGCTTTTGAAGTGTACCATAATCTAATAAAATTACAAAGCACTACTGCAAGATAATATTAATTTCTTTTTAGGTATGCAAAAATTGTACTGTAGAGATACTTTCAAATTATTATATGTACCTGGTTGGTAATAAATAGTGGTAATAAAAGAGATGAATAACCACAATATTTAAGGATGTTTTCTTTCACAGATATGAGCTATTGAAATTGCTAATATAAATCTGACAGATTAAGATAAGACCTTGTATGCTTCAATCATGAAAATCCTGATTTGAATCTTTATTATGCCATTTGAGTTTGCATCCTGTTTTCTTTTTTTGTTAAATATATGTAAGACTAAAATTCTTATTTTTACTCTAAATGCACTCGACAACAATATACTTTATACTCAAATAAATACTTTAATACACTTTACAATACTTTAAACTGCTCTAAAATTCTTTGGTTATGTATTAAAATGGGAAAAAAAAATAATTTTATTATATGTGTGTAAAGTGTGGAGATAAAAGATAATGCTACTAAAATGTGTCTTAATAAAAAAAAAAAAAAAAAAAAAAAAAAANAAAAAAAAAAAGAAAGTTAAGAAATATTTTGCAAGATATTAACTTACAGAAAGCTCTTGAAAATTTTGAAAGCTTTAATTTCTATATATTTTATAGTATACATGCTTGCTTAAACATTGCTTTTTAAGCTCGGAAAAGTTTTAAAATTATTTAGCCAATTAAAGGCATTAAAATTTATTTGTTTGGAAAAAATTGTATCTTCGAAATATTGATTAAATATTTTATTGTCCCTTGTAATGTTAAGACAGAAATTTATTTCAGTTACTTTAAAAAGCTGTCAAAACATAGCTTGTCTACTTTGAAGATACATTAAATAATCAGGGGTCTGTCCAGACATTTTGTGAGAGGTTCGTTTTTGTAAAATTGTGGAAAAAATTACTCGTAATTTGTGAATATAAAATAAACGTTAGGTCACATTCTTTCAACCAGGGTCCGCTTTTGTGAATTTGGGCAAATAGGGTCCGTTATTGCAAAAAAACTTTTTCCAGGAGTTTTTAAATTGTAAAAACATACAAGATTATGCTCAACACTGTAAAATTATAATTAAAAAAATTAAATTTTAAAAAATAAACAGCAATTGCAACTACTAAATTAGCGATGCAACATATAAATATTTGGTGTTAAGCCTTTACTGCTGAATGCAGAATATTCATTTCGGAGGAATAAAGGAAGAAGGGTCTGCCGAAGACAAAATTTAGTTCGTTTACATCTGTCTTACTTTCCCGATCTGTCTTTTATTACATCTGTCTTTTATTTGTCTCTTTTTTCTTTTATTTACTTCTTTTTTCTTTTCTTTTATTTCTCTTCTGTCTTTTATTTACATTTGTCTTTTATTTGATTAACAAAACACTAATTAAGATAAACAAATTTGTGAAGGGTCCGATTAAAAGATAAATTATTTTGTGAAGGGTTTATTTTTAAGTTAAAATATTTTGTGAAGGGTCCGTTTTTATGAAAAGATATTTTGTGAAGGGTCCGTTAACGGACCCAAATTTCTTCTAAACAGACCCCTGATAATGCATTCTTATTATCATTTTGCAATTATTAAAATTATGTCAATTATTATGTTATAATTTTATTATTATGTTATAATAATTATGATAGTTTTTATTATTATAATTTTTTATTCTTCTATTCAATGAATAATTTATTGCAATATAATTATAAAAAATTTTTTGCAATGAAATAAATGTAGTGAAAATTTATTGCAATGAAACTGCATTAAATATGATTTTAGTTACATCTGAATCCATTCTTAACAAATTAGTAATTAACTGGCTTTATTTATTCTAGGTATTACAGTTGGGGAAATTGGACCTAAAGTAGGCTTCAAAGCATCAGATAATGGATTTTTAAAATTGGATAATGTCCGAATCCCAAGGGAAAATATGCTCATGAAAAATGCTCAGGTATTTGAACCATATTTAAATAACCTGATTATTTTAGAGGTTTATTAAATAGGTGTCTAAATTTTACACATAAATGTTAATCATATATAATAAATGTTTCCATTTTGTTATCATTTCCATTCAACTTGAAAGTGTGTAAGTTTAAAGAAAATGTACTAATAATTAAATTTTTATTTAAAAATGGTTTATTTTATCAGGCATTGTGATTTTTTTAAAGCCAGAAATTTTTTTCAGGTGACACCTTCTGGTGAATATATCAAGCCAAAGAGTGACAAACTGAATTATGGAACCATGGTGTTTGTTCGTGTTCTTATTCTTGATATGGTTTCTTACAATATAGCCAGAGCAGCCACCATTGCTATTCGTTACAGTGCAATCAGGCGCCAAGCCCAAATTTTACCGAAGTTGGTTTTATTTTCCAAATGTCATTTTATAAGTTTAAATTACAAGGGTAATTTCATGAAAGACAAATGGGTATAACACTTTTTTATATAAAGCTTAAGACTACATACAAATTGGAATTCAAAAATATACAAATTGGAAATAACTGTCAACATGTTTCAAGCACTCAAACAGAGGCACCCATTTTTAAGTCTTCCAAGACGTGAATAAGAAGATACAGAATTGATTTGAAATATAAAACGTAAAGTTGCCAACAGAAAAGGAAAAGTTAAATGGAGAAACAATGCTAGAAAAACCTCTGTAGGCAAGAGAGAAAAAAGATGAAAAACAGAACAGGAAAAACCACAGTGGTTGTCAGCAGCAATCATAATTTCATGCTCTATGAGAGGTGGTGAAAAACTAAAGTTGTTAAAAGGGAATCAGCATTCATATGAATAAAACAAGATTCCAGGGCATCAAGATGAGCTGATGTGACGGGTGGAAATAATTTGGCCATTGTCAAAATTGGCATTGTCTGTGGTTTTTTTAGAGTTGTTTCTCATCTTTATTTTTCCATTTTTTGTAGGCAACTTTACGTTTTATATTTCAAATCACTTTTGTTTCTTCTCATTGACAGTCTTGAAAATGGGTACCTATTTTTGAGTGCTTAAAACATGTCGACTTTTATTTCCTAATAGTATATTTGTGAAGCAAATGAAGTTTTTAATCCAGTAATAGCTTTGGTGTTTTTGGGACCGCTTTGGTGTTTTTGGGATTATTTATTCAAAACTAAGATAATTGTTTTTTTAATTTTTTTCCTGCTTTTTTTGCATTTATTATCATTGAGGTATTTTAGAGTAATTAATAGTATCAGAAGAAAAGTGCGCTTATTTTAAGAAATATAATAATTTTTACTAGGATATTGATGTTTAAATATTTTATTACAACTTCCTTTAAAATATGGTTTGCTCAGTAATGAACAAATGTTCACATTATGATTATGTTATAATTATCTTCAATATAAAAACGGAAATGTTGCTATTTTTAGTGAGCCAGAAGTTCAGATATTGGATTATCAAGCTCAGCAATACAAACTCTTGCCCATGGTTGCTTTCAGTCATGCTTGCAAAGCCACATTTATTGCTTTAATGGATACTTATAAGACTGCTACACAAAACATGGAGAAAGGAGATTTGGCAACATTACCTGAGGTAAATTTTATAGAAATTCTGTAGCTGAAAGAAATAAGGTAAAAAGAACTGAAGCAAGAGATATACTTGGTTGTTTAACTTCATGATTGAAAGGGAAAAAAAATTCAATCACAATGCTTTGATCATTCAAACATGACACTTTTTCTTAAGACTCATAGTCTGCCCTGATTGTCTTCTTCTATTACCAAAATCCCTATGTAATTTTTTGCATTCTCCCTCAATTTTCTATCTATTTTTTTCCCGTTGGAAAATGTGCCTTTTGTTATTTCTAACCTGTTCTATTTTCATCATTTGTGTGTTGTCACTTTGAGAAAGTTCGAAAACTCGACGCATCTTGCCCTTTTACCGCTTTAAATATGATGTTGGGAAAGTTATTACTGTCAAGTATATTATAAATATTTTCTTAATTGCTTGCTGTAACTTAGTGTGGTTTGGCCATGACCGTAAACTGAATTAGGCTGCTATTGGGGCGTAGGCACAACGTTGTGCACTGATGTAGATGCATTTAATGTTTTGTCTTAATGAAATTAACCTTGACATGATGGATAAAAGCAAATTTGTCATGAAGATATTTTAACATTAGCCTAAAAATCTTCTGGGATTACTAAATATAGGAAGGATCATTTTGAGAGCTGTAAAGGAAATATATAAATATTAATATTTAAATAAATGAATAAAGATATCTTAACTAATTTATTATGCTGATTAAATTAGACAGAACTCACACCAATTGGATTGATAGTTTAAATGTTATTAGCGTGTTATGCATATTTTTACATCTGACGTAGCTATTTAAAGTTAGACATAGTGTCCTATGTATTTTATAATGGCATAGAGAATAATAGATAATACAAGTTGATAGGTTTATTAATTTAGATTGTATGTAGACTTTATATAATGAAATATAATATAATATACAATTTATATAATGTATATAAATAAAAAGTACTCTTTATGAGTTAAGAGTAATTAATATCTGATGTTGATTTCTAAACAAATGATGTATCACTTCCCTATACATATTTTTATGCTGAATTGAATGAAATGAAAAGCAAATTTATTTAATGAATAGATTAGAAGTAATAAGAGTCTTGTAAGTTCTTTCAAACTTATTTAAGTATAAAACTTCCTAAATTTAAAATCTAATAGTTATAATGTCTTAAATTTTGTCTCATTCAATTAAAGTTACTTAAAAAACATCTCACATGGCTAGATATAAATGAGAGATAGGTAAATAAGTATAATTGGAAAAATTAAACTGTAGTCAATAGGTATAAATCAAAAATTTGTACTTTTTGTACATAAAACCCTAATTTAAACCCTTATGTCAGCTTGTGTCTTGTGCTATATGTAGAGTGGATTTATGCAATGAATTTTTTTGTTTATTGATGCACTGCATTGCATTTTTTAAAATTAAATTATACAATATTTTAATATAATAATGTGTGGAGCTTTTTAAAGCTAAGTATTTTCTTTAGATTAACCCGAACATTTTTGTACATTTTAGTTGCACGCCACATCATCTGGGCTAAAAGCCTTATGCACTGACAATGGAAGTGCTGCAATAGAAATTTGCAGGAGAGCTTGCGGAGGTCATGGTTATTTACAAATCAGTGGTATACATAGAATTTATGCTGCTACAGTTGCTGCTTGCACATATGAAGGAGAGAATACAGTACTATACTTACAGACTGCAAGGTATGAAAGTTGCACATTTTTTGGGTATTTAAAGAATTTAAAATAGTAAATTTTATAATCGCATTGATGCTCCATTTTTGTTACATTACATGTGGGAAATTTTTTTTAACTTTAAATGAATGTTGAAGGAGTTGTATATAGAAGTTGATAAAGATTTCTAATAAAGTATAAGTTGTTATTGAAACTATTAAAAACGATTGATGAGGTGAACAGCATTACTGTATGAGTGATACTTTTTTAAAGAAACATCTATGTAATAAAATATCAATAAAAAATTAAACTTTGTAATCACAATTTATATATTTCTACATCTTAGCTACCATTTAAATTTCATAATGGTAGTAATTCTTAAATTTCATACTTATGACTAAGGTAGAAATGTAAAATATTTAAATGAGTAGACAATGTTGCAGCACAATTGGTGTAAGGGTGTCTTTTTTATTAGTCATTATCTTTTGCAATCTTATAATAATTATTTATTGATTACAAACTTTACTATAGGCCTTCAATATTTTTTCCAACAAATTTCTTTTAAAAAAATATGCTCAGTTAGATAAATAGCATATTTCATTGTCGATAGAGGTGCTAAATTACTCTTGTAGGAGTTTCAATTTCAAAATCAGCATATAAAAAACAAATGTTTTTAGATGTTACTCATAGAAAAAGTAAAATTTTCTTTAGTAAGTTTTAATTTTTTCTTTTTTCAAAAATACGTTAATTTTTGTTCACCTCAAATTTATAATATTTCTTTAAATGATTAAACTTAGTAAAAAAGTTTTTAATTAAAATATCTACAAATTCTGAAACTGTTTATTTTCAATTTTGTAAAAAAAATTATGCTGTTAATAAATTTTGTGTAAGTAGAATTTTTTCTTATCAAACAGTTAATTTCAATTTATATTATTTGACTATGTTTATTTCTTGTAAAATAATAAAGGAATTATGTTTTATTTCAGATAATTTTTTGTAATGTTTACATAAGCTTTAGAAAAGAATTGGGAAACCTCCACAAGTTTGATCAATTATCAATAACCTTGTTGAATTTTTTTTTTTCTTTTTCATGTCTCCAGCAAACAAACACACATTCCAAATCTCAGGGAGAACTTTTGGTTCATTTTTATTCCCATTCAAAATTGGATGCAAGTACTGTTATATATATAGAGAGAGATATATAAAACAACTTGAAAACATGCACAATTTCTTCAACTTATGTATTATGCTCTAATCAATTAATAACATTACAAACAGTGTCTTTAATATTCTCTTTTTATGAATGCAAAATGAAACTTATAAATTTAATTGTATTGTTGGGTTAATTATTTTGGAAAATGTTAACAATTACAGAAGCAACCTTCTTTATTAATGACTGATTTCTCACATAATGGAGGGTAGTAGTTCCTTAAAAGTTTCACTGTATTACTTTTTCTTCTATTGGCGTCATGAAAAGACGGATCAATGAATAAAATTTAGCATCTATAAAAAGGATGCCAACTGATATAATTACGTATAAAAACAAATTTACCAATTATGAATGATAGAGCTATTTTAAATAAATAATTATGTTTTTGTTTAAGTTTGCAATTAGCTTTAGCATTGTCTTTAGTGCACTCTGACTACAATATGAGGTTGTATCGTCAAAAAGAGCTCTCTAAATAAGAACCTGAATTGAATATTTTGATGCATTTTAATCTACTTATTTGTTTTGTTAAATTTTTTGTTTTGATATTTTTTCACGTTTCTTTATTTGACATTTTCCACCTTTGGTGAAGATGTTTGCCTGGTCACTAGGAGTGGTTTTAATGGTCACTCCTAAAGGTTTTCTTCAACACAAAGTCTGTGTCTATTACCACTTCGCTCAGGGGATAGAGCGTTCGCCTTCCAATTAGGTGAACCGGATTCGAATCCCCAGTGACGGCTAGTCGAAACAAATCTGCATCTGGCTTGCACCGACGTGAAGTATCCTCAGTGGTAGACGGATCATGAGTTAGAATCCCTTTGCTGTCAGGTTAAACGTGGGAGGTTCTCATGGTTTTCCCCTCCATGTAACGCAAATGTGGTTTAGTTCTGTCAAAAAGTTCTCCACAAAGGCAAATTTCCCCCAATACTTGATCCAGGAGTTCCCTTGTCTTCTGGATTGGGTTCAAAATTACAAGGTTATGGAGTTGAACATTAGCAGTCGTAAACCCATAAAAAAATTGAGTCGGCTGTTCAACGACGGTTATAAAATAAAAGGTCTTGCAACTATTCCCATCAATTACAATTGTCAATAAAGTTTGGTAAATGATGGTTATAAAATAAAATAAAAGTGGTTGCTAATAGAGGGGGGTCTTTCCAGGTTTCACTGTATAACTATTTTTTTAAATTTTTTCTTTCTTTAACTTTATCAACTGTTTATATTATTTGATGAAAATTTAATTTTTGATGTATATATATGTCTGTGTCTTTGTAGCAATAATTTTTCTGTTATATATTGTTATTTTTAGGTACATTATGAAGGTTTTAAAAGGCCAACAACCTGTAGCAAGGAATTCAGTTTTTGGTTACCTTTTAGAAGACAGCAAAAGTATCCCATCCAGATTTGAATATCCACCCTCTTTAGAAACTCTTGTTGGTTTTTATCGTGCTGCTGCTCAAAAGTAATTTTTTTTTTCTGTCATTAAATAATGCAAGACTGAAATTTATATTCTACACTAAAGTTTGTAACACTAGAACTGATTTTAAATGTTCGGACAAAAATTCAACTATCCACTGCATGGAAAAATATCATATTTAATCATTATTCACAAAATAAATTAATAATCATAAAATACCATTTTTTCTAAAGTATTTTAATGTCTTTATGTAAGTGTCTTTCCATTTAAAATATTAGCTTATTTTTTCTTTTAAACTTTTATCATTATTGTTAGATTAAGATAAATTTAAATACAATATTTTATTTTTGACTATTATGTGGTCTTAGACAAAAGTTAAAAATATGCTGCATTTAAAGGTTTTAGGTAGTACTAAATTCAGGGATGTGATTGACAAAAACACAAAAAAGAGGAAGTTTATAACTGTAGCATTAAGCGTGCAAAAGAAAAAATGATATGAATTCAATAGCCAATCTGATAATGATTACATCCATGATATTATCTATTCAAATAAATATAAATAAATGGTAATTATGTTCTTAAATAAAATCTTGATTAAAATAATTTTTTTTTAATAATTTAGATAACATTGAGTAATTATGCATAAGCACGATTTTATGTATCACATCATTTTAAAAAACATTTCTTTAATGGTCAAAGGACCTTTATGGACTTTCTCATCAGTTCTTTGTTTTTTCGATGGTCTTTTATTAACATGACTGATCTGTAGATTGCGCTTTTCAGACTTTTGATCATCAGTGTTGATAGGACAAGAAAGTTCATTTCTCACACAATTTTTAGAGGCCTTAGATTAGGAATCGCGATGTTGGATTTCAAAATCGCGTGAATAAGAATCGCGATGCTTGATTTTAAAATCGCGTGAAAAGGAATCGCGATGCCAGATTTTAAAATCGCGTGAAAAAGAATCGCGATGCCAGATTTTAAAATCGCGTGAAAAAGAATTGTGATGCCGGATGTTAAAATCGCGTGAAAAAAAATCGCGATGCCGGATTTTAAAATCGCGTGAAAAAGAATCGCGATGCCGGATTTTAAAATCGCGTGAATAAGACGATATCGGATTTTAAAATCACGATGTTGGATTTTAAAATAGGGTGAATAAGAATCGCGATGTTGGATTTTAAGAGTGCGTGAATAAGAATTGCGATGTTGGATTTTAAAATAGCGTGAATAAGAATCACCATATTGGATTTTAAAAGCACGAAAATGCTAATCGCGGTATTGAATTTTTAAATCGGGTAAATAAGAATCAGGATGCATAATTTTTAAAGTCCGTGAATACTTATCGCAACGAGTAATGTTTAAACCGCGTATAAATACGAAAATCGATGTTTGACATTACAACCGCGTGATAACGAATCGCAATATTGAAATTTAAAAATATATATGAATACGAATCGCGACATTGGATTTTAAACTAGCATGAATATGAATTGCGATATTGGGTTTTAAAAACGTTTAAATGCAAATCGCGATATTGAATTTTTAAATTGCGTGAATGGGAATTGCGAGTAATGATTTTTAAATCGTGTAAAAATGAATCGCAACAAGTAACTTTTAAATCAGTTAAATACGAAAATCGATGATTTACATAAAAATCATCTAAATAAGAATTGCAATTTTAGCAGATTCTGGCCCAGTTCCTAATGTTTAAAATTCTGTAAATCAGCCAATCAAAAGAAATCAAATATCAGCGGCCGAAACGAAACTGCTTAGGACTTTTTTTCCGTTTTTTCCAATCTATAGCGGAAGTCGCGGTTGTCAAGGCTACGGCGTACATGCCGAAATTCTACCCATTTTCTTCTGAAGATAATTTTTTCAGGAGCCTACTGCAGGGGGGGGGGAGTTCATCGCAAATCCGACTATATCGTTCGTTCGACTCCCCAAAAGTTTTTGGAACATGGTGGGAAATTTTAAAAAGTCTTTCATCCCTGAAAAGATAAGAGAGTAGTGTAGTAGATTACGGCATTGTTTTACCAAGGTCAACCACTTTTACCCCAGCAAGCAGATTGACATGTGAAGAAAAGTTTATTGGGGGCTTCAATACTTTCGCTCCGCGGAAGAAAAAATTTTTCAACAAAATATAATTTACTGCATAAAAAATTTTTCCGAGCGGAAATTTATGAAAAAAGAGCGGAAGATATGGAAAAATCTGAAAAAAGCGGAAATCAGCGGATCCGCGGAAGAATCACATCCCTGTAAATTATATTTCTTATAATGTTTATCTTCATTTTTATGAAATTAAGTAACATTATGTAATATAATATTGTTTACACAACAATGCATTTCGAAACATTAGAAAGGTTCCTTCTTTTTAAATATTGTAAGCAAACATTTTAATGCAAGGAGATAAAAATATGATATGGCAAAAAATTTTAGTAGGGGGGGAAAAAGTCATATTAGTCATTAAAACAACTATCAAAGGATATTAAGTAAAATTTAATTTATAGCAATAAATTTAAATAAGCAGTATTAATTTTTTTAACCCACTGACTGCTCTGCACGTAAAAAGTCATATTTCAACCCGCAATCTTCTCCACATATCGAAACCGGTTTGTCCATGTACTTAGATAGAGAAATAGTGTATAGGGGAGAAACATTCTCCCAATTTTGCCCTTTCATTAAGCTACCAACAGGTTAATATTTATTGTACCTAAACTAAGTAACACAGGAAGAAGATTATTGATAAACCAACTTTATTTACAAACTGCAGGAAAAAAACTGGTGCATCTGTTTCTAAGTTATAAGCAAACATACATGCAGAGAGACTTTTCATTTTCAGGGCTGATTGTGCTCCGGAAAAAATCCGGATTTTTTATTAACAGTGATCCGGAAGTTTCGGGAGATCGAAGGTCCAGACGTTTAAAAAAATCATTGATCACAGAAGTTTCCGGAAATCAAATTTTCAAAGGTGGAACTTAAAAACACAGTTTATTTTATTTGTTTGTAAGGAAGAGCCAGAGAAATACTTTATAAGCTTTATTTTGCAAATAATATTCCATTCTTATTAATATTCATTATTCCTCCAACCGCAATCTTGTAATTATCTTTTATTTTAGAATGACAATTAAAGCTGCTGCCAGAGTACAAAATTTTATTGATGCTGGGAAACTACCAGAAATTGCTTGGAATCTTAGTCATGTGGATTTGATTTTGTGTGCAAAGGTAAAATAAATTTACAAAAAAAAGGAAAAAAAAGACTTTAAATACAAATTTGTATATATTCTCTGAAATATTTTTTCTAGGCTCATGTCCAATACTATATTGTTCAAAAGTACATGGATTGGGTTCTAGGCAGTCCTGTTCCAAACAATTTGAAAGAAGTCTTGAAACAACTTTGTTACTTATATATGTTGCAAAACATTCATGAACAATCTGGCATTTTTATGATGGTAAAAATATTTTTATCAATTACTTAAGTAATTATAAGATTATTTACAAGAGAAATTACATATGTTTTTTCAATGGTTTATGTAATTGAGATTGATACAACTGTTGCCTGCTCAAATGCAACTTCATATCATAGTTGGTTTGTGATTTAATAAAACACATTACTGAATTTGATTATTCGTCTGAATGTATAAAATTGAGCTATTATTTTAAGTGTGATATGTATAAAATTTGACCTATTCTTTTAAGTGTGATCAAAGTAATCGATGCAATTTAATTCTTACGTTACTTATTTTCTACATATTTCAGATTTGTAAAACTTTTAATATTTATTTAATATGGTGAAAGATACAGTTCAGTTCTATAAAATAATGTATTTAAAAAACCTAAGAAAATATCATTTGAGTTATACCAGTTTATTTCTACATGAATGTATTCACATATTATTCTGGTATTAGAATATGTTTAAAAATGAGCAAAGCTTTAATGTAAATAAAATAAAGAAAAATGGTGATGTATCCAGAAAATAAAACATAATTTAATACTACATTAAAAATAAAATACAACATTAAATGAAGTCAAAAACAAAATTTTAGGTTTGGTATCTATTTTTATTAGTAGAGTTTTTTCCTTAAATATTTCGATTTTAAATTTTTTGTCCCCACAAACAAATGCTTGGAAAAATTTTAGGGGAAGAAATGTGACATTTTGATTAATGTAGTCACTTCTCATCCCCACTCTCTTGCTTCCCACATTTAATTATATTTTATAAAAAAAATTTGAGCTCCCAAAAAAATTTGTAATTTTCAAATAAATTGATTAAATGAAAAATTTTAACTATCAATTTTATGAAAAATGTTCTGTATTAGTCAAACATCCCGTAGTCTTTAAATTTATAAGCCTAACTTTATATAAATCAAAGAATTGTGAGTTTGTTTAAAAGGTGTAGAAAATGCTAGTTTAAAAATTTGGATTTTTTTTACTTTATTATATTATGAAGCTACAACTACATTCACAGTAATAAAAACTTTAGATATAGGGATGGATGCAAGAAATTCTCACTGTTTCCTCCAGAAATTAAAGAGAAAATTTTATTTTTTACAAAATTTGTTTAGTATTTTATTTTAATGCCTTTCATAAATATGATATGATTTTTTACTATCCTAAATTTAAAAAAAAAAAAAAAATTACTTAAATGCTTTAATGAATGTATGAACAAAAATATATAATATTCTTTGCAGATTGGGCTATCTGAAATTCAACTATCCAAGATGCATGACTACATGTTGGAAATGCTAAATCTTCTTCGACCCAATGCAGTGGCTTTAGTAGATGCTTTTGATTTTCATGATCTGGTATTAAATAGCCCCTTAGGATGTTTTGATGGTAATGTTTATGAACGCTTATATGAGTTGGCACAAAAAACTCCTATGAATCAAAAGCAGGTGATTATTTGTTTGAATCAGATTATAAATTCAACTTAATCTTAAAATATTCTATACTAGCTGAATACAAGATTACAAAAAATAATCAATAAATCGGTGTTATTTAACCAGGGTTGGCAGGTTTTTGACATGTGACAGTTTAAACCGTCATGTCAAAAACCTCATTGTCGAAAATGTCAAAAACCTATATTCATATGTTAAATTTAATTAATACATAAAATTTATATATTTTTTAAAGGATAGTGTTTCTAAATATGTTCTAGAAAAAATAAATTTAAAATTTTGAAGAAACACTTATATTTTGAATAGTAACCAAAATCTTGTACTTTTGAAAACTCACATCTTTTGTAATATTATGTATTCATTTTCATGTGTTATTGAAAATCTGCAGTGATATTATTAAGAAATTTATTTATAACCAAATTTAGTGTATAGTATAGAT